AGGGTACAAAAAGCTTATTTAGTGGGAATTGCCAAGTCATTTGCTGATTTTTGCACCTGCTTCAGCTTGGTCATTACTCCACATAACATGTCTGTCTCCATCCTCTTTGTCTGCACTGCTACACATGTGCCGTGACGCAGGGTACAAAAAGCTTATTTAGTGGGAATTGCCGCGTCATTTGCTGATTTTTGCACCTGCTTCAGCTTGGTCATTACTCCACATAACATGTCTGTCTCCATCCTCTTTGTCTGCACTGCTACACATGTGCTGTGACGCAGGGTACAAAAAGCTTATTTAGTGGGAATTGCCACGTCATTTGCTGATTTTTGCACCTGCTTCAGCTTGGTCATTACTCCACAAAACATGTCTGTCTCCATCCTCTTTGTCTGCACTGCTACACATGTGCCGTGACGCAGGGTACAAAAAGCTTATTTAGTGGGAATTGCCGCGTCATTTGCTGATTTTTGCGCCTGCTTCAGCTTGGTCATGCTTGGTCATTACTCCACATAACATGTCTGTCTCCATCCTCTTTGTCTGCACTGCTACACATGTGCTGTGACGCAGGGTAGGACAAAAGTTGCGCTTGTTGAGCTACCCACAGTGAACATGTTTGGTTTCTTCTTCTGCACACCCTTTCCCCGTAGAATCCTAGCATGGAGCTTTGTCGTACCCCGGTCGCATTTCCATCCTCCAAAAGCTTTAAAATCTTATATATTTAAAACAGGGTGATCATTGACCGTCCCACACCTGCCACACAAAACGGACTTGAAAATGTGATCCGCGGTTGACCGAAATGGATGTTTTGTAAAGCTTCCAAGAAGCATAAACTTTGCTCCTCCTGAAGGGTACAAAAAGCTTATTTAGTGGGAATTGCCACGTCATTTGCTGATTTTTGCACCTGCTTCAGCTTGGTCATTACTCCACATAACATGTCTGTCTCCATCCTCTTTGTCTGCACTGCTACACATGTGCCGTGACGCAGGGTACGAAAAGCTTATTTAGTGGGAATTGCCCCGTCATTTGCTGACTTCTGCACCTGCTTCAGCTTGGTCATTACTCCACATAACATGTCTGTCTCCATCCTCTTTGTCTGCACTGCTACACATGTGCTGCGACGCAGGGTACAAAAAGCTTATTTAGTGGGAATTGCCGTCATTTGCTGATTTTTGCACCTGCTTCAGCTTGGTCATTACTCCACATAGCATGTCTGTCTCCATCCTCTTTGTCTGCACTGCTACACATGTGCCGTGACGCAGGGTACAAAAAGCTTATTTAGTGGGAATTGCCGCGTCATTTGCTGATTTTTGCACCTGCTTCAGCTTGGTCATGCTTGGTCATTACTCCACATAACATGTCTGTCTCCATCCTCTTTGTCTGCACTGCTACACATGTGCCGTGACGCACTGGTAGGACAAAAGTTGCGCTTGTTGAGCTTCCCACAGTGAACATGTTTGGCTTCTTCTTCTGCACACCCTTTCCTCCCCGTAGAATCCTAGCATGGAGCTTTGTCGTACCCCGGTCGCATTTCCACCCTCCAAAAGCTTTAAAATCTTATATATTTAAAAGAGGGTGATAATTGACCGTCCCACACCTGCCCCACAAAACGGACTTGAAAATGTGATCCGCGGTTGACCGAAATGGATGTTTTGTAAAGCTTTCAAGAAGCATAAACTTTGTTCCTCCTGAAGGGTACAAAAAGCTTATTTAGTGGGAATTGCCACGTCATTTGCTGATTTTTGCACCTGCTTCAGCTTGGTCATGCTTGGTCATTCTCCACATAAACATGTCTGTCTCCATCCTCTTTGTCTGCACTGCTACACATGTGCCGTGACGCAGGGTACAAAAAGCTTATTTAGTGGGAATTGCCGCGTCATTTGCTGATTTTTGCACCGCTTTTTCATGCTTGGTCATGCTTGTCATTACTCCACAGACATGTCTGTCTCCATCCTCTTTGTCTGCCTGCTACACATGTGCCTGTGACGCAGGGTACAAAAAGCTTATTTAGTGGGAATTGCCACGTCATTTGCTGATTTTTGCATGCTGCTTCAGCTTGGTCATTACTCCACATAACATGTCTGTCTCCATCCTCTTTGTCTGCACTGCTACACATGTGCTGTGACGCAGGGTACAAAAAGCTTATTTAGTGGGAATTTGCCGCGTCATTTGCTGATTTTTGCACCTGCTTCAGCTTGGTCATGCTTGGTCATTACTCCACATAACATGTCTGTCTCCATCCTCTTTGTCTGCACTGCTACACATGTGCTGTGATGCAGGGTACAAAAAGCTTATTTAGTGGGAATTGCCACGTCATTTGCTGATTTTTGCACCTGCTTCAGCTGGGTCATTACTCCACATAACATGTCTGTCTCCATCCTCTTTGTCTGCACTGCTACACATGTGCCGTGACGCAGGGTACAAAAAGCTTTTTTAGTGGGAATTGCCGCGTCATTTGCTGATTTTTGCACCTGCTTCAGCTTGGTCATGCTTGGTCATTACTCCACATAACATGTCTGTCTCCATCCTCTTTGTCTGCACTGCTACACATGTGCCACATGTGCTGTGACGCAGGGTAGGACAAAAGTTGCACTTGTTGAGCTACCCACAGTAAACATGTTTGGTTTCTTCTTCTGCACACCCTTTCCCCGTAGAATCCTAGCATGGAGCTTTGTCGTACCCCGGTCGCATTTCCATCCTCCAAAAGCTTTAAAATCTTATATATTTAAAAGAGGGTGATAATTGACCGTCCCACACCTGCCACACAAAACGGACTTGAAAATGTGATCCACGGTTGACCGAAATGGATGTTTTGTAAAGCTTCCAAGAAGCATAAACTTTGTTCCTCCTGAAGGGTACAAAAAGCTTATTTAGTGGGAATTGCCACGTCATTTGCTGATTTTTGTACCTGCTTCAGCTTGGTCATGCTTGGTCATTACTCCACATAACATGTCTGTCTCCATCCTCTTTGTCTGCACTGCTACACATGTGCTGTGATGCAGGGTACAAAAAGCTTATTTAGTGGGAATTGCCGCGTCATTTGCTGATTTTTGCAGCTGCTTCAGCTTGGTCATTACTCCACATAGCATGTCTGTCTCCATCCTCTTTGTCTGCACTGCTACACATGTGCCGTGACGCAGGGTACAAAAAGCTTTTTTAGTGGGAATTGCCGCGTCATTTGCTGATTTTTGCAGCTGCTTCAGCTTGGTCATGCTTGGTCATTACTCCACATAACATGTCTGTCTCCATCCTCTTTGTCTGCACTGCTACACATGTGCCACATGTGCTGTGACGCAGGGTAGGACAAAAGTTGCACTTGTTGAGCTACCCACAGTAAACATGTTTGGTTTCTTCTTCTGCACACCCTTTCCCCGTAGAATCCTAGCATGGAGCTTTGTCGTACCCCGGTCGCATTTCCATCCTCCAAAAGCTTTAAAATCTTATATATTTAAAAGAGGGTGATAATTGACCGTCCCACACCTGCCACACAAAACGGACTTGAAAATGTGATCCGCGGTTGACCGAAATGGATGTTTTGTAAAGCTTCCAAGAAGCATAAACTTTGTTCCTCCTGAAGTATATGTATATATTTCTTTATTTATTTATGTATATATTCAATATATATATATATCTCTCTCTCTCTCCCAGCTTTTCCATCCTCCAGGCCTGATTTTTGCCATGCTCCTTTCTTCGCCTCCAAATTGGAGGCGCAGAAAGGACACGACGGACACGACGGACACGACGGACCGGTACCGTCCGCTTGCGGACACCGAGGTATCCATAATACCGTGAGGCACCGAAGATAGCTGGTGGGTATCATCTGTATTGGGGCGAAAACACATTGGGATTTAGTGGGATTGAATGGTGATTTAATGGGATTTAGTGGTGATTGGGATTTAATGGAATTTAGATAGCTAAGTTGGTGCAAAAAAAAACTCAAAAAACGATTTATTAGGTTTCTGAAAAGTTTTGTGGTCGATATATCGAACTAGTTACTTGGCTTTATAAACTAACGATCAACTGGGGCGCCTCACCTTGGCAGTGGAAAAAAAGAGAGGTTTTCCATGGTGAAAAACCCATTGATCACGCCAACTGATCTCCCAAGTATTGGGTAATCCCTCCCAAAATTGAGTTCCGCCCTTGGAACCTTGCTTTTGTATTGGATCTATTCAGACTTTAGTGACTTTAGATCCCATATTGGATGGGAATGATTTTTCCAGCAAAACTGTCCTAAACTTATGGTATTTAATTACAGTTTTTTGCGACTAGAAGGGCATGGGATTATCTTGGGATATGTATTGGGGAAGCCATTTAATCCATAAGTGGACCACTATCGAAGTTCTAACCCTTCCAGTATGACTATCTACTGAGGTTGTATATATCCCAAAATTAAACAGAATAATAATTTACCCATAATACATGAAGGGTCCCGCATGTGATAGGTCAATTGGTTTGTAGCTACAATAACTGGTGTTGGAGAACTATGTCCTGGCTTATTGCGTTGTTCGTGTCACCAAGGATGGTGGATTGGTAGCATGGGTATATGATAATGCCTATTGCTTGCATGTTCCTCCTGGTGCTGAAGAGCCAATGGTGCGATCCTATGGGAGTGCTTGATAAGATTGGTGTTGTGGGTGACCACAGCTGGCAGGTGGACGCCAGTGGGTCAGAGATGTCTTGAGATGCGCCCAGTTTCAACGGTTCAGAAGGTTGGAATGGAGATTAGATGTCTGCAAGTGTACAGTGATCTCAAGGGCGCGCAATTTGAAACATAGATATATCTAGAGCAAATTGGGGTTATAGGCCAACAGACACTACTGAAAAAACGGTTGCCCTTTCTGTATACTTGGCATGTTTGGAATATTGGCATACCAATGTGGATTGCAATTAAATTTGCCAATCTCAAGTGCAGATAAATCATCACACCGCCCTGATATAAAATACCCACGCATCACCGGCATTGAAACTCCACAGCTTAGTTTCACCCCATTAGCTAGTTCGTTATATCCCCCGTGAACCCTTGAATTCATTGGCCAAGCGATGTTCACCAGCTTAGCTATAAGAATCCCATCAAATCCTATGGATTCCATGAACATATCACCGTTTTGGCTGATGAATCCCATTCAGCATTATCCATAGCCAGTTTTCAATTGTCTTCAAGTGTATTAATACATAAATGCAGCCATCATATCCACAGTTATGGCCCTACCAGTTATAAGTACTTATAACATCTGATAACACCATTTATGGAAAGTATAATCCCATTGAAATAACCAGTTCACCATTTAGAATTGGTATAACTGGGGCCACAACTGCAGCCCCAGCTGCGACGAAGGTCCTTGAAGCACTTCTTTTCTGGAAGGGATGCTGGCCGGGGCGGTGGCATGAAATCCATCGTGCCTGAGGAGCGAAACGCAACGAATTCCCGAGGGGATCAGGGTTTGACCACTTACAAGGTGGGGCCACCGTTTACGATAGCGAAGTTGGTGAACATAACTTCAAATTCACTAGGCTTTATGATACGCAAATAACTATAATATTCATGGGGTTTATAAACCAACTTAGCCAACTCGGGGGCCCCACGTTGTAAGAATAGGGTATACCGATGTCACATTGGAGGTGACCAAGTCTAAATACCAGGTAAGTGGGTCTCAAAAGGAATAAAATGTCCCTTTCATGGCATACCCCAATCAAATGGCCATTTGATACGGACAGATTATCGGGAAATGATATGAAATGATGATAAGCCACTGGATTATGGCTAGCCGATTTTCAGACAAACGCATATGGTTAACAAACATATTTATATTTAAATTATATAACGGTTATATATGGGATAGCCCCACGAAAAAAGGGGACTTCGTAGCTAGGGTTATGAATACCACGATCTGTGGGATGACCCTAGCTTAGGTTCGGATTTTTTTCACAATATTTAAGCACATATAGTGGGACTGGGATTAGTGGGGATATATATATACATATATATATGTATATATATATATACATATATAATTATATATATGTATATATATATGTATATATATATATATATATGGGTTTCCATAAATGGGGTACCCTAAAATAATGGATGGTTTACAGTAAATATATATATATACATAAACAACTAATAAGATGGATGATTTGGGGGTACCCCTATTTCAGAAACCCCCATATTATATATATATATACAAATATATATATATATACACATATATATATACATACATATATATATATACATATATATATGGATACATACTTAAAACTATCTCATACTACCCTCTGGTTAATTGTTACATAGCTGTGGAAACCATGGCCCATTTATTATATATATACATAGTTCGATGATTTACCATGATTTACCTAGACCTACATGAAGATTTCACAAAGAAAAATAATCAACCATGGTGTGCTCCCCATTTGTAAACAGACAGTTCACTGCAGGGCACCCCCTTTTTAGGGGTGACCAAAGAGAACGGGTATCTTCCATGATACTTTTCACATGTCACCACAGTGGTAGGGAAAGATTGCATACACAGCGTTTTTGTCCATGCTGTTCAACCACCGTTGTGTTGTTCAACCACCATTCTGCATTTAGATTATCTGGATGTGGCTCATAACATTGAGACTTTCCCGCACATTTATAGGCTAAAGTATCTCAGATTGACTATGGTTCATAACACTCCTGTAAACCAACATAGAGGCGGAAAACCACCATGAATGTAGATTGTGCTCCTAAGGAAACCATGGTTTTCAACATGTTTTTGTATGTTTACCATAAGGGTGACCAAATATGTTCCATTAACGACCATTGAATCAACATTAAATCCTCATCTATGTTAGTTTACCAAGGGGTAGATTATATCTAGATTACTGTACATTTTAGATCATCCACTTTGTCACTGGGAGACTGTCCAATCAACCACATTTGTTCACCGATGGGGATGATGCGGGGTTGCAGCAACACGATGTAAGCTGTCACACCAAGTTATCGCACAGGAAGGGCCCCCCCAAACGATAGGTAAGTTTTTTTAACATTTTTTTAAACTAGGTCATAGCAACATAAAATTGTTCATTTCTAGATGATGCAATTGATAATTTAGCCTTTGTTTTAAGGTGATATCCAGTTCGCTGATGTGAACGAACTCGAGGGTAAGTGATGTCACCAAAATTTTTGAAAACTTCTATGTGTTTCATGTCTGCGTTTTCCATTGCCAAGTTTGATACCCCAATGTCGGGTACACCATGGTGCACCAATTTTCAGGAGATGAATATGAACATTTGCCGCCCATTTTGATGTTCATCAGGGGACCACAGTCATGGCCATTTATACTCATAAGTTATAACTAGTTATAAATGAGATTATACATTGCATAATTGAGGTTATAAGTACTTATAACTGGAAAAGGACCAAAACTGGAGGGTTTTGATCCATGATCATTTTACCCTATGACCATCTGAAATCATCTGAACATGAGAATGTTTTTGGGTTGAAAACCATGACAACTATGTGTTTGCAAATGATTGCAATAAATGGGATTAATGCATGAGCATGAAGAGACATGACCCCCAGGCCCCAGTTATAAATTGATTTATCATCTCCAAGAACTATCGTGATATCGTCCATAAAGCCGAGTTATTAGACTTGTGTTCACCTTGTATGGGTCAAGTCATTTCTGCTTCGATTGGATGGTTTCTGGTTGGGAAATGGTGACCAAAAACGTCGTGACGGAATTCTGGAATCATGGTGCACGGATTGTGGGAATCATCCCCATGACTGGCCTTATTTGTTCGGTTGCTAGACATTTCTACCCAGATGAAAAAAACAGTTTTATCCCTGGTAATCAATTGATTACTAGAGGCGCTAAAAAAGCCAATGTTTTCTCGGTTCTACAAGGTGGGCCCAGTTATGTTGGTGAACATAACCCCCAAGATTTCTAGCTCTTCATATCCCCCGGAAAAAAAAAACTAGTGATTGGAGTTATGAAAACACCATCACTTAGCTGACCTAGCTATCTAAATCCCATGAAATCCCAGACACAGATCACCATGAAATCCCATTAATTAAATCACCATTCAATCCCACTAAATCCCAATGTGTTTTCGCCCCAACCCATGGCATCTACCCAGCCGGAAGAAATCTATGGCATCTATGGCACACCACGGCGAGGAGACCGATGACAAGCAATGGGAAATCCAAAGCGTGGGGGAGGAGTCCGCCATGGGAGATCAGCGTGGATTTAACGCTGGAAAGGAGGGGTAAAGCAATCCCAATATGTATTGTGTATATATATATATATATACATATGTACAGTATATAAATATTCAAATCTATTATGTATTATACATATTATTTGTACATGTGTATGTACATATTGATTAACATGATTTAACCTTCTTTTAAACCAATTTGGTGGGTTTCACATGATTTAACAATCGAAAGAAGGGATAGTTTCGCAAGCCACCTCGTCGTCGATTTCACCATCGCCTTTTGAAACGGCATCCATTTGTTATCCCGTCCAGCTACAGCAGGCAGCGCTTGGCATCATGTTCATATAGTACGTTGATGCAGTTTCTTCCGAGTCTTGCTGGGCAACTGTTACAACCCAAAGTCTGATGGAAATCTACTGTGGCATGAATATAGAAAATGTATTAACATACACACACACATATATATATAGATAGAGATAGATAGATAGATAGTTAGATAGATAGATAAATAGATAGATAGATAGATAGAACCACCAAATGTGATTTAGGGCGCGGTACCCGAATGTGTTTCTGCCCAGCAAGTCATGAGTCATGGCCATTTCAGGATGTCCAATTTTCGGAGAAACACAAAGTGAGGTCCTTTAGATAGCGATATTAGGAGATTTCCATAGTCATGGGGGTACCCCAATAGCTGGATGGGTATATAATCATGGAATTTCCTTTGAAAATAGATGATTTAGAGGATACCCCCATGTCAGGAAATCTCTATATAATTATAGGGATTTTAATAGGGACATAATGGGGATTTTAATGGGGACCACCAACCAGATTCACCATTAATGTGGACATCATTTATGACTTTCCATTCAGTTGGGAATGTCCTAATCCCAACTGACGAACTCATATTTTTCAGAGGGCTTGAAACCACCAACCAGAAATGGTGACTTGAGTGAGATTTCATGATGATTTGATTGGAAAAATGATGGTGAATTGTAGTTGGATTCGCTGTGCTTTGGGATTTAAATGGTGACTTAAGTGGATTTTTGATGGATTGTTTTATTTGATTCTGACCCGAAATGCCAGTTTCAGACACACCCAATTGGTCTATCCTCTGGGGATCAAAGACACCTTGATGGAACATCACCCAGTTACTTCGATGATGTTATCATATTTCTCATTTTGGTCATGTTTAAATTCGGGTACATGTGGTACATTTAAATAGTTTCGGTATCTCTACAACACATGATCTACCCTATTTTTTTGGTAATGTGGTAATTAATATATACGTATATACATACGTGTGAGATATGTATATATTATTATATGTATATAATAATAAGATAAAATGATGTTGGCTTCACAATTCAAACATGTAAACAACAATTTTTGAAGGTCCAGCGTCACTGCTGCGGACATCCCTGGCTAAAAAAGGTCATGTGCAAATGGATAGAACGGACAAGGGTCCCTATGGCAATTTCAGTTTGTTGGTTACTACAGATTTCACTTCTTATCTGATAAATGTACACCTTTTCTGATTGTCATGTCATGAATTGCTTCCAAAATTATCTAAAGAAATTTCAGTGAACATACTTTAAATTGGGTCAGGAACTGAAGTAGATTAACGAACAGTTTTTAAAAACTCAGGAAACCAGAGTTCTTGCTGCCCAAAGTGCGTGTTTGGCTGAGCTGTTTCTGCAATTCTTGGGATACCAAAGTAAGTCACACAGTAAGGAGAGACACAATTCAATTTACCCTCTGTTAAACTAACATAGCTATGGAAAATCACCAGCCTTAATAGGTAAATCAACTATAAATGGGCCATTTTCAATAGCTATATTAAATTACCAGAGGGTACCACTTTACCACTGTGTTTGAATCGGATTATTTCGTGCATCTAAAAGTGTGGGGGTATCTTTGGACCCTATGTTAGTGAAATAAACCAACGACTACCTAGCGAAAAAAACACATTCTGTTGATAGATTAAAACTAATCTTAACTGTTTGCGTTTAACTCAAGTCTGTCCAATGACTAGCACACGTTATCAACTACTACCTACTATTTTCTATTGAATCTACTGTTCAGGGCTTACCCTCCGGTGTCATCAAACGTGGCTGGAAATTCTCCCATTTTAGTTCGATGATTTTCCAAACGCGAACGAAAAAACCTCCATTTCGGGAATTTCCAGCCAACCACCATGGGTGAACTCCTAATGTTTCTATTAGTGCAATGTGAGGCCCCCATGATATCTAAGTTGGTTTATAACTCCAATAACTATGGTTTATGGCACTTATAACTATAGTTACTGGGGCGAATCTAAACCAACTTAGCTATTTTGGGGGCCTCACATTGTAGGTGACCCGGGGTTTTCCTGAACTTCAATGTGGAGAGGCGCCGCATTTTCGATCATTTTCCGGGGTAAACCACAGGTTTTTGAAAGATCTTTGTTCGTCAATCCTAGGTGAACTGAAGAGTTGTTGCCCGTTACCAGTTTTAAGTGCTAAGTCACCCCATAAAAATGACATGTATAATCCGATAGATTAATAACCAGTCATAACTCATAACTAATCAATGGCCACAACTGTAGGTGTGTTGTGTAAGTGCTAGTAGTGTCAGTGGATCTGAGCGGAGTTGGACTGTGAATCCCAATGATCTACAGTGCCTTACCTTCAAAATGATCAGTTTGGGGAGTTTCGGGACAGTTATGGCCCGAAATACAAGTTATGTTTGTACTAATAAAAATGGTTTATGTAGAATCCCATAGATTCATAGTCCCCACCACCACCACCACCGCCGCCGGCAAAAGCGGACGGTGCAAAACCGGGCGGTGCCTTCCAGCCGAAGGGCACTCAGCCCACATGGTACACCACGCCAACGAGGCAGAGGAGGCAGATGCGAAGGGCTATGGAGAAGATAGAAAGGCGGCTGGACAACCATGATGGATGGGTGGAAGCCGCGCACGCAACCCATGTGCTGACGGTGCAGACAAACCAGCTCGCGTGCGCCACAGTCAACCAAGTGCGGGTGCTGACGCTAAGACCACCACCGCCACCTCCACAACCAGCCCCAGCAACGCAGCCACCCCCACCTCCGCATCATTCATCACATGTTTAGCCACTATTAACCATTATTATCCACTATTGATCATAATTAATCACTATTAATCACTATCAATCACGATTCATCAGCACTTATAATTCCATATCCCATAGGATCCATGTATGCTATATATGCTAACATTTGGGGTATATGGATGGTAAATGTTACCATATATAGCATACATGGATCCTATGGGTATTTGTCAGTTATCACTGGCCATTCCACATGTAACAAAAATCCATGGCCAGAACGTCAGGCCGCGGATCCTGAGTCCCCCAAGTCCCCTGAGGCGCCCGGAGATAACTAACGACCTGGGAGTCCATGGTGAAACCAATGGGACAATGGGATGATCAGCTGATGATTTTTTCCATGGGATTTCATGTAATGCGAGGCCCCCAAGATATAAGTTGATATAGTTATAAATACCATAAACCATAGTTACTGGAGTTATAAACCAACTTAGCTATCTAGGGGGCCTCACATTGTGGTGATCTGTGTTTGGGATTTCCATGGGATTTAGATAGCTTGGTCAGCTAAGTGATGGTGTTTCCAGATAACTTCAATAACTAATATAACTATGGTTTATGAAAGACATAACATGATATAAGAATTGTTAATGGGCGTTGTAAGCCAAGTTACAATTAGGTGGTCCCAGTCCCACCTTGTACCCTTCTGTAATTTAACGATGGGAAATGACCCATTTATGAATGATATACCTAGTAGATATTTTTAATTTGGTGAGATTTTCAATAGCTATGTGTATATATATATGGTTGGTGGTTTTGTTGTTTTATTTATTTTTCCATTCAGCTGGGAATGTCATCATCCCAACTGACTTTCATATTTTTCAGAGGGGTAGGTATACCACCAACCAGCTTAGAAGAGGGTAAGGATCAGAAATGATGATTATCCCACGAGGTGGTTTTTCAAAATCAGTGGCCGTCACACCCTTTGGCCCGAGTCATAGCAGTTATGTTTGTAGTGAACTAAGCCCATTTCAAAATGGTTTTATGGCCATACAAAACATAATGGGGTTAGTTCACTACAAACCAGTAGTTCATAATTACTGGTAGTTATGTATAATCCCACAGATTCATAACCAATAATTACCAATAATAATTACCAGTTAAAACTGATAGCCGTGGCCATAACTGTAGTTTGACATATCTACTATCAACCATAGCATTCACCTAGTTAAGCAGTGCTCAACACCCAAAAGGTCGTCCTGACAATTACTGGTTGGTTGATAGGAATCCTCCGTTCTTTCATTGTGAGAATCACGCATATATACTATATAGATTTTATATAGTATCTACTTATAACATATAGTATAAACATATTTTACCCTGGAATAAGGTTCAGTAGATGATGATTTCTACAATTATGGCCCAACATAACAACTATAAATGGTTTAATCACTGATTATTTCTATGGTATTTTACAGAAAAAAACATAAAAATGGGGTGGCTTTGGGTCGGCTCTTTGGATGAAGATCCAACGGATTACCATGTTGGTTGCATTTATACATATATATATATATATCTATATATATATATTTATTTATTTAAGATTATATAAGGTGCTTTGTTGTCTTGGTGAGTTGTTTAATTACTTGAAAGCTTGATAAAGCTTGTGTGCTTGATTAATTGTTGTTGTTAAAACAAATTGATAGTAAACTGTTGTAGCTGCCTGGCGATGGATCCTCTATTATGGAGCAGGTGATGGAGGCGAAGCAAGAAGCCAAGAACGAAGCACAGCGCAAAGCGTGGCAACCCGCCACCAGTTATGTTCAATAATTTACTATAAAAACAAAGGTATTTAATTTATATAGTAACGAGGTTTTTAAAACAGAAAAGTGTTCTTGGGTATATATATTAATAATTATATATATATGTATGTATATTAAGGTTTAAGTATATATACCCATTAATTATATATAATATACAAAGGTATAAACTGTGTTAACGTTCTTGTTCAAATGGGGCCCCAGCTAGTGGTGAGCAGCTTCATCCTCGCGCCGCATTCGGAAAACGCAGGTGAGTTGCAAGGGAAATGTCCATGGAAACGCAGATGAACCGCGAAACAGGCCCATGTTTTGCAGTTATGGCCCGAAATACCAGTTTTAACAAGTTATAACCATTTATAATTGGTAAACGGCTATAACTGCGTATCTTGATACAAGCATATATAGATGCGCAATCAGCCTCAAACATATCAAACATGTTGCTTATTTTTAGCAATGTTTCGGGTTGAGTCATTATTGCATCTATCAGTCAGATGAGGTCGGTATTGATTAGCGATCTGCCATACAAGAACAGAACGCAGGCTCCAGTGTGCATGACATTGGAGTCGGAATATCCGATATGGGCTGGGACATTGACTTCTTCAAGATCCATGAGTCCACGGAGAAGAACCCAACCACCGAGAACGCAATCCAGCACATCAAGGGGATCAATGACGAAGGGAACTTGACTGTGCACCTTTGGTTGTCAACCATGGTTACTCCGAGAACCCCCCCTTGGACTGTTGGCAACCATGGCCCATGGAGTCAAACGGCGATCGGCCAAGGCATTCCCGGAAACTCCACTGAAAAGATCAAGCAAGAGGAATTCAAGTGGGATGAGCTCCTGAATGTGCTCAACAATTTACGACTCTTTCAGTATGCCCGATTCTTTGTGGCAGATTCAACTGGCAAGGACAGGATGAAACACCTGGAAAAAAAAAACGCCATGAAAAAAGATCCGCAAAGCATCTTCCACTGCTGCTTTGAAGCTCAGTTCCGCCTAGAATGGTGGAGTCAATTGGGGCTTGGACATGTACATTCCGCAAAAACGTTTGCTGCCTGGAGATCCACTTCTTTGCAATATTGAAAATGACTTTAAATATTCTTTCACCCATGATCAGACCCCATGTATTTTTCTGGGATAAGCCCACTTGCCCATGGTGTATAAGACTTGCCCATCTGAATTCGCATTTCGTTCGGGGATTTCCCAGCCATGTTTGATGACACCGGAGGCCTCCGACATTTCTCACCAGGCTTATAAAACAGGTACGATCTGTGGGATGATCCTCCCCCATTTGATCGATATGTGAAGGTCGGGGCAGCATCGGGGACCACGAGAACGCTTGCTTCTCGACAGCAACTCACAGTGGGTGATTGTGGGCCTATGGGATACAACCAACACTTTTTTCTGAATGCAAACATGATGTATATATACATATGTATATATATTTTTTTAAATTTACATACATACGTATATATATATATAATATACCGATTTACAATAGGAACACCATACAACATGAACATGAGAAACCATGCCATTAATCACTCGTTTTAGAAGGATCCGTGGTTCCCCAAACTGGTTGAATCTATCAGAAACCCAGCAACTTGGCTAACGAACTGGGGCCCCAACTTGGCGGAGATAACCAACATGCACACATAATGTGTCATTGTATATATATAATAATATAGATATTAATATAATATTGTATAAAAAAAGACATCATGTTTGTTCAAAAGAGATTGATTTTATTGTTTTATAGGGTAGTTTTTGGTGGTGTGAGAGACAGGGCTGAATTGCTACTCGTACGTGGTATGCACATAAGGACGGAATATTATGGAGCAGTCTGCAGGTACTGTATCTATATACTGGGTAAGTCTTAGTAAATGGTTGTTGCTCCAGTGCATTGCTTACTGTCGTGAATTTGTTGATCCATGTTGGAACAGTGTATCCTGTGAGTAAGGCAGTGCGTCCGAATGATGTTTTTGTTTTTTCAAGCACCACTGACTATATAGATATATCTACCACAGTCCCCACAGTGGAGCTGGATAGCGTTCAGTTGGTTCAAACAATTTCACTTTCTGGTAGCTATGGTATTTATAACGAACTAGTTACTGGGGCTTTATTTTAACCAACGTTCACATCACGTTTGGGGGCCCCACATTGTACCAGCTATGTCTAAGCCAGCCATGGGATTTTTCCCATGGGAAGTCCACCATACCTTCGACCAGGTCGTCATACCAGTGATGTTTGTCACTGTTTGTCACCCCATAAATTTATGGTTTATGTACAATAGTAAAGTCCCATAGATTCATAACCCATAAATTTATGGTTGGAATGTGTACAATCCCATAGATTCATAAAGATTCATAAGCAGTTTTTTAACTACTAGCCTAGTGGCACATTTTACTGTATGGATATTTTTGGCTCATGGACGAAGAAACGATGACAGCCATGCTCGCCATGCCAAGGCTCCCGCCCAAAAGGATGCGCCTCGGAGAGAATGAGAAGGGTGAGCCATCGACAGTTTTGGCCGCAGATACCAATCTGATTGTTAGTTTGTATTATAAATGGGATCTAGAGAACTACAAATCAGGAAAACTACCAATCAGATCAACCAACAATGTCGGTTTATTCTGGTTGGTGGTTTGGGATGATGATCCAACCTGACGAACTCATATTCTTCAGAGGGGTTGAAACCACCAACCAGCCAATTATAAATGGGATGAAAATTTGGGACTTTATCACCATATCATCTTCATGGCCATTCATGAGTTATAAGTGATGATTAATGGTGATGAATAGTGGTTCATAATGGCTAATAGTGGCTAAACATTTGATTAATGATGGTTATACATGGTTATAAATGGGAATGCACATTCCATACATGGTGTTTAATAACCACTGGATATTAAAGACATGGACCTTTATAACCCAGTTATGTTTGTACTGAAAAACGCATAAACGTGGTTTATGTATTATCTCCTAGGAATAACACATAAATAAATAATACTTTGCTAAACGTGTTTAGTCATGATTTAAACCTTATGGTTATTATATGAATATCGATGAACATAACTATAGTTAATGCGACAATGTTGAGTTAATGTTTAAGTAATGACAGTGGTTATAGTTGGTTTGTGTGTATGCTGTCCTCATGATTGTTGCTATACTTGCAGGATCATCCTTCCTAATGAGTGGTTAATGATTATAGTTAGTTCCCCAATTTATAGATATGATTCTGGGATACTCCACTTCGAGGAATCTTTCAATGGATATCAATGGATAATAATGGGTAATTAAAATATATCACTTTATCGGTTCATTCTCAATGGGTTATCACGATAAACATATCATTACTAGATAGATAGATGGATGGATAGATAGATAGATAGATAGATAGATAGATAACTAACTATGTAGATAGATGGATGGATGGATGGATGGATGGCTGGATGGATTCTTAGATATATAGATAGATGGATGGATGGATAGATAGATAGGTAGATAGATAGATACATAGTTAGAAAGACACATGAGAGAGATAGATAGATAGATAGATAGATAGTTAGATAGATAGATAGATAGTTAGATAGATAGATAGGTCGATAGATAGATAGATAAATAGATAGATTGATTGATTGATAGGTAGACAGATAGATAGATAGGTAGATAGATAGATAGACAGATAGATAGATCAACCGATATATCGAAAGATAGATAGGCATATAGGTAGATAGGTAGATAGGTAGATAGGTAGATAGGTAAATAGGTAGAGATAGATAGATAGTTAGGTAGATAGATAGACAGACAGATAGATAAATAGAAAGATAGAAAGATAGATAGATAGGTAGATAGGTAGATAGGTAGATAGGTTACTATATATTACTGGATCATTTTGCCAGAGGGTATATCAACCAAGAATCATGGGATATCAACGGATGGCAGATATATATTACTATCTATAATTACTAATGTTTCGGAACATCTATGAGAATCTATGTTTTTGTACTCGGATTCAACCATCAACGTATTGTTTCTCACACAGCACATACATGGGTTAAAATTGAATAATTTTTATACATATATACATATAAAACACACATAGTGTCAACCGATGGTTGAATGGTGATAAGTTTGTCATGTCATGGTGTTACAAAAAAACAGCAACATGAACATAACAAGATATTCCAGAGCTGATAAACGATGTTTGATTGATGATACTTAAAAGGTATTTTTTGTCATTTAACCATCACACATATGGGGGTATTTTAGTAATTAAAGTTGATATGCAGTAGTTGAGAAATGATTGTTGATTGATGGTTATTTCTTATAATGTGCTTTACTATCCAGTATATTGAGGCTTTGGGCCCTCCAAAGATGGGTAAGTTTCTGCAGATAACTCCAATAAATGTTAGGGTTTACGGTAGATATAATATATCTGGTTGAATTATAGTAATTCACTCACGTGAGAATAGCATTTGGGGATGACTTATTGCAGTAACTATGGCAGTAACGCCACAGTGAAGTTCCTATAATTGATCAAAATATATCAAACTAACTAACCGGGTAAAACTAAACCAACTTATAAAGGGGACCCCACCTTGCAGCTTTTGGTTGGTCTTTGTTTTTCGGATTATCTTGCGGGAAGTAAGACATTCAAAGCGATGTATTTGTGTAGTTTTCGACCATGTCCTATTGCCAACTAACATGGTTGGTAATCCACATACTCTCAGTAACAGAAGCATCTGGACACCAACTGGTTTAAGGGCTATCCAGTGGTCCCCATCATAGTTTGTATCGCCCTGTTCAGTGGTTGAAACACATGCAAGGTGGGGCCCCCAAACGAAAACTGACTTTGTTTGTATCACTCGGTTCATTTGGCTTTGTGGTAGATAGATATATCTACACAAGTCATGGCCGTTGACGAATGAGAAAAGGTGAAATAACTGGTTCTTTAGATGGGATGATACATTCCATAAATGAGGTTATAAGTACTTATAACGGGTAAAGCGCCATAACTGCAGTTTTCATTGGTTGTCATGAAGTTTATAAACCAAAAAACTTTTCGCTGGGGGAGCACCACCGCCTGTGCTGGTTGAAATCTCGTCCCATGCGCATCCAAGGAAGGAGATCAGGCGTGGGTGAAGTTTTGGTATGCGAATGTTGGCACTACTTAGGTGGGTCATGGAATTAGTGTTTTCGAGTTAAGAACTTGATTATAACACACCATATCCCAATGACAATCTATTTGCGAACGAGCTAACTACCTCAATGACCGTGTCAATGACCCAAATAAGTAAGCGGAGGTTTCCATGGTAAAATCCTTTAAGTGGATGATTGTCCAGCAAACCATGTTTGATTTCTGAAGGGTCAATCTCGAGGTTTCGCATGTTGGGAATAAATCTGACAGGACAATCCAATCTGTAATTTCGGATAACATCATTTAGTAGCCCATAGAAATAGATGGTTGACCTATTAAAAAATGGTGATTTTCCATGGCTATGTTAAATAAGCAGATGGTATATCCAGGAATAAGTGGGTTATGATCCCACTAAAATTCCGAGCGCGAGTTGCTCAACAGACTCATGGTAGGAACAAAATAGTTACAGTAGCGGCCCATCCCAGCTATGAAGTGGGTCAGTTATCCCCAGTTATAACTGGACTATATCTGGTGAGTGGTTTGGATTTTTTTTATTTTCTCATTCAGTTGGGAATGTCATCATCCCAACTGACGAACTCATATTTTTCAGAGGTGTAGGTATACCACCAACCAGATATAACTCTACTTGCCCTACTGAGTTCGCTGAGCTTACAACCCACCTTCAGAGACATGAGCCGCGAAGGAAAAACTCCACGATGTGGAGCCTCCATGTCCGAAACGTCATGCTGTTAGTTGTTATATCTTGGTTGAAGTTTATTTTAAGCCCAACTGTGGTAAAAAAAACTCTGTGCATCTATGTGCCATATATATATATGTTTATATATAAATATTGTTGTGTTCTTTGATGTTATTGCACCAACAAAAAGCCATCCATTTTTCCATCCAAAAGATCCCAAGAAATCCCGCGTTGCAGGCCCGTCTCGCACGGAAATCGGTGAAATCGGTTCCTTGTCGCAGAAGGACTTTGGGGTTTGTGATACGTATATCATGCAGTGATGGCTGGCCATGGCTATGAGTTATAATTGGTGATTTCTATAGTGATTATATAATGGTGATTAATGGTGATGAATGGTTAATAGTGGCTAAACATATGATGAATAATGGTTATAACTTGTTATTTAGATGGGATCATACATTCCATAAATGGGGTTATAAGATGTTGCAACACTTATAACTGGTAAAGGGCCGTGAGTGTATACAATAGGGTAACCTAACGTAGATGTGGACAAAAATCGTCGGTTTCCAAAGAAAATGATCTACGAATTGATGTTTTTTCCACATCTATGCTTGTTTGTCCTTGGATATGTGTATGTATATATATATACACATACGGTGAAGTATGGTGTATTATACGTAAATGGTGATATGTAACCAACCTGTAGTCAACTATGTAACTAGGGTTTTTAAGTCAACTAGTTTCAACTATGTTTCTACAGTTAACTGGGTTTTATGATACATACAATGTGTTGCCCCCACTTTGCGATAGTGGGTTTATAGGGGATATAGCTGGGACTTGGGGTTATAATGACACGTATATCTATACTAGATCCATGGACCTTGTTAGGAAGTATGACTGGGGAATGATTTAGGGGGGGACTTGCCTGTACCTTCTTAGACGGTATTTGGATCCATAGGGATAGTTCATGGGAGTTGAGCAATATATTCACCAGTTGAATTATGTTTGTTTTTTAACCGCATTCGGGATATAAAGGTTGCGGATAGCTACTCTGACCGATACTTACTTGTTTGCCCGTGCCCTATTGGTGCCAGGCTGTGTTTTAATATATTGACCCTTTCGGGCAGAGAAAGATATCAATTGGAAATGTCTGTCCAAAATTGGCAGAATCATCTATACATCGGACATGTTCCATGGGGCATTGGATTGTCAGAGTTGTTTTGGGCCTACGGCCTACTCCGAATGATTCCTGTACTTGGTGGCGAACTACCCACTTAGTAAGTGGGTTATAACCCCAGTGATTTACATGGGACAAGTAGGGTTAATCCACTTATAACTGGGGTTATAACCCACTTACTAAGTGGGATGAGCCCCCAAGTACACTTTGTACACTTTGTGCTGCACCTTCAGATGTTTCATGATGTTTCATGCCAGCTTTGGGCACGTAAGAAACCACATGAGTCAAGCAGATCTGGATTGGTCGTTGCATGACCGGCCACAATACATATGTTATAGTCAAAGTCAAAAAATGGAATATATACCCAGATTGTGAGATGGTTATAAATGCATGTTCAAGGATTTGCATTTACCCATTGCAAGGGATCCTATTGATGGTTGGATGGCCAGAAACCATTACTCCCATCTATTGACTATGTCATGCCACACCTGTTGTTTTGATATGTTTGGATTGATGGAAGCAGACTGTTTCTTTTTCGGATCCCCATACATCATCAGAGCATACATGTGTAAAGCGTTCCCATAGTGCATAAGTTGGGGCCGCCGTGATCCATTGTTAAGTTGGTGCAAGTAACTCTCATAGGGTTTATGATAGATATAGATCGATATAGCCTCTAGTTCTAGGTCAATCTTGGATGGATAGAAACTACTCCTTTAGTCTTTTGGTATGGGATTATCTACGTTCACCAGCTAAGAATTTGTCATTTTTTTGCAGGGTATCTAAGATTGGCCATGAGTTAATGGGGGTTATCAACTAACTAGTAATTACAGTAACTAGGCATCCACACCTTGTATGCCACCTTGATAATTCATATTGATTAACGTATTTACCCACCTTTTATGCGAAGTAAAGAAATATAATGACATATATATATATATATACATACATACATACATATATAATATATATATACATCTTTGCTGCTCATGTTTTGTTTTACCAAATATATACCGTATACCCTTGGTTTGAACCCGACACAATCTCGTCAATCTCCGGATTCTTCGACAGTTCCTCTCTCGAGAGACATGAGCCCAAGGCATGTACAGTTCTGGCCCTTTACCAATTAAACATGGTTGTAGAAATAAAGTTATTTCTATGGAATTATACCCTCCATAAATGGCGGTGACTTAGTGACTTACAAGTGTTATTTCGAGCCATAACTCTACATGTTTTGTTTTGTTTCCCCATGTAACGAAACGCAGGCGCCATGTTCTTTGCCCCAGCCACCACTTCGAAAGACCGAGGCCATGAGTACTCCTGAAGAGGTTCCTCCGCAGGATTTGCGAGGAATTGAAGGGTGATTTTTGTGTATACCTGAAAGACAAAAGATTCTGAGCAAATTTCCCATTGGTTGTATTTGGATATATTTGGGTGTCCTCATGACTGTTGGTTGCCATACTTGCAGCAGCCCTCTTACTGAGTGGTCAACTATGGCTAGTTTAAAAAACAAAGGCCAGAAATGCATCAAGAGCCTCATGGAGCATATCCAGGCCAAAAAACAGAAAGGCCTCTGGCAGGGACCTCCACAGCCTAGTCCCTGGGGCCAGCTGGAATGGGACCCAGCATTCCAAGAGAGTGCCAGTGGAAAAGCAACAGTGACTCCACCATGGCGCCAGGATCAACCCAAAGCCAGCCATAGGAAAGACTACAAGAGCTCTGATTCCCAGTGGAAGCAATGGAAAGGCAAAAAGAAGTGGAGCTGAAGTTGCAAGAGCTGTGATTGAAGCTCAATCACGTGGTGTACAAGGAGTGGGTCTAGGTAGAGGATCCTACAGCAGAAGATCCTTGCGCCATGTTGCTGATTCTTCAATTCTGGAAAAAAAAAGGTCGCAGAGCAAATTACCAGAGGGTATCACTATATCGGTTGATTCTCAGTGGTTTATGTATCACCATGAAATATAGATATGGCACTATATATTATATTAATGGATGAATGGATTATTGAATAATTAGAGGGTCTATAAACCAATAAACCACTGCATAACCCTGGTACTATCTTAATGGAGAATAACCTGGTGAACAACCCTGATTTATGTTAAAATAGTACCCTGGTTAATATTATATACCCTCTTGTTATTTAACATAGCTATGGGACACGGCCCATCAACAGATGATTTCCCATAAAGACATCCTTTTATAAGGGTTTTTCCATAGCTATCTTAAATAACCAGATGGTATATATATATATAATTAATATATATATATAATATCAATTGTTTTCAATATGAATAAGCCTGGTGAAGTACCCCAGCTCTGTTTTGGGCCTCTAAAAGGTGAGACCCAACGTTGAAAACAACGTTGGTTTGTAAGATGAACTGGTTGTATCTACCAAAACATGAAGATACATCTATAGATTATCTATAGTATTTTATATCCATAAACAAAAAAACACTTAGAACTATACCATAGAGTTTGTAAACACAGCTAGATACCAGCATAGTTGTATCTACCACCCTAGTATTTCTGGTCATAAACGAAGTTACCAAGCGCAATCGGGGGCCCCTTCTTGTACAAACGTTTTTGATCTAAGTTCGATCCCCAAACGCTGTGTCCAAGAGTGGGATGTGCCCTGTTACAATGTGGGCCCCCCCAGTTATAAGTTGGTCTATAAACCCCATGAATACCATAGTAGTTTGATGCTATTTGCGTATCATAAAGCCTAGTTATTGAAGTTATGTTCACCAACTTAGCTATTGTATCCTTTGGGGGCCCCACATTGTCCAATATTTCACCATCATCAACCATTGGTCAACTATATCCACTAGAACATGTTTCGTATATGTTTGATGGTTTTATAAATGACACAGAAATACTTTTTGAATTATCATCAGCCAAACATCATTGTGATACAACATATGTAATTATCATCAACCATCTCGGGTGATAACCCATGGCCCAGCGCAGCAAGACCCGGACAGTTTAACCAAACCACCACAATCCTGGCAGCCCTCGCAGGGCAAAACGAGGAAGTCGACTCTGACAGTTCCTTGACGGCAGGGATTTAATGGTGAAAAATGGTGATTATTATAATGATCAATAATGGTTAATAGTGATTAATGATCTAGGATGATCTAGGTCAATTTTGGATGGGTAGAAACTAATCCTTTAGTCTTTTGGTATGCGATTATCTACGTTCACCAGCTAAGAATATATTACCGAATGCGTAGCAAGGGTTCCCGTTTCACTCTGGGGGTGTGGGGGTTGAGGGTGTGTTCGCTCTACTTTGCGGTTCCGTCCTCAACCGTCCGCAACCGTCCGCGCGAGGCCCGTATGGCCGTGCCTATAAACTGCAAAAGTGATCACTTTTGGATAGTTTTGGAAGTTTCAAGCGTCGCGTAGCCTCGTTTCGCGTATAGCAGGCGTGGCACTTAGTGACATTCAGACATGTTTCATAACGTGTCGAAAGTCGTTTGGTGTGGCAGGCGCAAAACGTTTGCATCGTTTTCAGAAGATGAGTTGCATTTTTCGTGGCAGGCGCAGTTCATTTTGCGTGGCAGGCGCAGCCCTTTAGAGGAGTCGTGTTGCATGTTTTTTGCGAATCGCATTTTCAGGGCTGCGTCAAGTGGTGACAGCGTGCACATTCCGTGGTAGGCGTGGCATTGTGAGATGTGCTGCAAATTGACGGAAGCCTCGGGAGAAACATTGATTTTGAAGTAGCAAATTTTGAGGGTCATAAGAAAACTCGTAGGAAAACGTCGACTTTGAAGCCACACAGTGTGAAAATTGGAGGAGGTCTCGCACGAAATGCTCGTTTTGATGCTCCAACATGTCTCGTCTCTAGTCTCTGGTTTTCCTGTGGCCTCGCCGTGTCTATGGAGGAAGCTCAAAACCTATCCTGTTTCAAGGTGTCAAAGCCAGTTGTAACGTGGTTTTGCGTGGCAGGCGTGGCACTGCGTGACACTCTCAGGTGTCTGCAAGCGTGTCGAAAGCGTGTCGAAAGTCATGTGTCTGGCAGGCGCAATACTTTTGCGTACTCTACACACTACACTCCACACACTCCACACACTCCACACGCTCCACACACTCCACACACTCCACACACTCCACACACTCCACACACCCCACACACCCCACACACCCCCCACACCCCACACACCCCACACACAACACACCCCACACACAACACACACCCCACACACCCCACACACCCCACACACCCCACACACCCCACACACCCCACACACCCCACACACCCCACACACCCCACACACTACACTACATTCCCCACACCACACTCCCCACTTTACACTCTGCACTCTGCACTCCGCACTCTACACTTCACACTCCACACTCTACACCCCACACTCTACACCCCACACTCTACACTCTACACTCTACACTTTACACTCCGCACTCCACACTTTACACTTTACACTTTGCACTCCACACTCCACACTCTACACTCTACACTTCACACTCCACACTCTACACTTTACACTCTACACTTTACACTCTACACTCTACACTGTACACTCCACACTTTACACACTCCACACTCTACACTCCACACTCTACACTCCACACCCTGCACTCTACCCTTTACACTCCACACTTTAGACTCCACACTCAAAATTTTACACTCCACACTTTACACTCCACACTTGACACTTTTCACTCTACACTTTACACTCCACACACTCCGCACTTTACACTCTACACTTTACACTCCACACTTTACACTTTACACTTTTCACTCCACACTCCACACTCTACACTTTACACTCCACACTCTACACTTGACACTTTACACTTCACACTTTACACTCCGCACTCTACACTACATTATTTCCACTTTACACTGTATATACGCTCTACACTCTACACTTTACACTCCACACTTTGCACCCCACCCTCCTCCGCATTCCACAGTCTAGTGGTTCGGTAACAGGGGAATTGTACAAGACTGTTCAAATAACTTGTTTCCCACAAGTGTTCTACATGACTGCATTCGGGTGCAAGGGCTGCATTTTTTGGGGCAGGGTATCTAAGATTGGTCATGTATCACTAAGTGGATTTTCACTAGTGGGTCAGATAGATATATCACTTAGTTATGGATAATACAGATATATCACTTAGTTATATATCGACTGCAGAAAAATGGCCATGGCTATTGGCTATTGTTTAATAATGGTGATCAATTAATGATGATTGATGATGGTGAAAGAGCTGGTTATGAACCTATGGGATTTTATATAAACCATTTTTATGGGGTTATACGTGTTTATGACTGGTATGTAAAGGGCCATAACAGTATTGAAGCACAGAGATTTGTACAGGTTTGATTTGACCAATGGTGTGATGGTTGGACTGTACCGATACACTGTTTTGTTTTTTACACTGATCGTTGGGTTTGATGGAAATAATATTTATCTTAGCACCAAGCTCCATGATATCTCTGGTAAACAGATGTGGCAGTGGCAGTGGGATATCACACACCATAGATACATACAGATACCAGTTCACTGGGAATTATATTTTGGGAGTTGTATACACGATATAGATATGTGATGATATATATATATATATTGAGATACCACTTCTCCCATGAGGATTGTGATCAACTGATGATCAACCAATGAAAACTTTAACCAAAACCAGGTGCGGAGTTTTCCACGGATGTTTTCAACCTTAAGATTCCGGACACTTCCCGCAATTATGGTTGTAAGGTTGTAAGTCAGCTATAACCCCATGTATGGAATGATATGGCCATAAGAAAAACATAAAAACAACAATTTATATCTGGTTTCGGGGGCTTTAAGTGAACTAGTATTTTCCGAAACCACAATTATCGTAATTATTATCCCATCATTCTCCAATTATCATACATGAACATCATCAAACCCATTCTCATCCTTGTATTTTTTGCAGGCGTCCTTTCTTTCCCCGAGGTTGGTTCTCATTATTCACAGGTGGATGTGGGAATGGGCTGGCGGAAGACACGAAAGTTGGGGCAGATTCCACCAGGGGGGCCTTCCCCAGTTATAAATTTGTGGTTTAAGCCCCATTGAGTACAGTTTATATCAAAACCGAACTTTAGTTAGAGTCATATAAACCACCTTAGCAATCTTAAAGTCCATGAAACCACCATGATATCACCATGAAATCACCATGAAATCACCATGTTTTCTGGTAATCATAGAAATCGTTATTCTTTTACCAGGACCTGACCTTGTACCTGACCTTGTGCCTGTAAAGGTAATCTTTTCTCAGAACCCCTCAGCCATCCTGTTGGTTTGAACTACAGAACTACTCGAAACCAATCAACTGTGGCGGGGGCCTAGTGGATGTAGATAATCCTGCCCAGCCCCCAGTTACAAGTTGGGGCCCCTCGTGATTTTTGTTGGTGTGTCTAAACCCCATTCATTAAGTGTGTATATATATATATTATATATTTATTTAATTATAATATATATATAGTTATATCTACCAGAAACTATCCCTGCTAGTGATACATTTCAGTTCTGTTAAAACCAACTCGTTTCACAGAACTGACCCCCTGTGACGGTGCTCTCTATGGATTTTCTCCAACTCCTGCAGGCAAGAAAGTCCATGGCCAGGACTGCGGGAAGTCGCGACGAGAGAGTTCCGACCCAGCAACGGCCATGGAGATGGCCCACAGTGGTTAGCGGTGATGAATGGTGATTAATAGTGGACATCACTGATCAATGGAATAACTAATAAATGGAATTATAACTGCTGATTTCTACATAGTGATTTGATTTTGCTGGTGATCAATAGTGGTTAGGAATGGTGATTTCAGTGGCTAAAAATGTGATGAATGATAGTGAAATAATTGGTTATTCCAATGGGATGTACATTCCATTTCCATAAACGGTGTTTAATAACCACAGGATATTACAGTTATGGCCCGAGCTGTACCAGTTATTTAATTGTCACTGAAATAATCCCATAGAAATATGGGTAATGTATAATCCCATAGATTCATCAGTAGTTACTTCACCAATAGCCATGATCCTATAGAACTGTAAGTATGAACAAATATGATTTCATGTGATTTCATGTAGTTAAAACATGGTTAACAAATTAACAACCACAAAAAAACATCACATTACAATCCACGGTTTTTTTTTCGGTTCATGATGCACCAGTTTTAGGGTGACCCATAAAGGGGTCCAGTGGGACGGTTCATGCATTGGGCGATGACAACAGACTTTTTGAGAGACCTGTTTTATGTGGTGATGATGTTCCCCAAAATTGCTGGAAATTCGACGCAACTGGATTTTTTTCGGATTTTGTTTTTTGAAAGTTTTCTCCATCCCTAGCAGAGGCAATTTGGATTCATTGGTCTGTACGTCTGACAATTGAAGATACCCATCTTCAGGGGCAGACTTTTGATTAACAACTGTTTTTTTGTGGTGAAACCTATTTTTCAGACAAATTCATCTACTGTGAAACCGATTAATAATAACCATTGTTAATATGTCAAAAGAAATGGATTCCATGTAGAAATGGGTGAACCCACGTTTCACAGAAGTTACGTTTCGTGGGGTGATCCTCCAAGTGGCGTTCCCTTTAAAACCCCAAATTGTTTTTTCTTCAGTGGTTGTTAACACAACCAGACCATACGCATTTTTTTATTCCTTAAACAAATGCCAATTTCACAATCAACAATCCCTTAAACATCCACATTCATATATATATATATATATATATTGTTCCCTTAAAGAAATCAACAAGTTTCCGAAAAACTCCATGTTTCTACGGCAGGTTTCAACATGTTTCACGCCGAAGAAACCCTGCGGCAGGGGCTCGATCATGTCCAGAAACTTTCAGGGGACAGGCGCCGGGCGGCGCGTCATAACTGAATGCCGGGTCGCAAGCAGCAATATTTGGGATGATACAATGTGGGGCCCCCAAACGATAGCTAAGTTGGTGAACATAACTTCAATAACTAGGGTTTATGATACTTATAACTATAGTTAATAGGGTTTAATTATAGACCAATTTCTAACTGTGGGGCCACATACTGTAACCAACAATATACAGTTATGGCCGGGATACCAGTTATAAGTACTGAAATAACCCCATTTATTAATGATGAAGTCCTACAGTTAGTGATGGCCATGTATTAGTTTTAATTGCTTAAAAATGGGATTATACAGTTCATCAATGGGGTTATTTCGGTACTTAAACCTGGTAAAGGTTCATAACTACAGCAATATATGGGAGATACCCAACTATAATGGAAATCATTGACACTATGTGTAAAAATTTCAACACCAAAAATGGGAAATAAGAAACACCAACATTAATTGGAAATGGGCGATAGAACGGCCGAACATGGGACAACGGCTATGGCTCTACCTTGGTGTTTGCCTTCAAACATAATCTTTAAGCAACTGCCCGCCGGTGTCAAACATGGTGATTTAACCAACCATGATGCAGTTATGGCCCGAAATACCAGTTATAAGTCACTTAAACCCCAATCAAGGAATGTAGATTCCCATTGCAAGAATCAGTTATAATTAATCAATGGCCATCACTGTTGGGATTGAAAGGGATTTATTGGGAATTTATGGGAATTCGTCTACTTCTCAAACATGGCTGGGAAATCCGCGAAGTAGCGAGGTGTAGTTCGCCAAATTATCAAACGAACTTCGGGCGGGATTTGTCGCGATGTTACCGGAGGGTAGTGCATGCAACCGCAAGTTGCATGGTCGATTTTCTATGATTCGAGGAATATCACTCTTGAGAACCCGGATGCAAGTGTCACTCAATCCCAGCTCTTATCATATCCCATATGCTCCATGGTGCTGGAATATTACCTACATTTGCCCGAACAAGATCACCCAGTTTTGTAGGTAAATATACCAGCACCACGGAGCATATGGGTATGGATTTGGATCAATCGCATTGTCAGCCCAGTTTTTTCCCGTCCATCCGCATTTGCGACGAGAAGTGAATGGATTTGTTAAAGGCAGAAGATATACAGGAAACAATCCATGGATTTAAGATGATTTCAATTAAAACATCAAATATATGGGGTTTCCATATCTCAAGCCACGATTCCATGGCCTTGATCTTGCTTTAGCTGATCTTGCGCTTCCCACTAGTGCATTGTTTGGGCAAAAGGTTTTCTCGACAAAAGGATATTGAGACGTTGCGACATGATGATGGGCCATGATTTTCATCGAAAACTGAGGTCTTCTTAGACCTGAACCTTCCGATGCTCCGGACGAGGTACAATTGCAGGTTTTACCACACCTACATGGATGAGGACATGATCGGAACCTGCAAAGGTTTGGCGAAGCGAGTGCACAGGAAGCTCCTTGAACTCCGCCTACTTGGTCGGTTCTTGCTTAGGTTGCGTCCCTACATGCCGAACAGAGTGATAAAATGATGGTGCGCGCAGCAGATTGGCCGTTGAAGGCTTCAAACCCTACCCATCAAATTTCACATGTAGGTTCATTAAAAAAAGGCAATTTTGTGAATGTTGGTTCTGGGGCCTACGGAGGCATCTAAAACCCAAATGTGACCCTGAGAGCCTACATTTGTGAATGTTGCACTCGGGGTATGGCTTTCATGTTTTCTTTTCCATTCAAGCAGCAAAATCAACTCTGGGACTTCTTTGAAGAAACGAGTTCCATTCTTTATCTCCTTAAATTTAGTTGGCTTGGTTCATCCCGAGAGCAACTTCGGTGCATGGGTGACGTGATGTTATCCTCTGGTAAACATACAAAAAGCGTCCTTAAAAATGGCCATGTATGGTTGATTTAAAAGTTCATTTACCTATGACAAATGGTGATTGTCCATTAATGATGCTAGTTGACCAAAGGGTATATAATCACAATCCACCATGATAATTTGAAAAAAAACTGACCAACTGCAGTTGAGGGACAGAAGGTTTTTGGGGAAAGGAAGATGTCACGTTCAAGTGAGGGATGAACATCCAAGTTGTTTCCTATCTCAAAAACGTATAAAGATGTGACGTGTAGCCTTTGGTCGCATGGTGGGATGGTCGGATGTTTAGGGTTGATGCTGAGAACTGGTGCTTTTGTTTTAAGCTGTATCGCTCGAAAACATCTAAACCAGGACAAGTCCCAAAAAAACATGCTGAAGTGTGCTAGAAACGAGCCATTAAATATGGGAGACGCCGTCATGGATCGTCAACTGGGGCAGGGGGATGATTAGGAGTGATGATGCCAGTCATCAAGCTGGATCTGTGGGAATTTGCCATGGCTATTAGTTATAGCTGGTGATTTCTATGGGATTATACATAAACCATAAATAGGTTTATAAGCACTTATACCCTCTGGTAAACTAACATAGCTGTTGAAAATCACCATTTTTAGTAAGTAAATCCACTATATATAAATGACCATTTTCAATAGCTATGTTAAATTACCAGAGGGTAACTGATAAATGGCCACAATGGTTGGAAATTCTGTAAGTGAACCTGGAATCTTTTGATTATAATCCTGGGGGGTTGCACGAGCGGCTCCACCAATGATATGGCTGGATCCCAAGTTGAAAAATGGGTTGAACTATCGGAGTGCTGTCACTTGGCCCAGGCCCTGGACCCAAGCATTTAGATGCATTCAGTACATTTGCCCCAGACTTTTTGGGTCTTTTGAAGATCAAAGGAGCTTAGAAGTCCAAGGTGGGGCCCTCAAACGCTACGTTGTTGCTATTTATAAGCCCCATGAAGCTGAAAGAATCTACCCTAAACCATGGAGCAACACCAACTTCGCCATCAATAGGACCCCACCTTGTCTTCCCCGGCGTATCCCAAAAAGGGAATCGGGGGATGAAAATCGCCAGGAAAACGACCGTCCCTCTTCTTGGTTGCAACCACCGTGACCGTGACATGGCACGCATAGCCCACAAATTTAAGATCGGAGGTTGACACCCCAGTGAAATGTGTGTTGCTGTGTGCTAACCCCTGGAGAATAATGAAATGATTATAATGTGGGTAAAACAAGACTAAACCATCCCCCAAATCACCATAAATAGATGGTATTAACCATTCCCAAATGGATGGTTTATGACATTGTTTTACCCGCATTAGTTATAATATCCGTTCAAAACTCATCCTTAACCTATAGTTATAGACTTATAGACTAAGTTCGTTATTTATTGTCACTACTTTCTACAACACTTGGGTGTTTTTTTCTTCCAGCCAGCGCATTAGAAGAAGGATTCTGACAGGCACCCGCAAACAATCACTTAACATCACTAGTTGGTGGGCCCTCCCCGGTTATAGGATAGTTTATAAGCCCCACTGAGTATGTCTATTTATATATATATATATATATACATACCTACTACCACAAACCATCAGAAACCTAAGAATTATTGTAGTTACTCGCACCAGCTTAGCGTTCTCAAACCGAGGCCCACCTCGCGGCTGGTGGTTTAACACATAAAAAGAACAATATGTTTATCCATTGACACCGAAACACTTTGGAGTTGAACGCGCTAGGCAATCCAACAGCCGTAAAAACCGGCATATTTTTCTCCCGAAGGTCTGGTTTTGACGACATATGATGGTTGTCCAATTTCAAGTTTTGGGTTTATGATACATATATCGATAGTTCTGAAAAATCATATGGAACAATCTAAGCCCGATGAACTAGTTCGATATATCTACCACCAATTTTGCCAACTGTGGAAATTTCAAGTGCCTTTTCAGGCACCTAAACCGGTTGTACTATACAACAAAAAGCCATAATTTGGGTGGATATCCTCTTGCATAGCCCTTAAAAATAGACCTTATATGTGGTAGGTACTTCCAATTTCCTGCAACGGCAAAGTTTGCAAAGTCGGTTTATAACAATGTGAGGCCCCCAAGATATAAGTTGGTTTATAAGCCCCAGTAACTATAGTTATAAATACCATAAACCATAGTTATTGGAGTTATAAACCAACTTAGCTATCTAGGGGGCCTCACATTGTAAGTATAGGGGAATTCTATGGTTTATGGTATATCAAACTATAGCTTATTGGCTTTGGATTGTTCCATATATGATTGAACAAACTGTAGATATACTCGATATAGTCGATATATGGCCTGGTGAGCCAGATGTTCTGTTTTTGTTTGGTTCTATTTAAACCAACATAAAACCATGATGAATCATAATGACATTCACCAACAAACATATTAAGCCATCACGTTTCGGACCTGGGGCGTCATTGGCGCTCCTTAGGCACAGAGAACCACAACTTTTTCGCGCGCTCCGGCGGTGGCCCGGCGATGAAGATGGGCCATGGTTTGTTAGTTCTCCTTTGGTAAGTTAAACATACCCTCTGGTAAACATACGAAAAGCTATTGAAAATGGTCATTTATAGTTGATTTATCCATGAAACATGGTGATTTCCATAGTTATGTTGGTTAAGTATTTTTCATCTAGTAAATGAACAGTTGGACCCTGCAACATGGGGCCCCTGTTCGATAGCGTTCAGTTGAGATATGGCTGCGGCTGAATTAACTATGGTTTATGGTAGATATAAGGACGAACTAGTTACCAGAAACTAGAGTTATATAATGGTGATTAATAGTCGTTAGTAGTGACAAACTGATAAATGGGATGATCAATGGGATTTACCTTCTGCTAAATTAACGGTTGGATCCTGAAAATAACAAACTATTTGAAACTAATCTTCCAACCCCTTTCTGGCAGGGTCTATGTTAATTTACTGGAGGCTAATTAATTACTTGGGTTTGTTTAAGGTGATTTGGCTTATTTTCCCAATGGTAAATCCACTACTTGGGGAAACGATGAAGGGAACGTGGTTTATTTCGCCATTTGTCAGGTGAGGGTTGTTAGATTTTATGTCAGCCTGCCCGCCTCCTTCCTCCTCCCTCCTCCTCCCTCCTCCTTCCTCCTCCTTCCTCCTCCTTCCTCCTCCTTCCTCCGCCGGACCTCAGCTGCAAGCTCTAGATCGCAGTGTTCGCCGCCGGACCCGAACAGCAACGTCTGGATCAAAGTGTTCCCTGCTGGACCTCAACAACAAAGAATCTCCAAAGATAGAATGCCAGATGCACATGCCAGAAAGAATGTCGTAAGATATGGCATATATCAGGTTGCTTTCTTGCCGGTGTCGCTTGGCAACTACAAACAACTGTCTTTGACATGTTGGAATGAAATGAGCTGGAGAGTTAGCTGGGTATCTGTCTCACAAACACTTTGCTTCATATAAAACAACAATAAACAATGCGGTGAGTCTTGCAATGGGACTTGTAGCTTCTAAGGGTTTGTACTAGAGCACGGAATGCCTTGAAATGCCATGGTGGGGATCGCTCGAAGTAAAGTATTTTTTGGTTTCTAACCAGAAAACACTATATAATACCAGGGCCCATCTAAGCATGGTCCGAGTCTTGTGCTTGTGGTGACCGTAAGCCTAGTAAGTTGCCTGTAGAAGTGGGGTTAAACCATGTATGAATGGGTGACAGCAACTAAGGTTACTGGCCAGTTACTAAGTGGGATGATCCCCCAAGTATGGAACATGGCCGTTTTCGAGATGAATTACCAAGTAAAGATGGTGGTTTTTGAAAACGCCCTCTTTAATTTGAGATGGGAGGTCAGAAAAAAACACGTGGTCAACAAGGAAAATCATGGGATTTAGCATTGCTTAACCGGCAACACTAGTGACCTGAACCAAACAATAATATGCCATCAGCAACGAAAAGGGGATTCAACTGGTCAATTGAAGATCATGTACCCACGAGCAGATTGTTGTATTATGCCGTATTGATTTTCAGGATGATGGTGAAATATCATGTGGATAAACCGACCAATGAAGTTTTCATGATTCATTTTCACCCATTCTTTTGAAGGACCAATGACTGATCAACAAGTATTTGTCTTGGAATAATAATAGATCCTGGAATATTTTGTGTTCCGATATCTACTATTCCGAATATTTGAAACATAGTTATTCCAATAATGATGGATCTTGGCATAAATTACATACACAATTAACACCCAACAATGTCAATGTTGAAATTATAACAAAAAATGGTTTCTTAACCAGAGCTAACCCCCAACAGTAATAATTGCAACTAAAGTGGTGCCGATTATTAAACCAGACCCATGGTGCCATAGGGGATTCGGGGGGGGCGGTCATACCCATTCCAAATTCCCCAAATTTGAAGGTATCTCCACAGCTTTGGCCCTAGGTTTACCAATTATAAATGGTGAAATAACTGGTTATTTCCATGGGATTATTCCACAAATGGTGTGACTTAGTACAAACATAACTGGTCTGATTCGGGCCAAAACTGCAGATCATCGCGGAAAAACCCATGTTTTTGCGGTATCCTAATGTCAAAAAAACGTAATTCACCCCACTAAAGCACCAATCCAGCACAGTTTTTTATGAAACTCCTTGGGCCCCGATGCCACTCACCATTGAACCATATTGAACCTGAGGACAAAGACAGGCAGTCAGGACGAAATACTGTTCATGTGTTTGGTCCCTTGAAGAAAATTCAAGTAAATCCTACAAAGTCGTACCATCCATTAAGAAGTTGGCCAGCAACCCTTCCAACGATATTTTCCACAAACCCTAAACACCTTTTGCAGGTTTCACCAAATGTCATGCATTATTTTTTTTTAAACACAAATTTTGGAATTTGTAATGGTTCATTCCCAATTTAAGATGAACTGGTGAAATCACATGATGTTGATTGTTCAATCCCCTTTTTTCGTTGGGTCATCTCACAACTCTTGATGGTTAACCACCCGATAAGTCCAGGTGTTCCCCACGCATCTCCCGCTCTCAGATTACAAAACGCATCTCCAGCTGGTCTCAGAGAGGTTCAACCGTGCCTCGCCTGGTGAACAGCGCAAGCGCAGCGTGGCGTGTTGTGGTTCTGAGGTGGATTCAATCAATAGCCGTTTGGAGGTTTCCTGGAATGGGGGTACACTTAAATCATCCATTTTTAGAGGATTTGCCATTATAAACTATCCATTTTTGGGGATCCACCATTTCAAGAAACCTTGCCTTTCCGCGAACTAAACTGGAGGTACTGTGCCATAGCCATAGAAAGCCATAGAAGTTGGAGGTACATCCCCTTACATAGCCCTTATGTAGCCCTTACATAGGCCTTATATACCGTAGGCACCTCCAATTCTGGTTCTTGAAGCGGCCACGGATTCAAAGCTTGAAAAATTGGAACCAAGAATTTTCGGATATATCTGAATTAATGGGAATAAGAATCTCTAGGAAATAAGCAATACATGTGTAGAAATGATACAAAACCCACAATAGGATAGTAGAACAATGGGATGCGTAAGCGACAATGTATGGGAGAAAATTGCGATGTACCAGCCGAACTTGAGATTTGCCCAGCAAACATGGTAGTTTACGCATGGATACCCTCTGGTAAACTAACAGAGCGAACTGGAAAATCTCATTTTTTAATGTGTAAATCAGCTATAAATGGCAGTTGTTAATAGATATGTTAAATTACCAGAGGTTAATTGATTCTGCTTTTGGCCAGAGCTTTGAGATATAATGGGATTGTGATGTGTGTATGTACATACAACCAACCATATGTTTTGATAGGTGGGATATAACCGGCATATTTGGGCTAAATCAACTATAAATATAACTATGATACAATGGAGACAACCACGATTAATATTGGTGAGTTAGAAGGTAGTTTAGCACTTTCATCTGTCCCCACACATCGGGATATACACTGGCCATGTCTTAGAGAATTTTGATGGACCATGGAGGTAATTAGTAATTGGCTTGCAACTGGCTACTGTCCAGCACTCAGCCACATGGCCACGTAGCTACGGAAGTTGCCACCATCTGTTGATTATTTCCACAAGAAAGCCATGGATTTCCATAGCATTCCATAGCTATGTTCGTTTATTGGAGAGTATGTGTATGGCTTATAAGCTAATTCCCAACTAATTGGCTACTCCTATGGCCCATCTATGCAAGTGGTTTCCGGTGGAGGATGGCAGACGGGGGCCGAGAGGGGAGAGGAACTGGACAATAACTGCAGCTGGTTGGGAACAGACGTGATAAACAACAAGAAACACAGAAATTTTGCAAGGATCGCACGTTTTTAATCAACTGACATAGTGATACAGTGTGAGGCCCCCAAGATATAAGTTGGTTTATAAGCCCCAGTAACTATAGTTATAAATACCATAAACCATAGTTATTGGAGTTATTTGCACCAACTTAGCTATCGAACGGGGGCCTCACATTGTAGAATTCAACCAAATGCGTGAGCCGCTGAATTTGTATGGCCGTTTCAGGATCCTAGATCGGAGGTACCTACCATATATAAGGCCTATTTTTTAGGCTTAAATTTCAGGGAATATCCCCACAAAATATGGCCAAACATATGGCACTAACGTACCTCCATTTTAGGATCCTGGAATTCCCTATTTTTGTGAATGCTATTGCCATCATGGTACTCCATTTGTCTATGCGCATTGGTTGAACTGATGAGGAGGTTCAGAGTTTGCCCAGGCAAAACCGACCAATGATTTGTAGAAGTTGGTGTAAAACGGCAAAGTTTTGTTGGTTTACAATAGATGTTTATTAAGCCTCACGAAAACTGTACCCTATGGATCCAAGTACCCTCTAAGAAGGCGGACATTTTTCTGCATGGATTTTAGATGATTTTTGCCATCCACTTGGAGATATGTAGAACCTGTCTGTCTCGGATTGCTCAACAAATCACACATCTTTTCCACGCGAAGACAGGTTGACTTTTGAGCAATCAACAAATCACCAGTTTATGTTTTGTCTGCTGTATACCCTGCAGAGTCCCTACCAAAAATCATATATCCCTTGTGGTGAGGTTATAACTTAACCATTTGACACATTTTGTCACAGCTATAGCATACCCATTAGTAACCATTAATTGATCATTATTAGCCCATTAGCAAAAATCATGTTATATACTAAGCCATATCAAACCATATCAAACCATATTAAACCATCTAAAACAATATTAAACCATATTAAACCGTATAAAAAACCATATTCACCATGGTTATCCCCTCTAAAAACAACCCCCATCCTCAGAAAAATCCAGTCCTCCAGTCCTCGAGTAAGGTGTCTGTGAACGCCGTGGAGGGTCGCTTTGTGGTTGACAAAGATCCTCGGTCAATCAATGGATCGGTCACCGGAAACCATGCCCAGGTGCGGTCACCATGGTGCTGGAATGTGGACCCCCCCCCAGTTATAATTGGTTTATAAGCCCCAGTAACTATAGTTACAATGCGAGGCCCCCTAGATAGCTAAGTTGGTGCAAATAACTCCAATACCTATGGTTTATGGTATTTATAACTATAGTTACTGGGGCTTATAAACCAACTTATATCTTGGGGGCCTCACATTGTATAAATACATATCAATACCACAAACCATAGTGAAATTGGAGTTATTTGCACCAACTTAATTAGCTATCGAACGGGGGCCTCACATTGTGGAATATTGACCTACTTAAAAAAAAAAACAGTTTTGTAGGTAAATATTCCAGCACCATGGTCGCATCTGGGATGGATGTTCCCATCTTCAGATCATGTGGCTTTCCGGTTAAAATTGTCCCGAAAAAAAACACTCTCCATTGAGTTGTTTGCGGTTTTTGATGATGAAGGGGATCAAGCCTAAAAGATGGGGCCCCCAAACAGTAGGTAAGTTGGTTTATAATTCCACTAGGCTTTGGATGTTCGCTATCGTCACCACACAATTTTTCATGGTTTTGTGAATGATCTCCGCTATCTACACATTTCTTTCGTTCCAGTTGGGTTCCACGAAACGTTTCCAACTACTCCCGCTACATCGTGTGGTCTACAGTTTTTATCCTCCCCACGTTGCAGATATAAATGTCATTGTTGATCCAAAACAAATATTGTAACAATCGCCGGAGAGCCCTTCTAGGTTGTTATGTTGTTGGTTTTGTTGCTTAGGCTTAGTCCCTCGCCGTTACTGTCGCTTTCTTGGCACCCTCATTGTTTTCGGTTGAGTTCCATGACAATCCATGCGTTTGTCGATCCTTCGTCCTGAGAAGTTGTGGTTTCAATCCCTTACATCCACCGTTTCTGAGGGGTGTTTAATATTTGGGGGATGCGGGGATGGGATGCTTCAGGGCTGAGTTTTCAGGGCTTCGGAACATCCCCATGGTTTGGCACCCCCCAAACCTGTTGCGTCACGTTTTGCGTCACTTGGCTGAGGATTTGCGGTTAGCCTTCGCTGCACGGAATAGCACCCATTGGGGGTTGAAGGAGAGGGACTGGGGGCTGGGGCTGGATGAAGCCTGTTGTCCGAGCATGGGTCATTTGTCCTAATGTGGTAAACCATGGTAAACCCAACGATATACACCGTCCCCAAAATCATCATAAATTGTTTGGATTTAAACCATCCCCAAATGGTAGGTTTATCACTGGGTTTACCGCATTAATATCCATAATCCCAAAAACAATGGTTTGTGTTGGCGATTTGGTTTATGTGGATTATATAGGATTACCACATTAGACACAGAGGAGGTTTGGATGCGAGGTTTTTGGGTTGAACATAGGCTCAAAGAAAGGAGTGAGCTGCGACTAGGCGTGAATTCCAGGAACATTGTAAGTGTTTTATTGACAATGTCAGAAGGCAGATGGTATCCCCAAGAAAGATGGAAACAAATGTCATCACTATTTAGTAGGATTCTACTTTTTTTTGGATGGGGGGGTTCACGAATATAATTATGTTGTACATGTATATGTTTTATATAGGTAGGATAAGCCCACTTAGGCCTTGGAGGACTGACAGTGTTGCTGGCATGGTATTCTCCTTGATTTTTCCATCGGATTAACCAACAAGAGTGGGTGTAAAATGGGGGGACACGGGCATATTTACCATCCACTGTTCTGGGAAGCCAATGAAAAAATGAAGGTAATTACTAGCCTCTGGTAAACGTTTACATAACTATGGGAAAATCAACATGTTTAATGGGTAAATCAACTATTTCGACTGGGCCTTTTTCGCAAACTGTTTGTTTACCAGGCCGGGTATTCACCCAGCAATCGTTGGCACCGCCAGGAAGTAGATGCAGATCTGCGCTTTCCAATGACTCTGGTGGCACCTGGGCTTTCAACGATGAGGGAAAGCCACTGCCATGTCGTCACCGGCCCTCCAACACAAGGGGTTGAAAAACATTGAGGTTTGCCTTGTTTATTGTTTGGGCGGGGCTGATTGCGGGGATGGTTTCTTGGCTTCACCTTACCTTAGTTCGCATCCCACCTGGAAAAAAACACATCTTGAAGTCAGAAAATTGCAACTTAAAGTGAGAATACAGTTATGGCCCGAAATACCAGCTATAAGTCACTGAAATAACCCCCTTCATGGAATGTATAATCCCATTTTTACAACATTTTATAAGCATTTAGAATTGGTAAAGTAAAGGGCCATAACTGTAGATCCTAGTATATCCCTTTTAGAGACATGGAGATATATTCTTTACATTTCTTTACATATAGCTGGTCAGAAACTTAAGATGAGGCAGGGTATCTGAATCACTGAATGTGTAACCCTCTCCCCCCCCAAAAAAAAAACATTGGGGCCACGTTTTGCAGGAGTTTTCAAACAGTTTCACAACGTGTTTGTTTTGTTCATATAATCGTGTTATACACATCCATGTGTATCCAGATGAGTATAGCTAGTTGATGACTTATTCATATCCAATCAGGCCAATTCAGATGCGGGACAATACCAGGGGAGATTTGCTTGCTGGCTGCTTGGGTGTGGGGTCATGCTTTGAACATTAGGAGTTTTGAGTCTTGAGGCGTCTTGAGGCATCAATTGCAAGGTGGGCTCAGTGGGCTCCACAGCTATAAGGTAGTTTATGCAACCTATTTATTCTAATTATATCTACCATAAACTCTAGTTATGCGAGTCATAAACCAACGCAAATCTGTTTTAGGGTGCCCCATTTTGTATGATCCACATTGGTGGCGGGGGAGCCGACTGGCCACGGGCCCCACGGGCCCCAGCAGGTTTCCATCTTGTCTCATTGGGCAGCGGGCGCAGACGCGGAAGACGCACAATGAACATCTGGAGACATCTGTTTGGTTGAAGGGGAAGCTTCCAAGGGGAAGAGGAGGAAAGGCTCGTCGGTGAAGCTGCGCTCTGGAAATGGAAGGCCAGGGAGGATTGCTTTCAATATATTTGGATCAGCCTGTTTTAGAAAAAATACACATCTTTTCCACTGAAGTTGTTGAACCTTGTGTGCAAACGCCTCGGTGCATTTGGGGTGGCAGTCGAAGGAGTTTGGCTCTCACTTGTCACAACGTGGTGCCCCCTACTTCAAAGTTTAATTAAAAATCCCAGTAAATATCAATATGTCTATCATAAACCAAAGTTACAGTTATGTCCCTTTACCAGTTATAAGTACTTATAACATCAGCTACGGAATATATAATCCGATAGAAATTACTTTACTTCGTGTGATCCCCACCATGACATTTATACATTTTCTTACTGGCAAATCTTCTGGCATTCTATCTGACATATCTTCTGACATTCTATTTGCATTCTATCTGGCATATCTTCTGGCATATGATCTGGCATATCTTCTGGCATATCTTCTGGCATTCTATCTGGCAAATCTTCTGGCATCTTCTGGCATTCTATCTGGCATATCTTCTGGCATTCTATCTGACATATCTTCTGGCATTCTATCTGGCATATCTTCTGGCATATATATATATCTTCTGGCATTCTATCTGATATCTTCTGGCATATATTCTGCATATCTTCTGGCATATCTTCTGGCATATCTTCTGGCATATCTATCTGGCATATCTTCTGGCATATTTTCTGGCATTCTATCTGGCAAATTCTTCTGGCATTCTATCTGGCATATCTTCTGGCATATTATCTGGCATTCTATCTGGCATATCTTCTGGCATATCTTCTGGCATATCTTCTGACATTCTTTCTGACATTCTTTCTAACTTTCTTCTGCACATTCTTTGTCCCATATCTTCCTACATGAGGTCCGGCAGGGAACACTTGGCGTGGATACTCGCGGTTGAGGTCCGGCAGGGAACACTGGGCGTGGATGGTCGTGGTTGAGGTCCGGCAGGGAACACTGGGCGAGGATGGTCGTGGTTGAGGTCCGGCAGGGAACATTGGGCGTGGATGGTCGTGGTTGAGGTCCGGCAGGGAAGGTCCGGCAGGGAACATTGGGCGTGGATGGTCGTGGTTGAGGTCCGGCAGGGAACACTGGGCGTGGATGGTCGTGGTTGAGGTCCGGCAGAGAACACTGTGGATCGCGGGTCGCAGTTGAGGACGACGAGGACGACGAGGACGACGAGGAGGACGAGGAGGAGGAGGAGGAGAGGAGGACGAGGCAGGAGGAGGCGGAGGAGGAGGAGGAGAAGGAGGAGGAGAAGGAGGAGAAGGAGGAGGAGGAGCAGGCAACTGACATAAAATCTAACAACCCTCACCTGGCAGGTGGGGAATAACCAGTTATTTCACCATTTATAATTGGTAAACCTACGGCCATAACTGTAGTTTATCTAGTTACATATCAACTTAGCTGTTTGACGGCCTAACTTTGCACCTTTAGTGGACCGTGTCTTGATCGCACTGGCAATTTTTGTTGAGAACGAACATCCCAAATTTGGGGACTTAGAACCGGAAGCCAAGTAGGGATATATGCATGTGTAATACAGGGATATATATATATATACATACATATAGGGCATATACATGTATGTATGTAATGTAATGTAATGTAATGTAATGTAATGTAATGCAATGTAATGTAATGTAATGTGTGTGTGTATGTATGTATGTATGTAAGTATGTATGTATGTATGTATGTATGTATGTATGTATGTATGTATGTATGTATGTAATTATGTATGTAATTATGAATGTATGTATGTATGTATGTATACACAATACTTCACTATTCACTTTGGGGTACTAGATAGCACCTGGATTTGCATCCCAAGAATTGTGACAATCATACTTAGTTCACACAGGTTACTGTGCATATTCACTTACCGGGATGCACATTCAAGAACCATTTATATGGCTACAGCAGCGTATCCAGGTGCATGAGCAGACAACCTACTTGTATGTGCATAAAGTATCTTAAAACAAAGTAAAGCAGTACAACACACACACACAAAACAAAAAAAAAAAAACAATAGAAAGCCGTCTGGTACCGGTGTGTCAACCAGGTAATTTGACCAGAAACAATAAGGATAAACGACACAGTCATCCCCGCCAGTACCCCAAGACAGAAGAGGCTCCTAGAAGGTGAGCTCCCATTCCAGTTATGTTTGTTGGACATTACACTCCTGTTTGTTGGAACGTTGGAACATTGCCCATTTAGTAATTGTATTTGTCCCTATGTGAAATTATGGGAAGGTCATCTCCATTTCTTTTGGTTCAATCATGTTACATCATCATCCACATAAACCCACATAAATGTCACTTAAAATCCCCTGTCATCACCACAGTTATGACCATTGACTGGTTATCCCACTACTTCCAAGAACAAAGTTAAACGTTGTCGTCCAAGTAAAACCATGACTTTACTTAAAGACACTCATTGACTGCTGATATATGTATATATATATAGTCAAAAAAGGGTGACCTTTCCCCTGAGCCTAATCGAATCCGTAAATCAATCCTCAAAATCTGAATAAAAATATGTGGTTTCCATGCTCAAGTTTTTGATTGGTTTTCGGGTTTTTCACTGTCTTTTCACGGGTTTTTCACGGTCGTTTCACGCACTTTTCACGCTCTGGGTTTGGAGTGGGATTTGTTTGAAACTCTGGAGTCCGGTATATATTTATACTAGTACTCATTGGGTCTGATAATGCCCAGTAAACACATGTCGCTTCCAAAGACAAAGTTAAACTTTGTCGTTGTGAAAGCCCCAGTTAAACTTTGTCGAAGACTGAGTGGGTATACTGTAACTGTTTATAAATAACTTATAACTGGTCATAACTGGTTATTTCTATGGGGATCATGATTTCTAGCAAGTCTGATTCTGAGACATCGCAAAAAAATATGACCAACACATCCACTGGGTGGTCCCAAAACCTGGGTACCTAAGGTTATTGATTTCTTAAAACCATAGCTTGTCTTCATGTTAGTTTCCGTGAGATACTTATAAATTTATAACTGGTATGACTCGGGCCCTGTAACCACCATGAACCCCTCCATCCTGGATCGCGCGAAAACGACCTTTGAGGCCTGTACGAATTGGGTCGGGACCACAGGGACCACATCTGGAGTGAAGGGTTATGGGGACCCAATAGGAACCCCCCAAGAATGGGGGACATGTGATTACGGCTAATTGAGAAAATAATCGAATATACCGCATGAATCTATGATGTGTTTAAGTGCTGTTTTTTTGTTTTCCAATAAGAAATCCAGGACTTGGCTTAATTTTCAATAGGAAATTTAGAAACAATTGGAGAATATATAGGCAATTGTTTATTTGTTGAAGCCCATTCAGCAAACTGCCTGGCCCTCGAAGGACATGGTCCGATGCAAATTCACCTCCCTGATCTGTACAGTTCCCGAAATACCAGTTATAAGTACTTATAATCTCATTTATGGTTTATGTATAATCCCATAGATTCATAACCAATTATTTCACCATCATTAATCACATATTTAGCCGCTATTAACCATTATTAACCACCATTGTTCACCATTAATCAGCATTAATCACTATAGAAATCACCAGTTATAATTCCATAGAAATCAGTTATTTCCCTATGTTTGCGTATAATCTCTCATAAAAATCACCAGTTATTTCAAGAAAATAGCCATGGCCCCCTTATTTAAGCCGCCCTGCAGTGGATCCATGTGGAAGTCGTAAACCCTTCAACTGAATGGATGTTCAAGAGCTGGTAAACATACAAAAAGCTCAAGAGGAAATGGTGATTTACTTCGTGGATCATGTGGATATGTATACCTATATTTCTTAAATGGTGGATCTTTCCAGTTCGTTATGTAAACGTTTACCAGAGGGTATGTATGAAAACCATCCAATGATTGGGGTAATGTGGTGAAAACAATGCCATCAACCACCCCATTTTTGATGGTCTATACTATCCCACCCATAAACATTGTGATGACTGGGGAATGGTGAATAATTAATTATGATTGTTTCAAGCACATTGCTCGATTTTGACTCATATCAAGATGTAAAATATAATTTTATATTTCAACATATAATTGCATACTTCCCTATGTATTCAAATACCTTCCAAGAAGGTACGGCTGCCCCGAATACTTCCTGACCAGGGTATTTATAATGTATATATATATATATACATAATTATCCTGAAGTAGATAGAATAATTCGTTCAGATGTTCCCATTTGAGTGGAGATTTGCATTGAAATGTCCATATTCTATCTACTTCAGAACTTCAGGATCATATACAATATATATATATATACACATTATATACATGCAATTATATCCAACATAAGCCCGAATGAACCCTAAGTTGCGCAGTCAACAATTTTTCGCTCCCTGGAATGATGCGTTTTTGGGATTGGCCAAATCACACCCCTCAACTGGCCAAGTCATGTTTTTGTTAATAAAGCATACCCTCTGGTAATGACTAACATAGCTATTGAAATTTGCCATAGAAATAGTGGATATCCCCATTAAAAATGGTGATTTTCCATAGTTATGTTAGTTTACCAGAGGGTACTTTCAATTGCTGGTTTTGATGATAGTCTTCTCACTTGCCTTTTTCGAATATTTTTGATGGTGATGTTCACAAGTTCCAAGCTTTAAATCACACTTACTATCCATGACTGTATTACCCACAATGTGAGGCCCCCTAGATAGCTAAGTTGGTTTATAACTCCAATAACTATGGTTTTTGGTATTTATACCCATAGTTATTGGAGTTATAAACCAACTTAGCTATCTAGGGGGCCTCACATTGTACTATCTATTATTACCCAGCAAACATGTGCGTTCTACACCCAAGCATTGAAAGATGCAGGTGTCTCACTGCCGAACTGCCGCGGAAATCGCCTGAGGTGTGTCACTTTTCGATGCTCTCCCAACTCTCCACCTTTGTTACTGGGCCTGGTTTTGGAGTAGCCCAACTTGGTGAAGATTATGTGGAATCTGATGCTCAAAAACAGTTCTGCCCAATTCATTTTTGTTATAATATGTTATAATTAACTATTTAACTGGTGATGAATCTATGGGATTATACATGTGATAAATGGGGTTATACATGCTTAACTGGTAAAGGGCAATAGCGGTAGAAGTGGTTATGGCTTGAATATTATCCCATAAATCCAACCAATTCTATAACCAACTTGCAATATGATGGTTATGTTTATAGAATTATCAAAAAAAAATATGGTTGGATTTCTACACACGGCAAATCCAGATAAATATGCTTGGATATACTGAAGAAGTGTCACATTTTTCTCCAGTTATTTTCCCAATGGGAAATCCACTACGACTGGGGAATCGATTTGGGACATTTTTTTGGGTGGGGTCCTGAAGCAAATCCGTGGGATTATACGAAAATGATGAGACATCTGGATCGTGGATTTGCTGAAGATGATTTGTGATTTTCCCAATGGAAAATCCAGCATTTTGGGAATCTATAGTGAATAGTTTTTGGATATCTTGGGGACCTTCGAATCAAATCCTTAATCATGGAATAATTTGGATTGTTTTTTGGATAACTGTAGGATATATGCCAAAGTTTGCGACAGAAGGTTTGTGAGTATGGGGGCCAGAAACAAAAGACCGGCAACAGAAGATGCCGGACACTTGGAAACCTATGAGGGAAACTATTGGTATCTTTTGTTTTCCATGATGGCATAGATGATGTTTTCAATAGCTTTCCTTTTCAGGTGTCCGACTTGTCGCTTTTTCACTCAGAAAGCCGTGCTCGTTTTGGCAAAAGCCACTGGATGTAAATTGTGGTCCTAATGTTAGTAATAGTAAACCACCCATGTTTTTGATGGTTTATAGAGTTTATACAAGCCATTTATGGTGATTTTTGGGATGGTTTACTATTGCTTTAACCAGATTACCCTCTGGCAAACTAACATAACTATGGTCAATAATGGGAAATTCCACTATTTCTATGGCCATTTTCAATAGCTATGTTTGTTCACCAGAGGGTATATGTTATTTTTCCCATTTCCCCACGAGAATCTGGATGAATTTGATGAGTAACCCTGAGGTCGTTTGCACTGGTGAGTGCGGTGAATCATGCTGATCTGGGAAATTCAGCAAGGAAATTATGTAATTTAACTGATGGCTGGTGACTGGAACATGTTTTATGACTTTCCAGTCAGTTGGGAATGTCATCATCCCAACTGACGAAGTTATATTTTTCAGAGTAGGCATACCACCAACCAACTTAAACTATCTAAATCCACCAACCAGGTGAGATATAGAAAAATATCAGGTTTTATATGTTTATGTACCATTAAAACCCTAGTGAATGGAGCTATTATATATAACATACAATATATAATATATATAATATATAATATATATAAATATAATATAATATATATAATATACATAATATAATATATATATATATGAAATAACTCTAAAACAAAATAGAAATATCATTCCATCTGGGGAAGATGCTATATGTTTGGTAATATGCAAGTGAAACAGATCTAGTTCATCCCAACTGGGATGGGAACGCTAGGCTTGTTGATGAACATAACTTGGTGAAAAACCTAGGGTCAACAAGGGAGGTTTATCGGGAATATAAGTATAGTGTCCTATAGTTGAGGGTTTTATGATGGTGTTAATAAGAGATATACACACATATATGTATATATATAAAAATGGAAGGAAATACATATATATATATATATATATGGAGAGAGAAAGAGAGAGAAAAGAAAAGAGAGAGAGAGAGAGTTAGATGGGGCGAAACTAAACCAACAACCATTTCACTGGACCGTACCCCCTTGTAGGTTTTGCTTTGAATGAGAATATTTTTGGGGGTTGGATTCACATATGTCCAGCAAGGTGGGGGTCGCACTTATGTTTGTTGGTTTATAACCCCCAAGAATACTATAGTTTTATTTACTATATACCAAACTTATTGGAGTTAAGTTCGCTAACTTAGCTATCGTTTTATCGGGGGCCCCACCTCAATTTCTTTGCCAGCTATGAGCATGTGGAGCGTCTGTGGAAACAGATGACCAACTGTTGGATTTGGGGGGTACCTAATTCTTGGGGAAAACCATATCTGTGAAGACATGAAAAGGAAACAAACCCACAAAACAATACACCACTTTCCGGATGGGTTGCCATACACACCCGTTGTACTTCTGCTGTTCCTTGGTTCAGCTACATTATCATCCCTTTACCACTTGACTGGTGCCCATCATTGATGTATTGTTTGTCCATGAACCCCATGAACTAGTTCGACCTATTATCTTTTGCCAACTTAGCCAGCCAAAGTCACTATGAGTTATGGCGGGAAATACCTCAGTTACAAGTTATGAGTACTGAAATAATTTAAATAATCCCATTTATATCCATTTCTGGTTTACGAATAATCCCATAGATTCATAACAAGTTATAAATAACAGCCTTTGCCATGACTGTAAATCCCCATCAACATCTCCTCGTGCTCCCGGAGGCCCTACTGCTCTCGCGGCAAGGCTGGACGTCGGCCATTTGGGCGGGCGTCGCGCAGTCGGGTGGCGAGGTGGGGAGCGAGCCGGGGAGCCGGGGACGAGGTTAATCGTTACTAACCGACTGGTTACCAGGTGGTGCCCCCATAGTTAATTACTGTAGCTAAGTTGGCGCAAATAACTCCAATAACAACTAGGGTTTCTGGTAGCTCTATCTATAGTTACTATGGTTTATAAACTATAAACGCACTTATAAGTGGGGACAACACCTTGTAGATACGAACTAGTACTTCAATCTTTTGCTATCAATGCTAAAGTTAGTCCTATGCAGCATTTTTTTTCTTGGCAGGTATCTAAGGTTCTCCATGGTGATACTATAACCCCTATAGTAAGTGTAATTGTGTGATAATTGTGCTGCTGTTTCCAAGTATATAATTGTTGTAAGTGGTTTGTAACCCCGAACAATAATGGGGTATATTTCACACATAACTGGTGTTTTTGATGTAGTATAATATCTAGGTCAACCTTGGATGGGTACTGTAATCCTTCAATCTTTTGCTATCAATGGGAATACCCACTAACCAACTCAGAATTATTTTTTTTGGTTGCCAGGTATCTAAGATTGGCAATGTTAAATCCCCGATAAATCCCAGATATATCCAATAGAAATCGCATGAAGTCCCATGATATGGTAAACAAAACACTTAATAAACCTATAAATGGAACTGCACTCCCTGGTTGCAACCACGAATAATGATGAACCCATGGATTCAACCAAACCCATGAACAATCTTCAGCTGGTTGTAGGGTAATATGTCAATGTTAGTACAGTAATGGCCATGGCTATTAGCTTTAACTTCTTATGAATCTACGGGATTATACATAAACCATAAATGGGCTTATTTCAGTACTTATAAGTGTTATAACTCGGGCCATGACTGTATGGATCACAACCCCTTAAGGTACCCTTCTGTTCATCCCAAAATGGCAAATTTATGCGCATCCCCCACTCATATGGTTTTACGTCGGTGTCAGCCGTCCCAATTTCTTGTTGGTGCAACTGTAATGCGGATATAAGAGTACTGGGAAAACATGCCGTTTTAGAGGATTTAGCCATCAAAGTTAGGAGGTATGAACCAGAAAATTGATGAATATATGTTATGTGGAAAGCCTGGAATATACAATTATATACCAATCTTGATGTTTGGGTGTGCCTGTAAGTGGGATATAGAATGATATAGACATAAAAGGCAATTTAATATAGTGAAAAACACCTAATAAAGGATGGAATGGGGTTGCTGATTTTCAGACAAACCCAAATAATATGGTTTCAAGCGACAACAGAATGGGAATTGGTCAAAACTTATTTACCAGATTATAGGGGAGGAACATGCAGGTACCAGGGCTTTGACCCCGAGCCATTTGTATTCAATCAACGAATATGGAATTACTTGGATTTGAACGGTGATTTTGTTTTTGTTCAATTTGGTTCATCCATCATTTATAAACCCCATTCATAGGTATATATCAACATATATCCACCATATTACCATATACGATAGTTAGTCAATGGGAATTCCTGGATCCTAAAATAGAGGTGCTGTACTATATGTTTGGCATTTTTTTTGCTTGGGATATTCCCTTACATAGGCCTAAAAAATAGGCCCACCATATATATATATATCTATATGGTAGGTACCTCCAATCAATCGGTTCCTGTTGCATGGCCTTTGAGTCCATCCTTGCGGGGGCCCCACCGGGGGTTGAAAGCCGCAGCGACTTTCGCCTACATCGACCGATGATGTCATGCTTTGTTTGAAGGTAGCGGCCCCCCAAGTTCCACCGATGAAACATCGGATGATCACACAGTTATGGTCCGAGTCATACCAGTTACCCTCTGGTAGTTTAACATAACTATGGAAAATCACCATTTTTAATGGGAAAATCAACTATAAATGGCCATTTTGAATAGCTATGTTAAATTACCAGAGGGTATAAGTACTGGAATATAGCGCCATAAAAATGGTTTATGTATAATCCCATAGAAATAACCAGTTTGAAGCATTTCTAATTGGTAAACGGCCAGAACTGCAGCTCCCCCATTAAACTAACTAGCAATGATGTTCTTTGACTACCAGAGATGATGGCTTCAACCCCACTAACTTACATTACTCCAATCAACTAGCAATGAAATAGGGGGTCAAAAACAAGCATTGTCGCGCATTCTTCGTTTGTTACATAGAGAAAGCGTAGGTCAGCTGTTCAACTTGAATGCACAATGACAGATACCTCTTGGGGGACTCCCCCAATGATATCCCCCAACAACAGAGGTTCAAAAAGCCATCGCCAGGTCTTGTGTATTGTTGCCACATTGCTGAAGGGATGCTTCAGTCCTGACGAGGACCTGGCGCTCAGGGGTATGGAAGAAGCATGGGGATATCACCAAAACAAAGGGATTAAACACAGACAAATGGGCATGGGTCAAAACCTATTATTATCATATTTGAGGGAATAACCATCTATTAACCAGCATTTTTGGGGAACCATCCGGGCAACAGCGTTTTGACCCATAGCCAAATAGGAGATCTAACCGGAAAAAATACTGATGTATTTTTACGCCCAAAATCAGTAATCTAGCTAGCAACAAGATAGCCATTGAAGCCAAAAGAGTGGTCATATAGGCTGCACTGGAGCCAAGAGAAAAGTGATATCGCCAAAGACATAGCCATTCAACCAACAAAAACTCATGATATAACCGCCACAAAAAATGTTTTCTTTGACAAGTTTAAATCCATAAAATGAGTGATATAAGCGGCAAACAAATAGGGATTGAAGAAGAAACACTAGGGATACAAGCAGCAAGCGAGGTAGGGCTCTAGCCAAGAAAAAACGTGACACATGGCTGTCCTTTTCCCATTGGTTGGTTGATTAATAGATGGTACTCGTATACCAAACCGGCCCCTCTATTTTTACCAAAAAGACATTATTGAAATGTGATTTTTTTCATCAAAGAAATAGGGGGTCGAAGCAATCAAACTAGGGACACACCCTAGAAGACATACAATGTGAGGCTCCCGTTCGATAGCTAAGTTGGTGCAAATAACTCCAATTTCACTATGGTTTATGGTATTTATAACGAACTAGCTACCTGGGGCGAATCTAAACCAACAAACAAACATCACTGGGGGGCCTCACATTGCATGAATCATCATGAATCTCCGTTAACATCCAACAGACATCAGGGGACCCTTGACATCCGTGACATCCGTGACATCCATGACCAGGACCTGGAGGAAGAGGACGATCCACCCAAGCGTGGGGCTTTGCTGCATGGCTGCAAGGTGATTTCACCTGCGGGAGTTGCCATACGACGAACATGATATGATAACTGGGATGGGATTTTATCCCTTCACCGTAGTTTTTGTTGGTTTTCAACTATCAATAGGGATAACAGTGGGATAATTAATATCGTAGTCCTTAGTTTAAACTTGCAGGATCATCCCATGGTTCGTAAGTGGCTAATAACCATAGTGACTTCTAAGCCACTTGCTGGGACATACGATCACCAAGGTTACGTTCAGCAGTTCTGAAGTGGAATGGTCCAAGTAGGACCCGGGTGTTTTTCTAGTTTTTTTTTTTTTATGGGTATAACCATGGTAATATGTCCCATGAAGATGGACAGAACGCCTACAACTTTGATGAAGTATGCAATCATTGCTCAAAATCATGCATCATTGTGTTGTGGACGGAAGGCATTGATGGAGAATCTGGGAGGTTGGTCCACCTGAAAAAGGCTTAAACCGGGGGCGCCTTTTGTTGAAACGATCGCTGTAAGATGGTGAACAGAACTTCCAAAACGAAGTGCTATAGATTCTACTATGGGTGTAGCTAGACTCTAGCTAGACTACTCTTCTTTCTGTAGATATGTCCAACTAGTCAACGGGGGGTTACAACCAATGTCTATGTTACAACGGCCCCGGCATGTAATATGTGTCAAAGAGTGTTCAGGACAGCTCTCTTTGATTATAACACATATCCATGATATCCACCATGAACCCTAGTTGTAGTAGTTATAAACCAACAGAAACCACAACTTGGGTAGATAGGTTGTACAAACCGTACAAACCATTGGTTTGGCCTCAACAGTGTTTGTAGTAGTTACAAGCGCAGTTTGGGCCCAAAATGGGCCCCTATCCCCCACAAACCAGCTGGAAGTCGCGACGCACATCTCGAGCCCGAGTTATGGAGTTGTAGCCCAAGTTATGGCTACTTGAAGTGAGTAAACATATATGTTCCTAACCACAAAACAAATATAATGTGGCAGATTTGGTTTAAAATCCCACTAAAAGGGTTGCGATGAATTATATGTGTCTGTATTTCTTGGTAGGTTCATTCCTGTATGGTTGTGTTTTATTTATTACCATTTCCGGAATTAATGGTCCTTAAGCAAACATGATTATATCCTCTGGAAATTTATAATCTAGCTATTGAGGATCACCATGTTTAATCGGGAAGTCATTTGTAGATGGACTATGTGTATCCATTGTCCATAGCCATGTTAAATTACGAGAGGGTAAGTGAAAATATTGGAGTAGGTCAAAACCTACGTATTATCATCAATTTATGCTGGGATGAACATCCATTTACCAGCTATTTTGGGGATCACCAGGGTACCAGGCACCAAGGTTTTGAATGGTTTTGACCCATAGCCATATATGTACCACGAGACTTTTGGACTATCCACGCAATCACTTCTGGTATGTTGGTTCTGTTGGCTCAATCCTTCAGGTTCTGTTGGAATTTGTTCCCCCACTTGAATAGCCTCTCTGGGTCAACCTTGATTAGATAGTTTAGCAATGTTTTGTCCTTTAATATACCATACACTAAACATTGCCAATAGATAGTTTAGTACTTTAATATACCAGCTAAATAGTGACTTTGATCGTTTGCTATGGTAAAATATTAGTCCGTATTACCAGCCAAAAATGAGATTTTTTACAGGTGGAAGATCCACCATGCTCTGATAATCAAACGTTGCACATCTATCATTGTACCCTCCGGTGTCATCAAGCGTGGCTGGAAACCGAACTAGCCATGCAGGTTGAGATGGGAAAATCATTGCATGACGCCAGAGGGTAGATCATCGCAGGGAAAGCCATGGATTTCCATAGCTACGTAAACGTTTAGGGTTTAGGGTAAGATGTTTTAAGCCACTTCGCTGATTCCTGGGACCCCAGGCACCCCTTTTTTTTGGGCCCTTGGGGTCGATTTCAGGTCGGCAGGGATGGGTCAAAATCATCAAACATCTGGTTATTTAACATAGCCATGGAAAGATCCACCATTTTTAAGTTCGGTAAACCATCTATAATTAATTGGGTCATCTATACCATGGCTATGTTAGTCATAACCAGATGGTAAACTTTTTTTTAATTGCCAATATGACTGGGGGGATTTTTTTACATCCAGCATCATCCAGCTCTTTCCCAGGGATTGATCATTGGAATATTCCATCGTCCAGTCGCTAGAACCGGTGGGGTGAAACTAAACCAACGATTTTTTTAAACGGGCGCCCCGTTTTGTAGAGGATTTTTCTGGACTTCTTTGAATGTATCCAGGTGATATCCAGGTGATTTTTTTGTGCATGGTCTGTTTGGGATATAGCGATATACCCCAAATCACCGCTATTATGAATCAGCAATAGCAAACGCAAATCATACTAGCAGTACTATAGGAATATTCTAGAAATGGTTTGTGTTGATATGACTTCAATATATACCGCTTGGTATTCAATCACGGCAATGGAACACACCTATGTAGCTGCTATTGTTTGTGTTACTCTTGATGTTCCAGCTAGCCATGTTGTTTATCAGAGGGCAAAGAAGCTTTTCATTATGCGGCCTTATGCTTGAGATACCCACCAACCAGCTGCTATACCTCTACATTCCCTCAAAAATCGGCTATTTGGGTATCTCTCAAAATGGGGGCTCCCAAAAACTATGACTTATCATTGCTTATCACTAACCTGATGGAACATCCAAATAGGGGACTATTCTGCTGTTTATTGGCGATGATGATTCTATTTCCTCTGGCAAGGCCCCCCAAGATGGGAAACATATTATGGTAAACCCTGGTAAACTGGTCGTTTCACAAAAATAACTAGCATATCTGGTAGATATATCTACACTTGAATGCATGTATAAACCGACCTGCGACTGTGGGGGACATATTGTTGCATTGTATCAATGTTTAATCCCCATATTTCCTGATCATTTTCCCATTTGTGCTATTTATCTCAACAATCAATCACCATGTTTTTTTCGGTGCAATCTCATGTTTTTTCAAGTCAGATCGGTCCACCCTTGTCCGAGATATCGTTGCTTCTCCTTCGTTTTTAGCGAACCCTACAATGCTACTTGGAGTGGTGCCGGTGATTGGGAGAATCTTCTGGTAGTGGGTGCGCTAAAATCAGCCTAAAATCTGGGCCCTTAACCATCATACCCAGGGGCGCCTATTTGGTGAACATATCCGAACGGAAGTGAGGTTGGCTTAGCCTAGCTATATACCTTCTTGTCGTATCACATAGCTATGGAAAATCACCACGTTCAATGAGGAAATCATTGCACTAAATGGTGGATGTTCCATATAGCTATTGTATATAGCTATTGTATATTAAATGATTGGAAGCTACTACTATTTATTCATTTAATATATGTTCACTATCATAGCTACTGTATGTATTCTATGGCCAGCACATTTTTGAATATTCACAACTTCGGCTCAAATCCAGAAGATTGGGATGGTTGACTTTTCCATAAATTTCGAAGATGATATTCACCCATAGGATCCATGTATGGTATATATGCTAACATTTACCATCAATATACCCCCAATGTTAGCATATATACCATACATGGATCCTATGGGTCATGATGTTCCGTCCCGGTACGTTATACCAGTGATAACTCGGTGAAATAACCCCACAATTTGTGACTTATAATCATAATCCCATAGTTAAATCATGGTAAAATCCGGCCTTCAACTGTATCTAGTCACTAGTCTACAATGTGAGGCCCCCAAGATATAAGTTGGTTTAGATTCGCCCCAGTAACTATAGTTATAAATACCATAAACAGTGAAATTGGAGTTATTTGCACCAACTTAGCTATCGAACGGGGGTCTCACATTGTAGGTCTTCAACATGAAAAACAACACATTTGTGTGCGGGGCTTTAATGGTGAAACCTGTGGGGCGCTTCAGAGGTCCAGAATTTTCATCCCATGGTCCTAGATGATCGGAAAACGATAGGCCGATAGGCCTGGTAAACATTACGATCCAAAGCGAAATTCGGAAAGATCCACCATCGGCCATAGCTAGGTAAATCATGGGATTTTTATTGATTCAATTGATTTTTTATAGTGATTCAATGGGATATTAATGGGATATACCCTCTGGTAAACATACAATATAGGAAACATCACCATTTTTGATGGGTAAATCAACTATTTCAATGTCGGCCATTTTTCAAGTTCGCAAACTGAAATCGTCATTACCAGAGGATAACTTCCATTTTGCGTTTGGTTGTTTTTATGGTACGCTAAAATCACGAACTGTCGTATTCATGGGGTGTTTAAATAAACAGAAAACCGCCTTGGAAGCCCATGTTCCAATTCTTTCATCCGCCTGTGGGAGTCGGCATATTCGGGTCATCTCCAAACATCTGGCATCTGTATCACAAGCAGTGCTGAGCTGAGCTCATCACTACCTCTAAACAATGTACCCTATCAACATCAGTTTTTTTCGGTGTCACCAAATAGTTTCAGAAGAAAAGACATTTCCAGGATCTTATACATAATGAATTCACAATATTCACTAATTACTTTTCCAGGTGTTCATGTGTTTCTATCTTTTCTGGATTGCTAAAACCACCAAAAAAAGGTAAACATACAAATGATGTGGGGTCAAATTTAATATAGTTTGTTTGTTTTTGGTAAATCGAGTGTCCTTTGCTCAATTGACTCTCAGTTTCTGATTGTTCAAACTTTGTGCAACAATTGTGGTGAAACTGCTTTTCTCATGTTGAGAATATCATGTTCAATCGTTTGAAATCCATATGTCAGGGACTGTCAACAAATAGTGAGCCACTGGTGCCACGCCTGGATCTGATGCAGCTCCACGTTTTTGGCATTTGTCTCAAGTAGGTCAATTAGATCCAAAACCATTGAACATCAGCAGAAATGGACCTATTTCAGACAGGTTTTTGAATTTGATCCTTCATTTTTTCCAATTCGTTTTTTGGGTGCGCCCATTTGTTGGCTGCCCATTTGTTGGCTGCTTGAACTGTTTCATCTGTTTTTTGTTCACAATCTTCTGTTAAACATTATCGTTAGAAAGGAAACTCAACTATACCCTCTGGTACTTTAACATCGCCATGGAAAATCACCTATTTTTAATAGGTAAACCATCTATAAATGGGCCATGTTCCATGGCTATGTTAAGTAACCAGGGGGTAACATTTTTGACTCTCCCATTGGCACAGATTTGGCGTGTCTTGTTTGATACGCACGTCCTCGCAACGAGGTCAGCGTGTATTTGCTGGTCTTTGCCGCCATCAACTTTTGCCTCATCATTCCTGAAGCTGCAGGTCCTAAGAAAAGAAAACCAGGGAAAGCTCCTTGACCATAAGTAGGTGAATTTTATGAGTTATTGTGGATATGACAGGGTATGATTTGATATAACCATAGTAGTTAATGTTGTTTAATTCATCAACTTACAACATGGGGAATCAAATAAGTTGAAGGCCAGGGATTGTTAATGGGTAAACCTGTGGGATTTGGACCACCAAAAGTTGGGCTTAGAACTGGAATTGCGCATTGGTTAGTAACCAGTTATGGCCATGGCTATTAGTTAGAACTGGCTATTTCTATGGGATTATACATTCCATAAATAGTGTTTATATATAAGTATACTTATAACCGGTAAAGGGCCATAACTCTAATTAGTTACAACATCTTATAACAAACGAATCGAGGGCTTACAATCACCAGGGTTATTTACTAAGTGGGATGATCCTCCAAGTAGTAAACTGGTTCAATTTGCGAGCTGGACAATTGCCATGCTTTCTTTCTTTTATAAAAAGTTTTTTATTCTTGAAGTAATGGGCCATGGCTTCCATAGTCATAAATGGGCCATGGTTTTACCATAGCTATGTTGGTGGAGTGTAAACCTCTGTTTTGTACGCTAGAGCTGCTCTTTTCAATACACTTTACAAAGGGAATAATGTACAAAATGCATACGGTCGCCAGGTGTTAAGTTTTTCTTTAATAAACAAAAGTAGACTCTATTTCGTGGCAAAGTAAATCACTTAGAAGCACCAAAGCCAAAAGTGCATGAAAGCCCAACACACATTCAATTTCCAAATTACTTAGACTCTGGATTTGCCATTGTTCTTTTACACATAAAGCACTTTGCCATCTATCCTTGCCACGATTTCGCAAGCGATCCCGAAAGCCCTACCTGTGTCTGAATATAGGCTATACCAGTGAAATATCCATTCTAATACAGTTATGGCCATTTATGAGCTAGACATTGTTATAAATGGGGGTGTATATTCCATAAATGGCGCGACTTAGTGACTTATAAGTGGTGTTTCGGGCCATAACTGTAGTGAGAATGATGATGAACCATGATTAACCAATGGATTTAAGAGGTGTTCCCCTAAATTTTCAGACAAAGCCACATGTTGAATTTATTTGTCCACCAGGTTTGGGAGAAATGGTGTATGCCCCAGAATTAGCTTTGAAGACTGCGACAGGATGCAATCATGGTTATGCAGCAATAGTTTCAGGATTTGCATGACTAGTGGATATACGGCTACTAATGGAATTAGTTGTCTACATATCCCTACTAGGTGGGGCTCCACAGTTATAAGTTGGTTGATAACCCCCAGAAACTATAGTTACATCATGTTATCTCTATAGTCCTTGGAGTTATGTTCACCAACTTACCTATCTAGGGAGCTAGCAGTGTAAATGGAATTTACCCCAAAATCGGAGACCTAGAATCAACCACTTTCAATGGGAAATACATTTGAGATATAATGTGTCATGGGCATATAGTGCGGGTGAATTCTCACGACGTCATTGACCGATGTCACTAGATGATGGCAAATGGGCAAATGTAGGGGTAAATTGCCAAAATTGCCAATTTTTTCAGGCAAATGATTGCAGTTTTCCCAGGTAGGCTGATGTCTTGATCTTTCGGTGCCTCGGCAGATTCACAGAGCTTCACAGCGTGCAGACCGCTGGGGGTTAGTTTGGCGAGGTGAGCCAGGACAGATTCTCAGCCGGAGAGACTACGCCATCAAGAAAATGTCTAAGGGCAGCACCTTCGTCTGGCAGAACGCTAAACTGATTGGTGGTTTGGAACATTGCTTTTATTTTTCCATATATATTGGGAATAGTACCCCCAACTGACGAACTCATATTTTTCAGAGGGGTTCAAACCACCAACCAGTAAAACTTCGGGGTGCCATCTTCGTGGTTGGATGGACCGGCAATGACCGTGTGCAACGTACATCTTCGACGTTCGGCCGTGTGGTAGCTGTAAAGCCAACAAGGGAAGAAAGGCGAAAGTTAATAACTGGCTTGTGGCAATGGGAATTCCAGGATCCTAAAACGGAGGTACTGTACCATATAAGGCCATATTTTGTGGGGATATTCCCTTACATAGCCCTTACATAGGCCTTATATATGGTAGGTAATGCCAAGTGAGGATTAATAATGCCCCCCCGATTAATCAACAGCAACTGCCCAAAAAAAAGAAATGTAATTTAAAAACAGGTGGTCCCCCCAGATTAATAAACACTTTGGCCTACCCCCGATTAATCAACCACCAATTCTGAAATCCATTTTTTTACCCAACATGTTTTATTTCCAATTCTATTTATTTCCAATTGTTTTTTACTTTTTTGTAATCATCATTGTTATACTTCAGGTTTAAGTTGATCATTGAAAATTTCAAAAAACAACTATTCCCCAAATGATCGATTTCTAATTCAAATCTTTATAAACAATCATCAGTTTGGATAGCTCCCAAAGGGTACCCCCCATGAGCCCATGTCCCCCATTAATAATAACCAGGGTTTGCCCCTGATTAATCAACCACCTTTCTGATCCATGAAATTTAACAAATCTAATGGAATTCTATTAAGATCTAATTGACGTAAGCCATATCCAAAGTTTTATGGTTCAGAGTTGCTTATTATTAAGGGGTCGTCAAGAAAACTAGCCAGAAGGTACCCCCCCCTACCTTCTGGGGGGGGGTTATTAATCCGGTGTTGGCATTACCTCCAATTTAGGTTCCTGAAATGGCCATTGATGCGGGGTCAAAACCCACTGATATTTAGGATAACCCCACTTAGGGGACAGTCCCTGGCTAGGGTTATAACCAATTGCTGGAGTCTACCTGGCCACCGCTCTACCACTAGCCATTTCCATAGAAATGTCCTAGGGCCTATGTTTCAATTTCCTGTGTTTCCTACAGTATGTTTCGGCCGCCCATTTCGTGCCTCGCAGGCGTCGTGGCAGCACAGGTGCTCTTTAGCACGACCTATGCCCTTGCCGACAAAGCTGCGCATGACATGTACGTCCTGTACAGCTGTTTCTCGGCCGTCCTTCGGGAAAAAACACATGGCACACAAGTTGGGAAATTAATGGGATTTGATGTGATTAATTCATCATTTGATGGGATTTAATGGGTTTGGTTAAATTTAGATACCTAAGTTGGAGAACACACAGGTGAATTGGATTGCGTTTATGGTGTATCTATAGATAAGGCATTATCAATCATGGTGTCACACCTGTGGAGACCCGTCAACTATAGATAAATTTAAAGGGAATTAAAAACCAACAAACATTATTGGGGCACAACCTTGTAGAAACTGGGGGTCCTTGTATAGTGATGTTCCAGATGGGGAAAGGTTGCATTTTCACCTCACAATGTTTGGTGACACATATACTGATTGTAAGATGATTAAGGCCACACAAAGGTGAGGTCTGTATAGGTTGCTTTGGTGGAAAACATGTAGGAGCATGTTGGATGATCCACGATCTAACATCCGTTTTTTTGGGGTATAGAGCCAACGACAATCTGGTGAAACTTCATTTTTTGATGTTTAACGATATTTGGGATGATAGCCAATGACAAAGATTTGCTTGAAACCACAACCATCGGATATCCATGACTTTCTGGCCCAGTGCCAGGGATCGGGACCCTCGACAAAAACGACCCCCGGTCAGGGTTGGTTGAGATGTGTTGGTTGGCTTGGATCGCATTGGGGCACATGAATCATCTTCTACCATCCTTTTCGATTTTCGAATTCTTTTTTAGTTACAGTACTTTTTGGAAAACTATCCCAGGAAAACTATCCCTAATTCACCATTGTGAATGGCATTCAGTGAATGGTTCATTGTTAATGGTACCTTTTTTTTTTCATCCCGGTCCTTGGGTAGCTGAAAAATCCAGTTTGTTTGCTATGAGCAGAACATAGCCATCAGCAAATGATGACATAATTTTGGTGGCCTACAGGCTGTAGGCCCGAGTCATACCAGTTATAAGTACGGATTTAATCCGATTTATGGAATGTATTAAATTGTATAATCCATTATATATAATCCCATAGATATAACCAGTCATGACTAATAGCCATGGCCATGAATGTGCAAATTGCTGGTGGTTTGGAACATGGCTTTTATTTTCCATTTCATATATGGAATGTCATCCTTCCCATTGACGAACTCCATCATTTTTCAAGATTGTTAAAACCACCAACCAGATTGAATGTCCCACAGATTCACAATGAGCCATGTTCCTCCTGTGGCCGATTAATCTCCTGCGTTCCTGTGGCCATATCCTGATATCTCCACCTCTCGACCCGCTTAAAATTGCCGAGGTATTGGCAATCCAGATATGTTGCACTTGGGCGAGACCGCGATGTTCAAAAGCCCTTTTTTAAATGGGGTGTTTCATGGTAGGATTTATATGGTTTGATATGGTTTTATATGGTGTTATATGGTTTTATGATAAAACCATATAACACCATATAAAATAACCATAAGTTTTATATGGTTTATTGTGGTTTCTTAGGGATAACAATGGGAACATCATGTTCAAAACCCCTGGTTGATGATGAGTTTGTCTTTTAATCGGGGTTAAAAACAATCAAAACATGGGAATATAAGTGGATATGCCTGATAAATGATGGTTGATTCATGATTCCTTCAGGGATTATACTGTCCAGTAGATTGCGGATTATCACTCTCCAGTATCGGAATCCCTATTGACCAACCAGTATCGTGAAACGAAAGAGGGTTTCGAACACTGCTCAAGTATCGATGTTTTGTTTTTTGTTGCATACGCTGACTGGAAAATCTCTATAGATGGAGATATTATTTGGAAAATCCTTGAACTAAATGGGGGAATTGATCAACAATAATTCAAGAAACATAGCTCTAAGAAAAGGGTTTGCATACAGCATGAAAAAATCAAGTGCAATGGAGAGATCAACCAGCAGTACTGGGGATTGAACCAAGAAATAGTCAATATATTTCGATGAATGACAACAACCTCACGTCGCAACGTCACTCGAATGATGGCGTATATTTCTGGGGGTAACTACATGCCCAGAGTTTGGGGTGAGCAACAGCAGCACAATAATGTGTCAAACTTATTATTTACAGCTCATAATTCTATCTTTCACCCATATTTGTCTAGAACAAAAAGATGAGATACTATAAATGTATTTAAAATTAACAAAACACTGTTGTTGTTGTCGTTGTTGTCGTTGTTGTTGTTGTTGTTGTTGTCGTCGTCGTTGTTGTTGTGGTTTTTTTGTCGGATGATTCAGACGTGTCTCCAACAAGCTCACCATCACCCTTCAGACGCCCCCGAGGTACACGGTGGTGTCCCTGGGCTACGGCGCAGCGGTCGTTGGAGGAATCATGGTTCCTGGGCCCGCGCTGTGGAGTCAGGGTGTTGCAAGGTGGGGTCCCACAGATAGGGAAGTTGTTTGCAGTTAGTCTATAACTCAAGTTGGGAGTTTATTGGAATTCAACGGAGTTTTATGGGGTATCTATAGGGTTTAGATACCTGAGTTGTTTTTTTCCTCCAATAACCGTTGGGTTTTATGGTAGCTTATGAGTGCGGGGCCCACGTCGTAATTATGTTGGTGTAAAATAAAAGGAGAAACCAACAAGTAAAGGGATTTGTGAGATCAACCGATGATTAACCCTAGTGGGTATATAAGGGGATGGCAATTGACCGTGATTCATCCATAACAAATGGGAGTATAAACCAATTCCAATGGATATATGATGGGAAAAGAACTGATGATCTGATCAATGACCATTTGGTGGATTTCATCATGAATCATGTGGGAAAGAGTTGGGCATGTAACAAACTTACTACATCTTGCTATGATTTCTGGCTCTGAAAATGTGGGACTTAGCACATGACTTCATGACTTCGCCTTCGTAACGTCGGCACTTTGGGATGGAACCTTACCCATAGGATCCATGTATGGTATATATGCTAACATTTGGGGTATATTGATGGGATCCATGTTACCATATTTAGCATACATGGATCCTATGTGTACAACATCACGGTTATACATTTTTTGGGGCTACGCTATTTTATGACGGTCACCTGGTTGTTTCATGGGGGAAATCAGTAGCCACTGGGGTGTCACGGTGACACGGGGGTCCGAATCTGAATCCCTGGGAAATTACAGAAATGGACATACCATCTAAAAACCCCCTTCCTGAAACTTCGGTGAACTTTTCTAACCACACACATTTCCGGGTTGAACCTGCTTTGTCGTTAATTTGATGGGCTTAAGAGTTACAACACCGTGAAGTAAGAAGAATGTCAGATGCACCCGAAGATAAAGTCCCAATAGCTAACCGAGCACGAGAAGTTGTTTGGCTACAGACCTGGGCGAAAATTTCAGCATCATCGAACTAGCATCCTGGAAATGTGTCGCTTATGTTTTTGGTGGTTGCCCTTCAGTCACATAGATATCCACCTTGCACAGTGATACACACAGTCCGACATACCCTCTGGCAATTTAACATAGCTATTGAAAATGGCCATTTATAGTTTATTTACTGTACCCATTAAAAATGGTGATTTTCCATATAGCTATGTTAGTTTACCAGAGGGTAAATGCTGACAGATAGTCTGGCATTTGATCTGAAAAAAATTGTGTTTTTTCATGTCCTGGAATATCAGCCCGATTTTAATTGGATGAATTTTCTTACTGGGACGAACACCAAGTATTATGTGTTGTTCATCCAATTTTTGTCACCCATTTTCTGTAAGCAACCGCACTCAGATATGCCATGGGATTAGCTCAATAATTAAAAAACAATTTGCTACAATGTGGGGCCCCCTAGATAGCTAAGTTGGTGCAAATAACTTCAATAACTAGGGTTTATGATACTTATAACTATAGCCTTTGTAAACCAAGTACTGGGGGGGGGCACATTGTAGCAAGTTGAATAACTCAATGGCCAATCGAAGCATGTCAAGGTTTTTTTAATTTTGAGGCTGGAGTGCTGACGTTGAGCCTCTATGACATCGACGTAATGATCCCTTTCCTCATCATCGGCGGCCTTTGTTTCATGAGCCTTGGCTTGGCTTGGCAGATGTTGGGGCAACACCGCTGCGCAATGTTGCGCGGGTGATTGGAATACATACTACCCTCCACAGTTATGGTCCTTTATGTACCAATTATAAATTATAAATGGTTACAGTATAAGTGGTTGTAAATGGGATTCTGTTTCCATGAATGGGATTATAAGTGACTTTGAACTGGTAAAGGGCCATACCTGCAGTTTACATACAAAAAACTATGGACAATCGCCATTTATAGATGGTTTACCTACTTAAAATGTGGATGTTTCATTTTTTTTCACAAATAATCATACACGGCAATGGAACATCCCCTATCAACTGTTTTTTGTTCGTTTTAATCAGAAACTCATCTATCAACGGTGAATTGTCCATTGACCAACTTTTCACCATGGCCACCTGACCTGTCATGGGGATACCCCAAGCTGATTGGTTTCATGGAAAATCCTATGAAACTGGGAGGTTTCACCATCGGGGGAGTTGCTTGGAGTGTAGGCTGTGGCAAACTAATTTGGTCAGATAAGGGTCAGATATGAAAAACCCATGGTCTCGCGGAGAAAAATACTATGTACAACTGGGTGTTGCGTATCTATGTTAAACTCGAGGGTACATCCCAATCGAATGGTGCCTTAGATACAATGATACAACCAAGGAATAGCCCGCGGGAATGAAGGATCTTGAACATCACGGAAGATCAGCTCTTCATAATCACCTTCAAGAAACCTGCAGTTATTGCCTTTTACCAGTTATAAGTACTGAGCTAACACCATAAAAATGGTTTATGTATAGTCCCATAGATTCAGAACCAGTTATGTCACCATCATTAATCACATGTTTAGCCACTATTAACTATATGGTGAATCACTATTGATCATCATTAATCACTATTGATATAACCAGCTATTTCACCATTTATAATTGGAATTCCAGTGGAATGGGATTGTCGACTACAACCCATGATCATGGAAATCGCGGATAAAAAATGGTCACGCTGAACTCAGATGGGAGACCCCTTTTTTGTTATTGAAACTATGTTAAAATATCAGGTTTAGTTGGTGAACCAAAAAAACATGATTTCTGTAGATATATGATATATGGCTATGGATCAATGTTTTTTGAATAGCATTTTGAGGATGAACATCCAAAATTCACCGCTATGATGTGAACTACAGGGGTTCAAGGTTCTGATCTCCAGTTTTTTTTTAAGCTTTCCGAAAAGTAATGGTTGGGGTAGCACCAGTTCGAAAATCCATGGGATTTTCCATGAAACCATCCGGGGTGATTTCACCTCACCCTGAACGGCTCGGGTTTTTTTGCTCAGGATTTGCGTGCAATATACCGCTGGAAACTTGGCGATTTCCAAAAGATGAAATTGGTCTCAATTGCTTAGCATTCTTTCATCCTACATATGACATATGTATATATATATATATATTATATATATGTGTATATATATATATACACCAATAAATATATAATCATATAGAACATTCCTTTATTTTTTTAGAATCATATGAGCAACCGACAAAATTATTGTAATCCTAATTGTCTCTTGCTTCGCTTTAGCCTTGCTGAGGTGCGTGCGAAACGACCCTAATTTGCGCATGGCACGAAAATGAGCAATTAATTTTGTGCGCCATTCATATAGAATATATATACACGTATATATATATATATATAAGGTAAGGCATAGCACATGTAAAGCCAAAAAGTGGAACAGCATGGCATGGAATATATTCAATGGGATGTGAAGGGAACGGCTGCTTGAAATACTCGAAGCACCTCTGTGTCTCAGGGTGTTTGATGAGGCTTCATCGTTCCATGAGAGTGGCAGGTGATCTGTCTCAGTTCCATCCTTGAAAATTGAACATGTGTTGAACATTCCATACATTTCCTGTCCATAAATTATAGGATGAGCTAGATGTTTATAACTAACATCATTTCTGTCCATAAATTTTCTAAGTTGATGATGTGTTGATTATTGTTTATTTTACCATTTGGAAATCCACTGTCCACTAATTGGGAAATCATTAAGGGATCTTGCTTTCCATTTGTCGAGGCTCAAGCAAAAGTCTCCAAGAACCATGACGAAATCCCCTATGACTAGTCATGACTAATGATCTGTCCTTAGAATGATTCGTCTGGAATTTAATCCAAATTTATCCAGGATAAACATACAGGATAGGGCCCCCAAGATAGCGTTCAGTATGCTTAACTATATGGTTTATGTTAGATATAACTATAGTGATCATGGGGTTTAAAAACCAATAAACATCACTGGGGGGGCACCCATACTGTAGAACCGCCAATTTTGCCATCGTTTTTCATGACCTACAGTGGCGATTTGGCCCCGTCTTTCCCTTCCTCTTCCGAAGTTCTCCAAGTTGTCTTCCTATATCATCGGTTGCTGGGTGTGGGATCCAAAAACATCTTATGCAAACAGTTTTGGTCCGAAATACCAGTTATAAGTGCTGAGCTAACACCATTTATGGGGAATGCATAATTCCATGGAAATAACCAGTTAGTTCACCATTTACCAGTAGTACCGCGCAAGGCGGTGGCGGAAGTTTCAAAAATAGGAAACCTATAGGAGAAGTTGGTTGTTGTGAATCATGGATGACAGAGCGAAGCCACTGATGGACCGAAAGGTGCTTGATCTCTCTCATTCTTTCTCTCTCTTTCTCTGACTACCTACCTACCTACCTATCTATCTATCTGTCTATCTATCTATCTATCTATCTATCTATCTATGTATCTATCTATCTATCTATCGATCTATCTCATCTCTCTCTCTCTCTCTTTCATCTAATTACCTGTCTATCTATTTTTCTATCGACCTATCTACCAATCTCTCTCTCTCTCTCTCTTTCATCTGTCTATCTGTCTATCTGTCTACCTGTCTATCTATCTATCTGTTTGTCTGTCTATCTGTCTACCTGTCTATCTGTGGTGCAGTGTCATTCAGTGTAATGTAGTGTAGTGTAATGGAGTGTAGTGGAATGTAGTGTAGTGTAGTGTAATGTAGTGTAGTGTAGTTGTGTAGTTGTAGTTGTAGTGTAGTGGAGTGTAGTGTAGTATGATGTAGTGAAGTGTCGTGGAAGGTAGTGTAGTGTAGTGTAGTGTAATGTAGTGTAGTGTATACTGTAATGTAGTGTACTGTAGTGTAATTTAGTGTAGTGGAGTGTAGTCGTGTAGTTGTGTAGTTGTAGTGGAGTGTTGTAGTGTAGTGGAGTGTCGTGTAGTGTAATGTAGTGTAGTGTAGCGTAGTGGAGTGTAATGTAGTGTAGTGTAGTGTAGTGCAATTTAGTGTAGTGGAGTGTAGTGGAGTGTAGTGGAGTGTAGTTGTGCAGTTGTAGTTGTAGTTGTAGTTGTAGTGTAGTGGAGTGTAGTGTAGTGTAGTGGAGTGTAGTGGAAGGTAGTGTAGTGTAATGTAGTGTAGTGTAGTTGTGTAGTTGTAGTTGTAGTTGTAGTGTAGTGGAGTGGAGTGTAGTGTATAGTGTATAGTGTATAGTGTATAGTGTATAGTGTATAGTGTATAGTGTATAGTGTATAGTGTAATGTAGGGAAGTGTAGTGTAATTTGGTGTAGTGGAGTGTAGTGGAGTGTAGTGGAGTGTAGTGGAGTGTAGTGGAGTGTAGTGGAGTGTAGTGGAGTGTAGTTGTAGTTGTAGTTGTAGTGGAGTGTAGTGTAGTGTGATGTAGTGAAGTGTAGTGGAAGGTAGTGTAGTGTAGTGTAATGTAATGTAGTGTAATGTAATGTAGTGTAGTGTAATTGAGTGTAAGTGAGTGCAGTGTAGTGTAGTGGAGTGTAGTGTAGTGGAATGTAGTGAAGGTGTAGTTGTAGTTGTAGTGTAGTGTATTGGAGTGTAGTGTGGTGTAGTGGTGGTTGTAGTTGAAAATGCTGCAATACCCTCACATTCTGCTCACTTTTGACACGGTGCACAATCCCTTGCGCCTGCCACGCGAAACGAGATCTGAACGTCCAAAAGTGGTCCGAACCCCTAGTGTTTTAAACATTTTGACTTGGAAATGTGCTTCGTGCCACAACGGCGTGCACTCTTTCGACATCGCAACTTCCAAAAGTGGTCCGACGCTGAGGTGTTTTGTACATTTTGACATGGAAATGTGCTTCGCGCCACAACAGCGTGCACTTTTTCGACATCGCAAGTGCCAAAAAGTGGTCCGCACCCCTAGTGCTTTTAACATTTTGACTTGGAAATGTGCTTCGCGCCACAACGGCGTGCACTTTTTCAACATCTCAACTTCCAAAAGTGGTCCGAACGTGGTGTGCTTTGTACATTTTGACTTGGAAATGTGCTTCGCGCCACAACGGCGTGCAATTTTTCATCTCTCCTCTGGCCAGCTGGCTCCGCACCCGCCGCTTTAGCGAGCCTACTTTTCGACCCTCCGGAGCCACAAATTATTGGAAAAACACAGTGAAGCGCGACTTTCCTACCTTTTCGCGCATCTCCATCTTCTTTCTTCTTACTCTTTCTCTTCTACTCTTCTCTCTTCTGATCTTTCTCTTCTCTCTGCCTCTGCCCTGCTCTGCTTTTCATCTCTCCATATTGTCGGAAGTTTGACTTCTAAACTTCCTTCGATAATTGGTAAACGGCCATAACTGCAGACAATCCCAAACTTGGACTTGGACAGTGACGTGTTTCTGGATGACTTTTAATGATGGTGAACGTGAGGGGAATATCCTCAAGCTGCAAGTTTCAGCGATTTCCAAGTTGATATCAGTATACTGTAATTCATTTCGCAACAGTCATATATCAGATTGTTGCTTACATACCCACTATAATCCCAGTATATACCCACTGTTTGTGAATTAATATCATTCAGCCAGAATCTGTTGTTTTTTTCGCGAAGCCAGTGACGGTTTCAGCTCATTCACCGGCAAAATCAGCATACCTTGACTGGTTGCAACATGTAAATTGCCATGTGGCGTTTGACTTGGAATGTTTGCTGTGATTGTTTAACTAATGTCGTGGTCAAGCCAATGCTAGACTACTAGTTACTAGACTGACCATCCCTAATTTGAGTGTATGAAATTGGATATACTCCACTTGGGCCCCAGGTATGATGTAACATGACCCCCTACTCTCAGGATGCTCTCATGAAAGTTCATTCCAGCGGTCTTGTGTTGGTTGAATTCGAAGACATGTTTTTTACCGGGTTGTGGTTTGAACTACTTGCCATTTTCCTTTTAGGATGTGAATCCCAATTTGACAAACATACTCTTCAGACGGGCAATTGCAATGATGTTCCTATCAAGAATCACAATTTGCTAAAATATAGAAATAACATGAAATACCTGCTTGACCAGCTTTCTTCGAATATGATTGTTTGTCGTGATTTACCAATTTGTCCTTCAAATGTTTCCTCTGGCAATCTAATACAGCCATTGAACATCGCCATTTTTGATAGGTAGGTAACTCATTTGTAAATGGGCAATTTTCGCAAACTGATACCACGGATATTCCTCGTACTGTACCTCAACCTTCCAACATGTTCATACCTGCCAAATCCCACCCTGGGTGATGTGTTAAATTGGATGGCCATACAGTAGTTGATTTACTCATTAAAAATGGTGAATTTCCATAGTTATGTTAGTTTACCAGAGGGTAAATCCCTTAAGATACCAATTCTCCCCACGGTTTACGACGGAACATGAACGGCTCATTCTGCAGCCGAGGATTCTGCTGCCGCGTGGGGACGGATATTCTGACATCTGAGGCGGATCGTGAATGAAGCTCTCGAAGTGGTCCCCTCCTTTTTTCTGTGACAACCATGGTGATAAGATTCAGTGACATAAATGGTTGGGGTTTCCAAGCTTAATGGGTTTGTGTTCAACCCCGGTTAATGAGATTGCGACTAATATTGTGGGTGGAAGAAATCATGCACCACCAAAATAAATCAAAAGTATGGTTGAAAGCCTATAAATTGATATAAATAGTGGGATGTTTACCACCTATCAACTGGTGCAGGATTTCTTACATCCACCGTATTGTGACAGGTCCATATCCCTTGTGTCATGGGCAAAACGCCGCCATGGCACGCCTCAACCTGTCGACCTGTCGACCGACCTAAAACGATTGGTCGACCGACCTTCACAACTGCGAAACAGATCGGAGATGCTGTGTTGAGTAGTTCATATCTGTTTTGGCTCGGTCTAACCATTCAATTGTGTGGATATAAAGGAGTTACTTTATTTTCTCCCAAATAGTTTCTCCATGCTACCACCTATGACATGGTCCTTGGAGCCCTTTGAACCCGGCGCGCAGCGTTTTCAGGACAGTTTTTTGAGCAGATCTCGTCTAAAACTCGATTTGCTCGTCGCTCGTAGCACTTTTCGTGCCTGTCGCCAGTGGTGGATCCTCTGCTATCTGCAACTCTTTTTTTGATGCCCACAATTGGGTCAACTGAAGGAGAATTCATGGATAAGCCCAGTTCACCAAAAAAAACGCCAACTTTCAAGACGCTTTAATGGTTTGAAGATATAAGATAGTGATCCCCAAGAAAACTTATGTGGTAAAGTTTTATACACATGAGCTCACATGGATTCGTGGAAGTTCAACCAGTTGTTTTAAATTGACTGCCTAGATGAGGATGGAAACGACTTCGGCCTGCTTGTTGTGGTGAGTTCGTTGTGTAGTCTGGAGAAAAAGCCACGCCGGGCAGCTGAATCATCCAGCGTGGTTTTCAGGTAACTCAGGGTCACCGCATGGTGTAAAAATCCCTAGATTCCGTAGATCTTTGTTCACCGGCCCTACTTAAGCTAGAATTTATGGTAGTACTGGGTCGTTATTTCCACCACTCTAGCTATCATTGGCTATACAAGCTTATCAACTTGGCTATCTGGGGGTGAAACACCTTAGCTATCACCGGTTTTGATCTCGCTTGGCTAACTATGCACCATCGGCGAAGATGCCCCACGGCCTTGCCATGACTAGTCGCAAATACTTACTGGTGCTGAACGTAGGGAATAGATGGGAATAGATAGGAATGGGATGATTATTGATAGTTATTGTGGATCAATGTGGATCATTCCCGAAAATTCCCTGCGTTTAGCACCAGTAAGAATATCAACCTGGGATGCGCTGGAGTTGCTGAAATGGATATAGGCACTATAAGAGTTATATATTTCGGATGGTGTGATTTCGGTGGTATCGAGATATGATATATGGGGTCTAGAGTCTAAAAGCTTCAAAAGCGTGGTAAGGCCATTATTAAGCCATGGTCATTCCTGATGATTCCTCAGAAATGTGTGGTATCAACCAGCCCCATGTTTCCATTTTCGGGCACTGGGCTTAGGACTTTGAGTTGTTTCTCTACTTCAAGGGTATTTGCGAACTAACTCCACAACTGCTGTTTTAATTTGGGGCATTTTGGGGCCTACATTTTGCCACCATGTACCTATACTAGCCTGGGGAAATATCCAATAAAACAGGTGAAATTTCAAGTTTCTATGGCACTATGGGAAGCATATTCGGGAGGGGTGGATACCCATTTGAGACAATCCCGTATCTATTCTTCATTGAGTTAACTCCATATTCTGATGGCTTCTCATTTGTTCTGTTCTGCTCAATATCCACATCAGAATTATATATACATTAATTATATTATATATTATACATATTATTGATAACATCCCAATTCTTGCGAATCTTGATGGTTCAACTACCATAAAAATGGCTGGTAAAATCATGTTCAACCCATATTGTCGATAGATGATAGTTTAAATCCAGATTGGTTGAATCATTTTTGTTCGAAACCCTGCAGGATTTTAACAGCCACTTCCTGTAGCCATTTTTTAAGCGACGGGTTGTCAACGACAGCTGCGCAGTTGACTTCAGCATGTCAGCTTCTGGGCTGCAGTGGAGCGTGGGAGGGATGGGGGGGAACATGATATGACCACCTACATATCAGTATGTGGGTGTGTCTGAAAATGGGCGTACCCATAAAATGTTTATTTTGATAGGGGAAAGTGATTAACCAACTAACCATGACATTTTGGGGTATTCTGGTATTCTATTTTGAATCACACCTACGTATATTTGGCACGTGTGATTTTTCCAAAGATGTATGATAAGGAAACACCATGAAATAATCAAATACCATCAAATACCATTTGTAGATATTAACCAACAACAATGGGAACCAAACCATATAACCTAAGTGTGGCTTTTTACAAGGTGGACCCCGAGTTATGTTTGTTAGTTTATAACCACCATGAATATTATTGATTTACTTACAACGTGGGGCCCCCAGTTATAAGTTGGTTTATGAACCATTAACTATAGTTATAAGTATCATAAACCCGAAGTTATACACCAACTTAGCTATCTAGGGGGCACCACATTGTATATACCCCATAAACCATAGAACTCACCAAGTTATGTTTTCCGACTTAGCTATCTCGGGGCCCCCACTTTGTATGTATGCGTGCACATGAATCTGGATAAACTATAATGACTTCACTGTGATGTCACTGGAATGATGGTTAGGATTAGGGATATTAGGGTAAGTATCTCAAAATGGCCTTATTTCAGGACCCCAGCAGTCGCCAACAGCCAAGTATTATCCTTGTTTCGTGGCGGTTCAATCAACGTCCCACATTTCGGTGACCCTTCCCGCTGAATATGTGAAGGTTATTTGAAGATTTGCCCTGATAATCGTGGTTGTCGCTGGTTAATAAGCTACAGTTATGGCCATGCAATAGTTATAATTTGTTATTTCTATGGGATTATACATTCCATAAAAGGGATTATAAGTATATACTGGTATTCCGGGCCACAACTTTAATAAGCTATTAACAAAGCCAAATATTATTGAGCAGGGCACCGGGCAGCTGTCCTGTCTCTTCTGCCGGCGAGCTAAGGCTATGAAAGTCCATCGAGGCAGTCGTACGAAGGGACAGGTTTTAGATGGCAATTTGGGCAAAGCAACCCCAACATTTTGGTAGAAAAACATGGGTTTGTCTGAAAATAGTGTATCGCTAATTCGACGATTCGACCATTAATCAATCAGAACCTGGGAATCTGGCGCCTATCTATGGAGAAGGAGAAAACCAAGAATTTACTCCGAAAAAATCGAGATATAAACTCCGTAAACATAATCTAACACATCCTGGAAACATGTCCACTGCTGTCCTCTTTTCGTTGGCCTTTTTTAAAACCTGGGGGAATGTGTCTTGACCGGGATGAGACCATGATGCGAGACACGACTTGTCAATTTCAGTAGTGGAGATCTCTTTTTGTTTCATGAATGAAATCAATAGCGTAAATGTTATTGGATTGATTATTGGATAGATGTTTTTTGTTTTAACCAGGGAGAAATTAGGAAATCATTCCTATGATTGATTATTGGATAGCTAAGTTTGGCTTTTTTTGTTAAACTCAGGGAGAAGTAGGAATCAATCAAGATGAGGGGTTTCAATCTGATTCCCATAAGAACTGGTGGTAAATGGAATGGTCACCTCTACGACAAAGGGACAAAGTGTGATTGGGAAATGGCATGCAAGGCGGGGCCCCGTAGGAATGTTTCTTGGTTTAGTTGGTTAACCTTAAAAAAAACATGGATTCTATGGCGATGGATCAATACCTATACATAGCATTTTTAGGGGATTGAACATCCTTTACCAGCTATTTTGATGTTCACCCGGGGTACAAGGTTTTGACCCATCTCAATATCTAGCATAAAGCCTAGAATTCACCAAGTTATGTTCAGAAAAGCTTTGCATTCTTGTGCGTGTTCCCTTGTGGGAATGTGGCCAGATTTGTCGCCAGTGGCCCCTGCCATCATTGTAAGAGGACCATTTTTCCCACAGTACAGGTGAGACATGGTGATGTTTTTTCAAGGATTAGGTACGACATGATACGACTCATCCGCCACTTGGTTTCGCTAGACCTATCTAAATGGACTCATGAAATATACTTCAATTGCCAGGGACAGAAACATCTAGTCTGGTACAATGTGGGGCCCCCTAGATAGCTAAGTTGGTTTATAAACGCCATTAGCATCCATTAACTATAGTTATAAGTATCATAAACCCTAGTTATTGAAATTATTTGCACCAACTGAGCTATCGTTCCGGGGCCCCACATTGTAGCAATCTGACGAATTGCCACAGGGTAACCAACTTTATTGCCTCATCGCTCAGATCCCAATGGGAATATCCACTAACCAGCTCAAAAGTAGATTGTTTTGCCAGGTATCTAAGATTGGCAATGGTCTGGTACAATGTGAGGCCCCCTAGATAGCTAAGCTGGTTTATAACTCCAATAACTATGGTCCACATTGTAGATGTGATTCTTATTTAGCTCCAAGGATCATTCGGGATGTGCATCCCCACAGGTGAATCTGCATAGATCATGTATGGTTTATAAATGTTAGCAATTATATATCCCATTAGTATGGGTTATATTATATATATATTGTATGATATGGTTATATGATGTTATATGTATCCACTTATAAATGGATATAGACATGGCACCTTGTTCCCGAAATATCCCAGATTGGGATGAACTGTATCGATAACGCTTGGGTTTGTGGGGTCTATAAACCAACCATTTGTGGGGGATGGAAAAACGAAACAATCCATGTTGGGATTTAGATGAAGCCTTGGCATGGAAATGGAGTCACACAGTTATGGCCATGGCTATTAGTTACAACTGGTTATTTCTATGGGATTACGCATTCCAATTTTAATGGATTATTTCGATACTTCAAACTGGCATCGCCCGGGTCATAAGTGCATGGAATAGGATGGATGACCATCCATTTTTGTCGTGTAACTAGGCCATGGCACATATGAGATCACTAAGTCACATTAAAACCATTGGACTCTGGACTGTCCCAGCACCCGGAGGAGCAGATAAGCATCAAACTATTGGCAAGACACGTGCCATGATGGCAAAAAGGGATCTTCATGGATATGTTAAATATATTTCTGGTTGGTGGTTTGGACCCCTAGATAGCTAAGTTGGTTTATAAACGCCATTAGCATCCATTAACTATAGTTATAAGTATCATAAACCCTAGTTATTGAAATTATTTGCACCAACTGAGCTATCGTTCCGGGGCCCCACATTGTAGCAATCTGACGAATTGCCACAGGGTAACCAACTTTATTGCCTCATCGCTCAGATCCCAATGGGAATATCCACTAACCAGCTCAAAAGTAGATTGTTTTGCCAGGTATCTAAGATTGGCAATGGTCTGGTACAATGTGAGGCCCCCTAGATAGCTAAGCTGGTTTATAACTCCAATAACTATGGTCCACATTGTAGATGTGATTCTTATTTAGCTCCAAGGATCATTCGGGATGTGCATCCCCACAGGTGAATCTGCATAGATCATGTATGGTTTATAAATGTTAGCAATTATATATCCCATTAGTATGGGTTATATTATATATATATTGTATGATATGGTTATATGATGTTATATGTATCCACTTATAAATGGATATAGACATGGCACCTTGTTCCCGAAATATCCCAGATTGGGATGAACTGTATCGATAACGCTTGGGTTTGTGGGGTCTATAAACCAACCATTTGTGGGGGATGGAAAAACGAAACAATCCATGTTGGGATTTAGATGAAGCCTTGGCATGGAAATGGAGTCACACAGTTATGGCCATGGCTATTAGTTACAACTGGTTATTTCTATGGGATTACGCATTCCAATTTTAATGGATTATTTCGATACTTCAAACTGGCATCGCCCGGGTCATAAGTGCATGGAATAGGATGGATGACCATCCATTTTTGTCGTGTAACTAGGCCATGGCACATATGAGATCACTAAGTCACATTAAAACCATTGGACTCTGGACTGTCCCAGCACCCGGAGGAGCAGATAAGCATCAAACTATTGGCAAGACACGTGCCATGATGGCAAAAAGGGATCTTCATGGATATGTTAAATATATTTCTGGTTGGTGGTTTGGAACATGTTTTATTTTTCCATATATTGGGAATAATCCCAGCTGACTGATATTATTCAGAGGGGTTGAAACCGTATGAAGCGTGTAGGAGTAATACTTGTAATCAAGAAGGGGGAGTTCTCCAGGAAAGGTTCAGTGTTTTCACCAGGCTTCTTTGGCGTTTTTTTCTTTGGGGTAAAGACATATCTCCCAGATTTTCCATCATCTTCCACGAACATTGGCAACAAATCTTAGCATCCCAAACATCACCTTGATCACTGCAAGGTGTGTTTTCAGACTTGTCATTTCAGGCAAAACAGCAGGAGGTCCAGGAGATGGTTTTTGCATACCTTCTGGTAAACTAACATAACTATGGAAAATCACAATTTTTGATGGGTAAATCAACTATAAATGGACCATTTTCAATAGCAAACTGTATGTTTACCAGAGGGTACGTGGGACAACGAAAAGGCACCGTGCCAAAGCTACGTTGGAGACATCAGAAACAGATCGTCCTTGTGGCATATGTCCTGCATGTCGTGACACTTCAGCATTGATCGCATAGATTGGCTGATGATTTTTGTAACATGTGGCGGCACGGACGCAGACAGAACTAAGCCAGGTTCTCACAGTGGAAATACATGTTGGCACGTCATATTTGTAAATACAATGAGGGGAACAGTGTGCTTAATACCTTTTTTTCCGTGCATTCAAGAGAAGTGTGAAGAGAGGAGCAAAAAAAGTGGAAGCCGGCAAAGGGGGCTGCCACGAACGTTAGTTTTCACCCACCGCTTTGGAAGAAAAACACAAACTGCAGATGGGGCCCCAAGATAGCTATGTTGTGGTCTAGGATGGATGGTTTAATGTTTTGTCCTGATTTGTGTGTGTACCCCCCCCCTCAAACAATAGCTATACCCTCTTTCAGGTTGGGTATCAAAAAACTCTGCCCCAGAAAAAATACGATCCCGCATTGAAGCAAGGAGTTCAATTGGCGACAATTGAAAGCATAATTAAAACTTATATAAAGCTTTCTGTTTGCCGATGAACTTGTGATATGTGTAGTACTTGTAGTGCTTGTAGTACCTTGTAGTGAGTCGGGTTCAGCATGTCGATTGCGTTACCTTGTCCATCTTAAGTTTTTGTTTTCAAAGTGTAATAAGAGAAAGAGCAAGAAAAAGGGAAACGGAAAGAGAGAACGAGAAAGAAAAAGAGAAAGGGAAAGAGAGAAAGAGAAAGAGATAAAAAAATAAATGGAAAGAGAGAAAGAGAAAGAGAGAGAGAGAGAGAGGAAGAGGAAGAGGAAGAGGAACAGAGAGAGAGAAAGAGGAAGAGGATGATAAAGAGAAAAATATGTGTAAAAGATTTCTCTTTCTTCTCTTAGCTCCAGAATCCGCTCTGGAAAAGTTTGCTGCAATTGTGAAACCTGAGAACAAACCTACTAAAGTGAACTGGGCCCTCTCATGGCCCAGTGCTTTGGACATTTGTGGAAGAACTGTTCTTTAATAAGAGTTTAACAAGCGGTCTGACTCTTTTGGGACAGGGAGACAAGCAATTTGTGTTTCAGAAAAAAATGTTCGTGTTTTTTTTGCACCAACATTTTTTTTGACGAACAAAATGGTCTAATAATTCTTGCCACAATAGTGAACCTTCCAAACCTTGCTAGGCCACAATAAGTAGTGAACCTAGACACTAATCAGAATAATTACAACATTACGGTAAATTTAAATATTCCACGGTAAAAAAGATCCTACGGTTGAAACCTCATTTTGAACCCGCGATCAAAATCGGACGAAATAGCACGTTTTGACACAAAATATTGCCGCCAGCTCCATTTCCGGCTCCAATATAGCATCCGTTTTCCAGCTCCATTTTCCGCCGGTGGCTCTATGTCTGTGGAGGTGGGCTGGCCGCTCTATTTGGAGCTGGAAATGGAGCTGGCGGCTCCATTTGAAGCTTGCAGCTTCATTCGGAAATGGAGCTGGCGGCTCTATTCGAAGCTGGAAGTTCTTAAAAATAGAGCCGCGCCTCCATTCGGAGCTACGACAAGTGAAGCCGTATTTTTGCGCCAAGACGTGCTATTTCGCTCGTTTTTGGCCGTGGTCCAAAATTGTGTTCTTAATCGTTGCATGAGTTTTTTGTCTTGAGCGGGCGCCTAGAATTGAATTTATGTCGGCGCTTCAACTTCGTCTCTTTCTATACATCGAACTAGATAGTGAGGTTGACATCAACTCGCTTGGGCCCTGGGGGGCCCAGCCTTCCATCATCATGGAGAAATTCTAGGTGAATCCTGATGCTAGTGTTCCGGTATTAAGCATCCAACAACGGGATATTCATTTGAAAACGCAAAGACCTAACCTACTTAGTGAGTGATCGTCATTTTCAAGGTGTTTTACTAATTAGTAATGTGGGATGTTGCGGGCATTTGGAAACCAACATTCAACTTGTAGTCCCCACCAAGCAGAGTCATGGCCGGCCTCCCTGACCCGGGAGTCCGGGAGATGTGTTTTTCCTCGTGCATCCGTGCACCCACTTTATATACTAACTTTGTACATGTCGCTTAATTTCGCCGCAGCTGTACATGCGCTACGTACAGATTTGCCTTCGACACTTCCTGATCCTCACATAAGTTGCCTCGCGCAAGAGTTGCTAACAATGGTTTGGCTCTACGGCAAGCGGCCGTGCATGTGACCATGGAAAGCAAAGCGCATGTTTTTCGGATGAAACGCAGACTGCCGCATGCTGGTCAAATTGCGGTCATGCAGATGGCAAGTTCAGAACTGCTGGCCAAACAACACCATACATCTTTCAACAGTTTCCTCCATGGCTTGACCGATTTCTTCCAGTTCTTAGATATCAGATATTGACGCCCTTTCTTGCGATGTGTTCAGCCCGATCTCACACAACCCTCAAGGCCATTTGCTGCTTACACTTGGGTCCTCCTCGTTCAAGCATCGCGCTCTAATGTTTGTTTGGCCACACGACCACCCATCAGTAGAAGGATTTTTTTGTCTATGCTCAGGTCTCAGGTATATGCAAGGTAGCTCATCAAAACCTGTTTGCGCATCCAACGTTTGATTGATTTTTGATGGCTAAGTTATCACTGGCTGGCACGCTTTATGAACCACACTACAGGCAGCCGCGCTCTCATGCGGAGCGGTGTCCCGCTAGTTGCTTCCATGTCAGGCGCAGCTGGTGCGGTTGGTTTGTGGATCCGTCAGCTCATGTATGTCCTCTTTGTTGGCTATAAGCCTTGGTAATATGGTCTGGGGAATGCGCCTAGTTTTCTGCCTGAGTAGTGGGCATGATTCATTAGCGGTAGCGATGCTAGAAGTCAAATTTGGCCATGGCCGCTGGTTGGAAGATTGGCCATTGGGGTCCTAATCCAAGCATACAGTAAGTCCGATCTGTACTCTATCTAGTACATGTATGTTGCACTTTGTGATACATGTAATTGGACCTATTAGCTTGTATACAAAACGATGAAGGTCCAACTGCACAGAAACTGATTATACTTGTTTTTTCAGTTGGGTTGGGTTTCATTCTCAGAGTGGCGTTTTTTTTTCCAAATCATATTCCCCCTGATTTGTTTGTTCTTCCACATGTGCGATATGTTTGTAAGGGGTTGGAACCGTAAGATTTCCAGTTGTCACGCTACCAGGCATGTATTATTCATGTTTTTGTTTACGCACTACATCTGGAATTGAACGCTGACATGGATGAATCTATCCATTTCAATTTGGCGCGATTTGTGTAGCCAACACTTTGGCGTACTTCTGCCAGTTTACATTTGATGCGTAGCCAATTTTATATGTTTGGAAATATAGTTGTTGTTGTTTCTGCCAATTTGCTTTTGATGCATAGCCAACTTTATATATACTTAGCTTTTTGTTTTTCCGTCTCAGCGAAGGGTTCTTCTAAAAGTGGGGTCTGCTATACATCTTCACATGTTCATAACTTCATCACATCTTCTCATCTTCTCACCTTCACATCTTCACATCTTCATTTCTTCACATCTTCTCATCTTCACATCTTCTCATCTTCAGATCTTCACATCTTCTCATCTTCACATCGTCACATCTTCACATCTTCATATCCTCACATCTGCACATCTTCACATCTTCACACCCTCTCACCTGCACAACTTCACACATTTTCTCTCTCTTTCTCTCTTCTTCACATCTCTTCTTCACATCTCCTCTTCATCTTCTCTTCATCTTCTCTTCATCTTCACATCTTCTCTCTCTCTCTCTCTCCCTTTCTCTCTCTCTCTCTCTCTTGCCCTCTTGCCCTCTGTCACTGTCTCCCTCCTTCTTTTTCTTTTCTCTCTTAAGGCCGCAGGCGGTGCCGACGAGGCACCACGATATTGCCACCCTTTCGCACAAAATGAGGTTCGAGTGTCAAAAAACTGTTCTAAAAATTGCAGATGTGTCGGCGGCAACGCTTTCGCACGAAATGAGGTTCGAGTGTCAAAAACTGCGGTAAAATTATTAATTTTGAAGTGTCGGCGGCAACGCTTTCGCACGGAATGAGATTCGAGTGTCAAAAACTGATGAAGTAATTAGACTTGCAATTTTGAAGTGTCGGCGGCAACCTTTTCGCATGAAATGAAGTTCGAGTATCAAAAACTGAGGGTTTGTGTGCAAAAGGGTCTGTGTGTAAAGGCGTCTGTGTGTAAAAGCTTCTGTGTGTAAAAGCGTCTGTGTGTAAAAGCGTCTGTGTGTAAAAGCGTCTGTGTGTAGAAGCGTTTGTGTGGAGAGGAGCCCGTGTGTAAAAGTGTCTTTGTGTAAAAGCGTTTGTGTGTAAAAGCGTCTGAAAAGGGGAAGAGCCTCAGGGTGAAACAAGGCTAATTTTTGTGATGTTTACAACAGACTCGCGGCCTGGCTGGAGGTGACGGACGTGGTATGCTTGACAGGTGAGTAACATGACAAACATGGTGATGATAGTAAAGATGGTGATGGTGATGATGATGATGATGATGATAATGATGACGATGAGGAGGAGGAGAAGGATGACGATTATGGTAATGATGCCGACGTTTCTGATGATGATGATGATGGTGATGATGATGGTGATAATGATGACGATGATGATGATGATGACTTGGCTAGGGATGAAGAGGATGAGCATGGGAATGAGGAGGGGGATGAGGATGAGGATGAGGGTGAGGACTACGATGATGATGATGATGTTGATGTTGGTGATGATGATGATGCTGATGATGATTGGGATCACGATGATGGTGATGATGATGACGATGATGATGATGATGAGGATGACTATGCCGATGATGACGATGCCGATGATGATGATGATGATGATGATGACGATGATGAGGATGACGATGAGGATGAAGACGAGGACGAGGACGAGGATGACGATGAGGAGGATGATGATCATGATGATGATGATGATCATCATGATGATGATGATAATGATGATGATGATGATGGTAATGATGATGAGGATGAGGACGAGGACGAGGACGGGGCTGATCATGATGATCATGGTGAGGATGAGGATGAGGATGAAGACGAGGACGAGGATGACGATGAGGAGGATGATGGATATCATGATGATGTCTATGATGATGATGATGATGAGGATGATGGTGAGGATGAGGATGAGGACGAGGACGAAGATGATGATGAGGATGATGATGAATTGATGAATATCATAATGATGATCATGATGATGGTGACCAGGATGAGGATGATCATGATGATGAACATGATTTTTGATGATGATGATGATGATGATTTTTGATGATGATGATGGTGATGATGATTTTTGATGATTTTTGATGATGATGATGATCATCATCATCATCATGATGATGATGATGATGAACCATGTCTCTTCGATTTAGGCATCACCGTATATTTCTATATTTATGTGTCATGCTTTTAGATCTTTATACTTACACCTCCCACTATGCTCCTCTACGCTCTCGGGCCATCCGTCTTCTAGTTTCAATGGTGCAACCTTCATGCCCCGACACTCTCATGGGGATGCCCATTGGCACATCCTGAGCTATTTTGATTGGGACAAATTGCCCCAGTTCTTTGTGCTGGATGGATCCAAACAGCGCACTTGGCGACTTGGTTCAGGCCAATGGTTTGGAACAAATATTTTAGAGTATTGCCATGTGCCATCAAAATTAAAAAATGGATGGTTCAAGTGGTTGTGGGTGAACGACTGATGCCCAGGGTAAACGTTTTTGTTTTCCCTGATTTATTTGGGTCCAATGGTGGTTGTGGCCGAAATGTTACAAGTTGGGGCACTTTCCTAGCAACAACAGTTTTTTTAGATTTCAGAATTGATCCCGCAAAAAATTGCAACAATTACCATTGTTTTAGTATTTTTTTTTCATAGTTATATGTCTATTTTGTTTTGTGGGTTGCTACAAATAATTCAAAAAATCCTTAGTATTTGAACGCCAACGGTCAGCCTTGGTGAGGTTTGGCCTTCATCAGTTGTCGACCTTCGGTGACGCGGCAAACCAATCGGAATTGTTTTTTGTCCAACAGGATGGGGCCACAAAAATAACTAAATTAAATTTAGATATAAATGGTTTAACTATGGTTTATAGCAAATCTAGCTATAGTTAATGGGGTCTATAAACCAACTTATAGCTGGGGAGCACCATCCTGAAAGGTTGGCCACGTTTTTCGATGGATTGTTGATTATCATAAGTTTATAATGGGATTGGAATGGTATAATATTGGGATTAAAAAGGGATCGTGATGGGATCAAAATTAGATAATCATGGGATGTTTGTGGGATGATAATGGGATCAGAACCAAGGGAGGAAAACCAGCACCTTCTAAACTTCATTGGATCGATCAGCCTTACAAACTGAAGAAGACGAACTTGTGTTCCTTCATTACCGTTGGGGAAACTCAACCAATGTACCCCTCCTCCAGATCTTCTGTAGAACAATCATATTTGGATACGGCTCAAATACGACCAAAGTATGCATCCCGTGGCCTAGATCCCAAAGCATCTCCCGAAAATTTGTGTGTTGTGACAGCGTTTGTGCAGATTCACTGTTGTTTGAATTTGAAGTGTTTGGACTGCTGAGTCGAAAGTCTGAATGGAAGCAGTTCCTTGTCCATCCGCATTGTCAGAGGTTTTGTGTCACAATTTGTGTCTTCTAGTGTGGGCTAAAAGGCAGAGCTGCTTGTGTTAGACATACAAACAGAGACATATGTGTGGTCGGAAGATCCACTCACAAGGATCGAACTGCACATCACCTCGCCGGTATAATCTCAACTTAAGTTTTTATTGAAATCAGCATGGGATTTTAGTGTGATTGCTACGAGATCTGAACGGGATTATAATGGGCTTTGATGAGAATATGAGAGGTTTCGCATGGAATTTTAATGGAATGATAGTGGGATTATAGCGGGTATTTACTGGGATTATAATGAAATTGTGATGGAATTAATTCTCCAGTATATTCCAGATACAAATATGATTCACTTGGGGCTGTCCTGATTATGTGCGCACGGCATGTCTAAATCACGGATGTGTTTTTTTTCCACTGACAGACAGCACACCACAAAGAGAGATCATTCGGAATGATTGTGCATTCGTGAATTCATTCTGGAACCCAAAAGTCCTATGGCACTATGGGTTTATGTTTCCAATATCAGACATTATTTTGCTCAATATTTGTTTAGGGATTGAGCATCCCAAACACCAACCTGGTGGTTCAAACACCAAGCCTCTAAATTCATGGATTAATCACAAGTTTCCCAACATAAGATGGCAATTTAGCAGGTATACCTGATACCCTCTGGTAATTTAACGTAGCTATTGAAAATGGCCATAGAAATAGTGAGTTTTCCCATCAAAAAACTGTGATTTTCCATAGTTATGTAAACGTTTACCAGAGGGTACCCCATTTTCAGACAGAACCATATTACTGTCAGTATGGCTATATAACATATTCATATCCGACTGAAGAAACATCATCTTCCCTAGCCATTCTGGTATGGACCATCAGAATTTGACATGTGTCCTGGTTTGGGGACTTACTCAGTTGGGTAACGTGTATTTACATCAGCCATCCAGTTTTTGGATGTAAACAATCAGCAGTTGTTGATGCTCCCGCAATGTTCCGTTGCAACTTAGTTGCAAGTGCTGTACGGTGCATCACCACATTTAGTTGGTATTTTTGAACCCCAGTTATACATGGATTGGCTTTTGGCTGGATTACCCCCGGTTGACAGCATTCAATCCCAAGTTCTGGTTGGTGATCTCTCGTGATGGGATCTCATCTATAAGCAATTGATGCAACTGCACATTCTCCAACCTGGGGGCCTTGGAGGCTCTGCTCAGTGACATCTCCTCCGATCGTGCAACGGACATGCGAAACTTCCAAGGAAGCCAGCGGTACTCCTTCTTCTGGTGGAGTCGGAATGCCAGGGCTAAAAGTCTGGCACTGCGCTGAGTTTCCGCAGTTAAGACTTCTAATGGAAAATTGGCGGTGAACTTCTGCTTGAGCTGAGCCACCGTAGATCCAGTAAGCTGACTGGTGGAAATGACTCAGACCACGACGTGACGGAAGCAGCTCCACCGGATGGTGAAGACTTGCACTTGCAGCTACTTAACCATGTTTTTTTTTCTGGTTTGCACCCTATTGGACTATAGGAACTGCTTTGGTCAAAAGATGTTTCAATTCTTAAAACCAATGTTTTTTTTTTTCGAATATAAATATGACACTGTCTTACCTATTTGAAGACTTCTTCATTTTTCCCCGAGAACAAAGTCATGTTCTCTGCTGAATTCACCATCATGTTTGCTTTGCTTGTCTCACTCGTTTGCACATGCGGGTTCGGGCCTCAAAATGATCAAGTAGAGTTTTGGTCCTTTACCAGTTATTTTTGCCACCAAGTCACCCCATTTATGGTTTATGTATAATCCCATAGAAATAACCAATTATTTCACCATTTATAATCGGTTTCTAGGGCCATAACTGTAGAGTGTGGCTCAGGACACCCCGCGAGCATTGCAAGCGCCAGCGGCACAAGCAACACCAGCTCAGGCCCCGTGGCGTGGGATGGTCACCATTGAAATCGGGTGTAAGATACCAAATGGATTAAAAAAACAAGATGTTTGATTTCTGTTCTTTTGTTGTCTTCATAAGTCTTCATGATTTTTGTTATTGTTTCGTCTTGTTTTGAAGATTTATGTACATACGTTTGATGTGTTGAGCTTGTTTGCTGATACGATAGCTGTCAAAAGAATTCGGGGATGAATCACTTGGTCGAAGTTGAGCTGATTTAGTGGTTTCCTAAGTCATTGGGGCACCCCAATAGCTGGATGGTTTTAGAATGGCAAATCTTATTAAAGTTTAAAATGGATGATCTCGGGGTACCCCCATGTCAGGAAACCCCCATATATTGATTTTCTGGTTGGTGGTTTGGAACATGTTTTCCATATATTGGGAATGTCATCATCCCAACTGATGAACTCATATTTTTAAGAGGGGTTGAAGCCAAAAACCAGCATTAATGGTTGGGGTTTCCAAGATTTGTGTGTTTCTGTTCAACCATACTTGGGATGATTGGTTGAGATGACGGTTGCATGTTTTTGTGTTGCAATATTTTGCAATGTTGTTTCACACATATGGCTTCTCTTCATACCAATGGCAGCCGCAGCCAATGGACAACATGTTTAAGTGCCGCTGGGGAGATCAACACGTGATTACCCCAGCTGTGACCGTTCTTAACTACCATAACAAGGGTTCATAGTTATATAAATGTTTTATATGTATATATGTTATATTATATATCTATAATATATCTCTAATATATCTTTAATATATCTTTCATATATCTATAATATATCTTTCATATATCTATAATATATCTATATCTATAATATATCTATATATCTTTAATGTATCTCTTACAATATATATCTCTAATATATATCTATAATATATCTATAATATATCTATAATATATCTAGAGTATATCTATAATATATCTTTAATATATCTCTAATATATCTCTAATATATCTATCATATACCGATATTTAATGTTTTATAATGTTTTACTGGTGTTTTGGAACATGATTTTTGTTTTTCCCCACCTGCCAGGTGAGGGTTGTTAGATTTTATGTCAGTTGCCTGGTCCTCCTCGTCCTCCTCCTTCTCCTCCTCGTCCTCCTCCTCCTCCTCCTGCTCAACCGCGACCCTCGACGCACAGTGGTCTCTGTCGGACCTCAACCACGACCATCCACGCCCAGTGTTCCCTGCCGGACCTCAACCACGACCATCACCGCCAGTGTTCCCTGCCCGCCCAGTGTTCCCTGCCGGACCTCAACCACGACCATCCACGCCCAGTGTTCCCTGCCGGACCTCAACCGCGAGTATCCCCGCCCAGTGTTCCCTGCCGGACCTCAACCACGACCATCCACGCCCAGTGTTCCCTGCCAGACCTCAACCGCGAGTATCCACGCCAAAAGATATGCCACATAGAGTGCCAGAAGATATGCCAGATAGAATGTTACAAGATATGCCAGATAGAATGACAGAAGGTATGCCAGATAGAATGCCAGATAGAATGTCAGCTAGAATGCCAGAAGATATGCCAGATAAAGTGCCAGAATGTTTGCCAGATAGAATGCCAGCAGATTTGCCAGATAATATGCCAGAAGATATGCTAGATAGAATGCCAGATGGAATGCCAGAAGATTTGCCAGATAATATGCCAGAAGATATGCCAGATAGAATGCCAGATGGAATGCCAGAAGATATGCCAGAACATATGCCAGAAGATATGCCAGAAGATATGCCAGAACATCTGCCAGAAGATATGCCAGAACATCTGCCAGAAGATATGCCAGGTAGAATGCCAGAAGATATGCCAGATAGAATGCCAGATCGAATGCCAGAAAATATGTCAGATAGAATGCCAGAAGATTTGCCAGTAACAAAATGTATAAATGTCATGGTGGGGATCACACGAAGTAAAGTAATTTTTGTTTTTGCGTTTATTTCCATATATTGGGAATGTCATCATCCCAACTGACGAACTCATATTTTTCAGAGGGGTAGGTATACCACCAACCAGTATATATATATATATATTTATATCTCTATATCTATATCTATAAGACACGTTTAAGCTGTCCTGTATACCATACAAATACCCAAGGAAGCTGATATTGCTAACATCCTTTGTTTACCAGACTGGCTTTGTGAATCGCACATTGCTGTCATGGCGTAACCAGAATGATAAACACCATCCAGACCAGAAGTTGGTGGAAAAAAACAATCCTTCATGAGCTCTAGTTAGTCAAGTTACAAGTCCACTTAGCGGGGGCTTCACCACGACATCACTGGAAACGACTGTCTGGATTGGGGGAATCATTCCGAAGTTCCGAAGTGGCCTTATGAGTTCACAATATTTATGACGTGACTTGAAACCGAAGAATGATGGTGCGGCCCAATGACCAAAAGATACCAAAAGGATTGGCTGAATTTTGGCGACATGCTTGTGAATGATGTTTCTTTGTTGCACTGTTCAATGGTGGAATGACATCGCAGAAGAAGGTACTTGTTTCAAGAGATATTGAAGGCTATTCTTTGAGTTGCCGTTTAGGCAATGAAGTCCTAGTCAGATATTGCAGAGGGGTCTATGTGAAGGACTGATATTGCGCGCTTCCCAAGGCCAAGCTGTCTAGCGATTCCTTTCCCAATCCGGGCTGCCTGATCCACCATGTGTTGCTTCCCATGTTTGTTGATCATCAAGTCTTGTTGATGTTTACCGTATTTTATCCTCACTTGCTGTCCCTTGAATTCCCTTGATGTTGCCGTTGGGACTCTGATTTTTGTTAGTTAAAGCCCAGTCTGTCTACGTGGGTTGAAACCATATAGGATGATCATTTGCATGAAGACCCAACTGATTTCAGCTCATCATTTTGTGAGAGGTAACAGATTCAAAATCATACAAAAAGGTATTTTAGACGGAAAATGCTCCTGGTAGCAAATTTTATCAATTCCATACATTGAGCCCTCTGATTGTATAATGGGTAACTACAGATTTGGACTGTTCAAACAACTACAGTTGTATGTTTCCAAAAAAGAACTGGTTATATTCACCAATAATTTGTTCGTTATATACCCTACTTGGATGTGCATCCCATTTGTGATCCGTGGTTCACAATAAGTGGGGATATTCCATCTATACAATGTGGGGCCACTATGGTTTATGATACTATATGATACTTATAGCTTGTCTTAATGGGGTTTATAAACCTATATATATATATATTTCTGGGGGTTATAAACTCTATATCCATCTGTTTATGCGGCTGAACTTCCCATTCCGGACGTCTTTAAATACCAGGCCCCCGCCACGCCGGCGCAAACGGCCGCGGCGCTGTTGCTGGGGGTGGCTGCAGGCGTCGTGCCACGTTGTCACGTTTTGGGAAAAGAGTTGACCCACAATGGCCATCTTTTATGGGATTTCACCCACAATAGGGGATTCAAAAAATGTTCAAATTTCAAGCCCATTAGTTGATTCAAAATCCCCTGTTGACATATAATGGGTTCTTGCAAAAATACTATGTGAGCTTGCGTGAAAATTGGGCTGCCGGCAAATTCGAGGATTAATTATCATCTTGCCCTGAACAAGTGCAAGTTTGGAGTGAATCCACCATTTTCAAACACGTACAGAAATATTCTGATGTGACCATCGTAAATTGTATGTTTGCAATCAAACATATGGGAATGGGTCAAAGTTTAGGGCCCATGGGGACTGTTCATTGTTGAAATAAATTAACCATCCAAATCTGAAGGTATCCAATTTTGACCCATACCCATATATATATATACATACATACATACATACATACATACATACATACATATATCTATGTGTATGGGTGTTTAGAATTTGTTTTACGTCGCTTAAAGTGGTGATGTCACCTCGGTGACGCACGAAGATAGGATATGCCTTTGGAAGGATTTTTCTTCACAGAGCCTTGAAGATGATTTCTGCCACCTTGATGCTGCTAGCCCATTCAGACTTCACTTGAGCTCTGAGGCCCAGACAGCTGCATATTCCAAGCCTTTTCTAGGATGCCAATGACTGATTCCATTGGTTTAGCTCACGTTTCCATTCATATTATATCATACTAACTTAGTTTTATCTGCCATTTCCCATCATATCCCAATTGTATCCAATTAAAATACAATTCCTGTTGGTGAAATGTCATTATATTCACAAGGTGATTTAACTATATCCCTCATAAACCCAAACGCAAACCCCAAGAGATGTGCGTTAACGTCTCGCTATAGTTTGGGGGCCTCACCTTGTACAGTTGCGGCCGTAGATACCAATTATAAGTGGTTATAATTGGTTATAAATGAGATTACTATGCATTCCATAAATGGGGTTAGTTCAGTACTTTTAACTTATAACTGGCAAACGACCATAACTGTGTAGAGAATGACGAGTTCATCGTTTGATTTTTTCCTGAACCCCAGGTGTCTCTGCCTCTGGAGCCTCTGCCTCCTCACGCACGCGGCCAGCGGTGAGGTGACAATACTGTGGAGGGGTACCTGATACGCCTGGATTTATGAGCCTGGGATGAGACAAAATCTGGGTTATTGGTGATTTTTATTGGTCTACCCTCCAATGTTTGATTTTTAATGGCCACATAATTGTCCATAACTCTCCAAGTAAATGTTGTTTTGTATCCCATGATCCATTATTGGAAGGTTTATCCTCCAAAACATTGGATGTTGCATTTATGTATGGGATGTCCCATCAAAACCTGCATTTATATCCATTTATGCTCAAATATCCATCTTTTTGAAGAAAATTATCCAATGGTTATATTCCCAGCCCCAAGAACCGACATAAAAAATGCCGGCCAGGTGCAGTCCCGTTGGCACGGAGACTGTCGAAAAGGAGGCGCTGGAGACGGTGTCGACGGTGGAAACTGAGACGCTGGAGGAGACGACGCTGGAGGTGGGGAGGACATCTTTTCGGTGGGTAGCATTACTGATCAATAGGTTTAAATGTGGTATCCCATATTTAATCTCCAATATATATATATATATACAATGTGGGCCCTCCCAGTGATGTTTGTTTGTTAACAACAGCACCAGTAACTAGTTCGTTATCAATACCGCAAAACCATAGTTATTGGAGTTATATAAACCAACTTAGCTATCTAGGGGGCCTCACATTACTGATCAATAATAATAGGGTATAGCTACCCTATTGATTACCCTATTGGTACATTACCATAATTACCACTTTTTGGTACATTGGGCAGCATTACCTTTTTGGTATGATCAATACAATGTGGGCCCCCCCAGTTATAAGTTGGTTTAGATTCGCCCCAGTAAGAATAGTTATAAATACCACAAACCATAGTTATTGGAGTTATTTGCACCAACTTAGCTATCTAGGGGGCCTCACATTGTAGGTTTAAATGTGGTAATTATCCCATATGTATAATTATAAGTCTTACTGGTCTATATCTATTTATCTGTATTTATCTAATATTGACACATTATATTATATATGTAATATCTTGTAAATCCCATACCTGCAATATCAACTACCCCCCAGACAGTGGTTTAGATATTTAATTTTATCCATTTGTTGGGCACATATAGGGATATTTAATGTGGAGGTGGAATTGCATTGGTGTAAACATTGGCAACTTTGATTTCATCCACAAAAATGCAGATTCAATCAGCATGACATGTTTGTATAATTAACAAACGTGAGAGTTTAACTATTAAACATGGGGATGTACCCGCCAGGATGCAGAAATGCCCCATCCAAAGCGGAGCTGCTGAGAAGTTTGGATATCTGTTTACATATTAAGCATAGACAAACCCGGAGAATTATGCTATGGATTGGGAAATTATGCTATGGACCATTTCAATATCAATGTGAGGCCCCCCAGTGATGTTTGTTGGTTTAGATTCGCCCCAGTAACTAGTTTGTTATAAATACCATAAACCATAGTGAAATTGGACTTATAAACACCAACTGAACGCTATCGTATCTTGGGGGCCTCACATTGTATCAATCCCGGAAGAGACAATTTTTTTCTGACGCAGATTGAGCCGCTGGGCCAATAGGTTTCATGCGTTGATGCTAAATCACTTTGCCCTTTTCAAGGGCGCCGTTGAAACCACCAACCAGCGTATTCCTTGAAATACTGTCTGTATAACCCGGTCTAACTATAGATGAATATCCAACATGAAGCCAGTTACCGTAGTCAATAGAATATATCCAACATATCTCCAACATGAATTTCCAACATGAATATCCAACATAATGCTTATCAGCAGAAACCGACCGTTTTGCGGCCCCTTCCTGTTTGGTTGAAAACCATAATGCATCGAATTCACCTTAGCTAAGCCAGAACTAGCATAAATCACCATTGAATCACCATAGTTATTGGAGTTGTGTTTGCCAATTTTGCGTTTTAGTGCCACGCGGTTATGGCCGGTTATTAGTTACAACTAGTTATAACTCTGTTTATAAATGTGATTATACATTTCATGAATGGGGTTAAGTACTTATAACTCGTAAAGGGCCATAGCTGCGGGCGTCCCACTTGTCGTATCCCTTCAAAATTACCAAACACCACAGGTAGATGCATCGGGGGTTGCCAGAGCCAACTGGCAAGATACCGCGCCGGGGTACCCAGAGGAAACCAAAGATGGGTGCAGAAACACGGGAGATGATGTGCATTGGGCTGGGATCTATTTTGGAAAAAAAAAACATGGAACAACTACGCTGAAGATTATGCGTCCATCACAAAGTTTTTTGAAAACAAATCATGCAGGTATGGCCCGAAATACCAGTTGTAAGTACTGAAATAGCACCATTTATGGTTCATGTATAATCCCATAGAAACAACCAGTGATAACCAATAAATTGCCATAACTGTATTGGGCTGGGATAACCTTCTCAAAATAGCCACACATTTCAGTTTACGTGAAGTTTTGTGAACTATTATAAGTCATGAGGTTTATAAAAAGAAGGTTGCAACTTTCATTAAATTAACCAATAAAAAAATACCGGTAACCATAGATAGCGATCTAGCTTGGCAGCTATTCTGTGTACACCCTTTTCGCCAGCCAGTATGAAGAGGCGATTCAAGATCGAGGCACCGCAAATGTGAAATTTGACTATACAAGCATGACCGACATGTGCGCGCTCTAAAATTTTGACACGCACCTTTGGGATGTGTTAACGTGGCTTGTTAACCCTCTAAAACTTCGCTTATGTCCCCATTTGGAACTGGTATTTTGCGACGAGCGTAGTCCAAACAAGAATCGCCAGTTCTTGTGTGACCCCTGTTTTACAGGTCCTCCACTCTTATGGGGTGATGGATCAATGCAAACAAATCTAGGTTGCAATGCTGGGTTAAGCGTTTTTGAGATTCCTTGCCATAGATGGTCACATGAATTTTCCTCCAGTTGCACAACCAATTAATCACCCATGGTTCATTACTTGGGGGTCACCAAAACAATTGTGGCAGCGTCAGGATTCGTCGAATGTGGACCCGAGCGGACGCGTGGCATGTGCCCGATAGGATCGTGGTGTCAGAGTCGATCTTGAGGGTTTAATGAGTGATCTATTGGTTAGCACTTGGTGGCTCATCCTACTTAGTAAGTGGGTTATAACCCCAGTTATAAGTGGATTAACCCTACTTATCCCATTTATAACTGGGGTTATAACCCACTTACTAAGTTGGATGAGCCACCAAGCAGGGAGCGATTCGGAGCTATGGGTATCTATTTTCCCTGAATTGAAAGCCATTTGGAGCTGCGTTGCTCTGAAGTCAGACATTTTGGGAGGTAGAAGGGGTCCCCCATGCTTGGACCATATGACTGGTTCGGGAAGCTGAGAAGGGGACCCATAAAACTGGATGTGCTTCAAAACTCAAGCGAATACCTTGGTGAACTGTTGGTATATGCTTGAGTCATTTGTTCCGGAGACATAGAATATGGACACATGGGGGTACCGCCAAATCTTTCATGTTATGTTCGGATTTTCCATGAAATAAATCATCCAGCTATTGGGGCACCCCTGTTTTAGGAAACCTCCATATCCCATTGAACATCCGAGGCCATCCATGCGCACACGACCTTTAATGGAATGCACATGGAAACAAGATGAAAAAAGTGTAGCATGTTGTAGCCATATGGAATAGTGTTGTGATTATGTTACTACTCAAACATAGTGTGAATAATTCCTGGTACCTTCGAGGTTCTTCGGATGAACATTGGAAGAGTATATACTGCTGAAGTCAAAAACAATGGGTGTATATATTAACTACGTCAAAATTGTGTGATTGCCTCAGTTGCATAATTTGCAACCAAGCAGATGATCAACCAGCCCGTCAAATCTGTGCAGATTGACAACTGTTATTTATAGTTTAGGGTTAGAGCAGTGACATAGACAGCTTTTGCTTGAAGCAGGAATTGCAAGTATTGTTGGACTTTGTTGGCAATTCAAAAATTATCCACTTGCAGTAGATTTCCACCAATCTTTTGATCTAAAAACTCCAGAATTTGTAATTTGGAGATGTTCGAAGAAAACAAATAAAACAAATATATATATATATATATACATAGTTTCAGGTAAACAATGATGGAACAACACATATTTCCATTTCTTAAAGAGAGATTTTGCCAAGAAACCGATCCAGTGACACGTCGCGCAAGGTGCACGCAATTTCTGGTGGTCTTCACACCATTATTGGTTCAAAGCTGAGAAGCTGATGGGGCCAGCAGCAGGGCCAGGGTGCACGCCACCTATCCAACATTGGCTATAGTCACAAATACATGTCAAATACATTGGTGCACGAGCTCTTTAGGCAACTTCATTTTGTGTAGTTAGATCATCATCCTGAAATAGGGGTATCCCCAAATCAGTACCCCCAAATCATCCATTTTCACAGGGATTTTCCATTATAAACCATCCATTTTGGGGTACCACCATTTTTAGAAACCCTCATTTTTTGAAAAAATACAACCCACATGTTCTGTTTCCACAACCCCATATTCATCAACAGTCCACGCTTCACGGCGTTCACGAGGCGACATGTCAAGACTACTGGATATGTTAAGGACTACTCCACACCACCGGGCCCCAAACAGCAGAAAAGATATCCTGATTGGGATGTTGGTCACTGGAGAAACCTTGGACGGTCTCCAAACCTTCAATTTCTTCCTTCTTGTCTGCACAGTATACAGAGAGTACCAACCTTCGGTGAACTAAGACATATTGTTTCAGCAGGTGATCTGAAATTAGCCACGACTACTTGCGTGTGGAGTTCCAGTTATAGGATGTTATAAGAATATATATTTAATATGTATAATAATATACACAATATACATAATATACATAATATACATAATATACATAATATACATAATATACATAATATATATATATACATACATTACAACCATATTATACCCCGGTTATGTATATATATATATGTATAGTATCAACCAAATTTATACTGGTTAGACCACTTACTTACTAACCTGGATACTTTATTACTTCACTTCAATCTGTTATTCTTCGAGATAGAGATGAATACAGCATATAGTATAATTAATGAGCTACCAACTGTAATCATACCCGTGTGTATATATATATATATACACGTTCATATATATATACGTATATGAATATTACTATGTATATGTGATTATATGTGTATACTATTTAACAGTATATATTTGTATATATATAATAAACCAGCATGTATGTATATATATATATACTTATGAATATGGCTGAACTGAACCAAAAAAGAGCTGTGCATCCAGGTTTGTTCTACCTCCTCGATATCCTTGTGGGCGACGTGGTAAGACTCAACGGTGGCCAGTGGTCGGAACATGTGTCTCTCGGTACAAAAAAAAGGCACCCGCAGTTGTAAGCTGTATGGACTTGAATGGGAACAGTTCAAAAACGGTGAGTCAATGGACTTTCATCGGGGTTAATAGATAGCTAAGTTGGTGAACATAACTCCAATAATTGTTGGGTTATGCTGGGTTTATGGCAGATATACCTATAGTTACTAGGGGTAACATAAACCAACTTAGCTATCTTAGGGGTCTCACATTGTTTGTATGGCTTGTAAGTGTGGTGTACACCAGTTGAGGATATACCCAGGTGGGATTGCTCCAGCCAATGACTTGGGTGGTTTACTTATGTCTTACCTTCATCATTTGAGGCTTTTGCCACCAAGAAGAGCGTTATATCCTTTGCTGATCAAACATTGCAATGGAAAATCCCTGAAGGAAATGGAGGTTTTTCAATAGAAACACAGCATCGAACGACTTTTTTTGTTTTTTTTCCAGTCTGCGATTTTTGTTTTTTCCACCGGAGGGTTTTTGAGATGTTTCCTGGGGTGCAACCAGCAGTAGGGAAAATCCGAAAATCGAATGGATGAGAACTGGAGGTCCCCCTATTTTAGGAAACCTCCATATGGTAAAAAATACCATGAAATCATTGTTCTCTATAGTATAGTGTTTGAGCCTGGGTACAAAAATGAGCCATTCAACTAATATCATTCTTGATTGGTTGGGGGTTGTACTATCCCTCTTGTACAACCAACAAGTATAATGGGATGGGTGTTTCATGACTTGTCCCAATGTTCTCCTTTTTACCCGACATGGCGTCATCAAACCTGGCTGGAAAATGGCCCATTGATTGATGATTTTCCCACAAACATTGGGAAAACATCAACCATTTTCCAAGCTTTTTCCACAGCCTTTTGCACCGAGGCCTTTCGAACTGGTCCTAGCTTCGATGGTTTTCGGCGCCGTCAACGCAGTTCCTGGGCTGTAGGTTTGTCAATGGCATAGCACGATATTCTATCCATTGCTTACCCATATTCCCCATTCAAGATAGGATCGAATGGTGATACCTTGAGATCTATGGGTTTTATTTGTATTTCTTAAACAATTAAAGTTTGATGATTCGCAGTAATTCTAGCAGTGTTTATGATTGAGGTTTCATGGGAAAACCATCAAGAATTGATGATTCACAATAATCTTATCATTCAAACTCCTATCTTGGAGGTACCCCAATGTTCAGACCCATAGAATTGGATTAAAACATATGTGAATTTGATGGGATATTGAGATGACTTAAGAGAAGAAGAGGTGATTTTGAACCAGCACAAAATTGATGTATGTATTCATGAATATGTATATATACACATGCATGGTTTATTTTTTTAACTACAGAATCACCTTGGAGTCGATCGAATCTGGATTTGTTCAAACAGATTCCTTTTTTTCACAAGTTTGTTTGAAATGTCCATGTTCCATCCACTCGAGGAGGATTATCATATTAATAATGACAGTATGATGTAACTGACCAAAGAATGGAGATACAATTGGATAAAGCCAAAGCACAGGAAGATAGAGTCACGAGAAATAACGAATGATTTAGCCTTAAAACTCTGGTTTATGAATCATTTCAGCGAGTATCAGGCTCCCACAGCTTGCAGGCTCCCGGCTGGCTCAGTTCGGGGATTAACCTCACCGGTAGAGTGAAATGGCCATGGCCCATGGCTGTGAAATAACTGGTTATGAATCAATGGGATTATGCATTCTATAAATGGGGTTATCAGTACCTAGAACTGGTAAAGGGCCAAAACTGTATATAAAAAAATAAATAAATAAATAAATATATATATATACAATGTGAGGCCCCCTAGATAGCTAAGTTGGTTTATAGCTCCAATAACTATGGTTCATGGTTTTTATAACTATAGTTACTGGGGCGAATCTAAACCAACTTATAACTGGGGGGCCCCACATTGTAGATATATATATACAGTATATATATATATATATTTGAGATTATTAGAATCTATGAACGAGGAATCTGGTCCTTAAGCATCCATCATCAAATGACACATTCGGGATTTGCACATTGCTCAACTATAGGTGAATATCATAGTCGATGTTAGATATATCAAATGTGTTAATGGGGTGAACATAAACCCTACCTGGTTGGTGGTTTGGAACATTTTTTCCATATATTGGGAAGAATAATCCCAACTGATTAATATTTTTCAGAGGGGTTGAAACCACCAACTAGTTATAAAGGTGCAATGAATAGATGATTAACCGTATTTTCCCTGTTGACCGTCCATTGGAGGGAAATACACTGACCAATGACAGAGGGTTTTGAACATGTGTACACCATACAATTACACCATATATATATATCGCATCAACTATTAAAATTATGTTCATAATTTCTAATATTGCACATATATTTATTGATTTTACCTCCAATAACTTCCATGAACATCCATTAAATATAGATTTATGACATATAAACCCTAGTGGAATCACATTTCTCTATATGTTTTTTTTTCCCATATACCTATTCCCATAACTATTGCTATATGATACTCCCCGATATATTGATTTTTGATTAGTCCAATCTCCGAACGAGTCATCAACCGACCATCATTTCTGAGTTATATACATTTATATCATCTTATATATCCATATGTTCACGCGTTTGTTTTTTAATCTTTTCAAACCCCTTTGAATTGACGAACTAATCATGTTCCCATGAAAAACCACCATTATGGCTGCTTCAAACACCATGAACTGCCAGTAAATCCACCAAGAATCCACCATGAAATCCACTAAATAGATATAGAATGATATAGATTCAAATTACTCATCCCACTATAAATCCCATATAAACACCCTATAAATCCCACTAAAATCCCCATGGAAATCCCGTTCAAGTCCGTTGAATCCCCAGCGTTTCTCCAAGGTCTCGGGCCTGCAACCCACCTTGCTGCCGCGCCCCACCGAGACGCTGCCGCAGCTCCTGGGCTTTGGCGAGGCGAAAATGCGCGGCGAAGCGCTGAGAAAATGCCATGGATGCTGGAGTTCACCATTCATGCCATGATGCTGGTGAATTATAAATGGTTATTTCATGTTATTTTCAATGGTTTTTTTTTAAGGGATACCATGAGGATTTATGGGGATTTATGGAAATGTATAGGGGATATATTGGGATTTACCATCTGGTAAACTAACAAAAAAATATGGAAAGATCCACCATGTTAAAGCTGGGAAAATCCACTATTTCGACTGGGCCATTTTCAATAGCTACGTTAAATTACCAGAGGGTATATGGTGATGATTTAACCCGCACTGTTGATTTCAGCAACATGTTGATAGTTTCCAATGAATGACCAAATAAAGATAGACGATTCGGTAGAGTTTCAGCAATGCATCTGAATATCATTGGATACATCAGGACAAAGTACCAAAAAAACGCCACGGTTGGTCACTAATGATAGAACAAGAGAAAGGAAACTCCGCAGGATTTGGTTGAAATGAGTTCATTTCAGGATGTGATTTCTTTCAATTTGCTAATTTGCCCAGATACTTCAGATACTCAAAATAGTGTCAACAGCTGGCCGTCTGGCCGCATCAATGTGGAGCATAGCGCAGGATGGAAATCTGCAAGCAGCAGGCTTTGTGAACACAGCAGGCGGGATGGGAGCGACTTAGTGAGATGGGATGGTGTAAATACCCTTTGGTAAACGTTTACATAACTATGGAAAATCACCATTTTGAATAGGAAAACTCGCTATTTCAATGGCCATGTTTTTTGAAGCTTTTTGTATGTTTACCAGAGAGTATTCCTATTGTGGGTTAGTTCATAATCTCCAAATAAACCAGTCAGTATAAACACCGTTTATGAACAAACCCATCGTGACACAGGTATTGTTCGTAGGGATTCAACCAGACTTGGTGAGTCGGTGACCCATCCACAGAGGCTATGCGATGATGATCAGCGGTTTCTCAACTTGTCCGTGAGGTTTTTTCCTGAGCCTCAGTTTTTTTCCAACGAAAGTTTGTTTGATTGTTCATGTCCTAGCCATGCTACAGTGAAGGAAACCTATTGAAAGAAATAAGTTGTACCTGCCTTCAAGGCGTAGGGTTAACCATAATTGCTCCTTTCAGTCGTTGCTGCCAACGCCCAGTCATGCTAGCACCGTGCAGAACATAGAACCCTTTGATGAGCGCGGCTTAAACGACCCCACAGTTTGCAGGCTTCTACTTCTTTTTGACCTATCAGCCGGAAACCCAGATGGGGCTGATGTCGTTTGAAGAAATTGCTGGCTCAGCCAATCAATCTGGGAATACTTATAGTGACGGACAAATACTTAGAACATCATTTGGAAAAAAATCTGAAAATCGTCACAGCGGGGATGTTCTAAGTATGAAGTCGTTAGAACATACCCAAAACCTATACTTAGAACATTTCCAAGCTATACTTAGAACATCCCAGTGGGGAACCAATGGGAACCATACATATATATATATATATATGTTCGAAGTATTTGTATAATTATACATAATTCATTTTAGCTCATTTTAGTATTGAAACCTATGCTTTTTGACTACCCCCTGTAGGAAACCCACAAATTATATACTAGAGACCTTCCCATTGCAGCGAAGACTGCTTGGGATATTGTTCCCGAAGAAAAGGTATAGAATGCTGCAGCAGTGAGGGGAGAAAGTGTTCTAAGTATGGTGTTCACCAAGGTATTTGTGTGTATATATGCAGATTTACCAAAGTAACAGGACATGTTCTAAATATATGGGTGTTTAATGTTCTAAGTATGCAAAAAATCAAAGGAGATGTTCTAAGTATCTGTTTTTCTGATGTTCTAAGTGCGTACTTAGAAGATTTCTGATGTTCTAAGTGTAGTTGTTTTGATGTTCTAAGAAAAGGTTCCGAAATTTTGGAAAATTGATGTTCTAAGTATATGTCCGTCACTATATCAATCTTATCAATAAATATAGAAATATCAGGCTTTAGATATCGATCCATTTGATCATCAATGTTTTGCTTCGCCCACTAAATGACAGTAGCATATTATTTACCATCTGGTTATTTAACAGTTTGCCATGGAAAATCACCATTTTTAAGAACGGTAAACCATCTATTTCTATGGGCCATCTATACCATGGCTATGTTGGTCATAACCAGAGGGTATTTCATTGGGCATTTGTTTGTACTTTTCAGGTTTCCGGCTGATGATACACCAAATTGTTGCTCAGCAAACCCAAGAATCCTTCGTTGCTTGAATTCCAATTATATCTCAGGCGGTGTTCGATGACCTTCATTTTGCCGCTGAAGGAAGAGAGATGCCTGCTGATCCGGTCATAGCAACGTCACCCAAGCTGGGAAAGATTCTCAGGATGCTACAGGGAAGGGGATGGCGAGCTTCCGAACGCCATTGAAAAATTGAAAAATCATAAAGCAGGTGGCGCCTGAAGTACGATCCCGCCCAGGGAGCTATATCTTGCAGAATGACTTGGATGTTCTTCATCAGATTCCGGCGGAGAAGTGTCCGGATGGGCTCTTCTATCAAGACTGGAGGCGGTAGGTCATGAGGCGGCAGTCGCTACTGGCTGATTGCTGCCACTGCCCATCAATTGCAGGTGGCCCGGATTTGTCACAAGCGTTTGATACATGATGATCGTTGCAGTTGGAACCCAATGGTTGGCTGAAACATTACCAACTGCCCAATGGTGTGGTGAAATCCCCACAATTCAAGACAATTCATCATTTGTCCATATGTGTCCCTAGATTTTGCTGGTCCAAAACAAAATAAAACCAATTAGATTCCTTTGTTTCTGTTGAATCCTTTTTTTGGGCAGGTGAACCCCCCAGTGTCCTCATTCTTGTTTATCAAATCCCCCAAGACATGTGATTTCATGTCCTTTCTTCGTGTTGAAATCTTTCAAAGTGTGAATCTACTTCTGTTCAAAGTCGTTTGGTTTCGAATATCAAAATCTTCAAACAGCTGTTTTTAGGCAAACTCCAATTGCCTCACGTTATAACGACCTTATTACGATGTCACTAGAATGATGTTTAGGATTGGGGTAACTATCCCAAAATGGCATAAAATCGCCAAACACTTCGGGTTGATGAGTAACGTCATGATGTTAAACCAGATATCATCCATAGATTTCTCTAGTTTTTGTTAAATTCCCATTGTATCTTCATATTATCTGCATCATATCCCCATTAATCATCATTACAGTAATCACCACTAAAGCTGAGACATATCAGTGTCTTTCGTTGTTGGTCAGAAACCAACACGATGTCGATTAGATTTGTTTTTCTGCTGGTCAAATGAGCCATTAAAAATACCCTTATAGTAGTTGTTTTTTTCAAGTTTCCCTACTATGGCTTATAATAGTCCCCAGTGATCCAAGTAGTTTAACTCCCTATGGTATCACTGGGGTTCTTAAATGGAGACTATCAATATTATTAGCCATCGAAAATACCATAAAATCCTATAATGACCCATCAACCATATATGTTCGACCACGGAAATCCGTCCGTATTTTCTGGGCTGTGCATCCTAGGTGGAAATCTCTCAATTTTCTGCTCAAATCTCTCAATGATTGTTGTTTCTACAGTTATGGACCTTTACCAGTTATAAGCACTAAGTCGCCCCATTTATGGAATCTATTGTCCCATAGGCCCATAGCCAGCTAGAACTAATAGCCATGGCCATAAGTGTAGTTCGTTCAAGCTTTCTGAGGAGTCTCCGCGTGCTGCCTGAGTATCCTGTGTGGCTGCAGTGAGGAAGCTCAGAGGATGGATGGCCCGGAAGGCCAGGGCCGCTTCGGAGCCGGGTGGAGCCGGGTGATTAACCCACCCATCATGGGGGATATGGGGAATATTAGCCAACCATCTTATGGGGATGAAACCGATGAATCATTGGGGATATATATACAATGTGGGGCCCCCGTTTACGATAGCTAAGTTGGTGAACATAACTTCAATAACTAGGGTTTATGATACTTACAACTATAGTTCATGGGGTTTATAAACAAACTTATAACTGGGGTTGGGGGGCCCCACATTGTGTATATATATATACGCCAAATGCCTGGGCTTTGCCCTGAACCGCAACAACCGCAACGAGGACGGGCAACAAATCATAATCATCATCATCATCATCATCCTCATCAATTATTGAATGTAGATTTTAATGTTCCCCAATACCTTCTTTGATCTTCCCAATTGAATGTAAAGTCGAACGGGGGTGGGATATTCCCTAATACCTTTGTTGATCTTCCCAATTGAATGTAGAGTTTAACGGGGGTGTTGAACCAACTAATCATATGTCGGATTGTGAAGCGCCAAGCTCAACCACCCACAACCAGGATTATGAGGTTTTATCAGGTTTCTATGATGTGCCGGACCAATTTCCTTTGCAAAGAAACAGGATAACCATCTACAAGTAGGGGCAACCCTGGCTTGGACACCTGGGATATATCCCTTGACCTTTCAATGATTATCATTCAGTTTCCACGCATAGTTTGATATTTCAACGCGCTGCATGATGTTCAAATTTGGCTTGTGATCAGACAGTGCTACTGCTGTTTGGTCATCCAATCATTCATGAAAATACTCTGAAGACCTTAGGAAACAAGGTTTTTTTTTCGAACCAAAACATTGCAAACCACAGTCATGGCCCTTTACCAGTTATAAGTACTAAGTCACCCCAATTATTGGAATTTGAAATTCCATAGAAATAACGAGTTATTTCACCATTTATAATTGGTATTCCGAGCCATAACTGCATGTCATATGCAAACCTTTTCCTTCAAAATTTGCCTTTTCCACTTGGATAGAGACACGGCTTGAGATTGTGACGGTGCCAGCATGAACCAAAAATTGCACCATTTTAGGCACGGTTGAAATGAATACTTTCACGCGATTTCAGAAGAATAGATGGCTATCACATGCTGCTTGAAATTAGATACCCGCTAGATAATTTGAGAGCTTTGGAAATTCATCCATTTATATAGATTAATTTCACAGATTTTTATGCTTTAAAACATGATGGTTTCCCACAGTTATCTTAAACAATGCCAGATGGTATGCACTTGTTTGCTGCTCAAATCCTACATATATCCATTGTTGATTCCCTATACTCAAATCAAACGGTATTATGTTAGTTCAAAACATCAGTCTTAGTTCAAAAAGGCATCGTATTGGTCAAGTATACGCAAATCTTATTCAAGAAATGTTTGAATAGAAACTTAGATAAAGGTGGTGCCCCATAGTGACTGTATATATATATATATATATGTACGATGGACCTTTATGTACTATTTGAACGTTTGCATGTCGAAAGGATTTTATTGAAATTATACCTCTTTCTGGAGAATCCCTACTAGTTAATCTATATACCAAAAAGAAAGAAATGGAATTCAAAAAATTCAAAAAATTCAAAAAAAAATGAATACATATTTTTTTTGAATTTTTTGATTTTTTTGAATTTTTTGAATTCCATTTCTTTCTTTTTGGGACTTTCATTTTTTTTTGAATTTTTTGATTTTTTTGAATTTTTTGAATTCAAAAAATTCAAAAAATTCAAAAAAAAAGTGAATACATATTTTTTTTTGATTTTTTTGAATTTTTTGAATTCCATTTCTTTCTTTTTGGGACTTTCATTTTTTTTTGATTTTTTTGAATTTTTTGAATTTTTTGAATTCAAAAAATTCAAAAAATTCAAAAAAAAGTGAATACATATTTTTTTTTGATTTTTTTGAATTTTTTGAATTCAAAAAATTCAAAAAATTCAAAAAAAATGAATACATATTTTTTTTTGAATTTTTTGAATTTTTTGAATTCAAAAAATTCAAAAAATTCAAAAAAAAGTGAATACATATTTTTTTTTGATTTTTTTGAATTCTAAAAATTCCAAAAAATCCAAAAAAAATGAATACATATTTTTTTTTTGAATTTTTTGAATTCAAAAAATTCAAAAAAATCAAAAAAAAGTGAATACATATTTTTTTTTGATTTTTTTGAAGTCAAAAAAATCAAAAAATTCAAAAAATTCAAAAAAAAATGAAAGTCCCAAAAAGAAAGAAATGGAATTCAAAAAATTCAAAAAAAATGAATACATTTTTTTTTTGAATTTTTTGATTTTTTTGAATTCCATTTCTTTCTTTTTGGGACTTTCATTTTTTTTTTGAATTTTTTGAATTTTTTGAATTTTTTGAATTCAAAAAATTCAAAAAAAAAGTGAATACATATTTTTTTTGATTTTTTTGAATTTTTTGAATTCAAAAAATTCAAAAAATTCAAAAAAAAGTGAATACATTTTTTTTTTTGAATTTTTTGAATTTTTTGAATTCAAAAAATTCAAAAAATTCAAAAAAAAGTGAATGCATATTTTTTTTTGAATTTTTTGAATTCAAAAAATTCAAAAAATTAAAAAAAAAAAATGAAAGTCCCAAAAAGAAAGAAATGGAATTCAAAAAATTAAAAAAATTCAAAAAAAATGAATACATATTTTTTTTTGAATTTTTTGAATTTTTTGATTTTTTTGAATTCCATTTCTTTCTTTTTGGGACTTTCATTTTTTTTTTGATTTTTTTGAATTTTTTGAATTCAAAAAATTCAAAAAATTCCAAAAAAAAGTGAATACATATTTTTTTTTGAATTTTTTGAATTCAAAAAATTCAAAAAATTCAAAAAAAAAGTGAATGCATATTTTTTTTTGGAATTTTTTGAATTTTTTGAATTCAAAAAATTCAAAAAATTCAAAAAAAATGAAAGTCCCAAAAAGAAAGAAATGGAATTCAAAAAATTCAAAAAATTCAAAAAAAAATGAATACATATTTTTTTTGAATTTTTTGAATTTTTTGAATTTTTTGAATTCCATTTCTTTCTTTTTGGGACTTTCCTTTTTTTTTCAATTTTTTGATTTTTTTGAATTTTTTGAAATTCAAAAAATTCAAAAAATTCAAAATATTCAAAATATTTTTGTATTGGCTAAATTTTTTGAATATTTTGAATATTTTGAAATTCAAAAAATTCAAAATATTCAAAATATTTAAAAAATAATGAAATCACCAAAAAAGAGGTTCAGAGAGACTTTTGGGAGAAGTTCATTATATTTTGAATATTTTGATTTTTTTCAATATTTTGAAATTCAAAAAATTCAAAATATTCGAAATGTTTTTGTATTGGCTAATTTTTTTGAATATTTTGAATTTTTTGAAATTCAAAAAAAATCAAAATATTCAAAATATTCAAAAACATAATGAAATCCCCAAAAAAGAGGTTCAGAGAGACTTTTGGGAGAAGTTCATTATATTTTGAATATTTTGATTTTTTTGAAATTCAAAAAAGAACACAATTTTCAAAATATTTTCGTTTTGGCTTTTTTTTTGAATATTTTGTTTGTTTTTTCGAAATTCAAAAAAACAAAAAAACATGAATGCATATTTTTTTGATTTTTTTGAATTTTCTGAATTTAAAAACTTATAAAAAAATTGAAAACATGAATACCCCAAAAGTGAGAAGCTGGGCTCCCAATAGTAATCTATACAGTATATGGAAAAAAACTCAATACTAAACTATTTTTAAAAAAAAATCCGAATACTAAACTATGTATTTGAAAAAAAAAACTACTGCTAAACTAAGTCTGGCTCTCTTTCTGGGAATTTCATGTTGTTATTGTTTTTTTTTGAATTTTCTGAATTCTTTTTTTTTTTTAAATAGGCGTTTCTTTTTAATCCATCATTTTTTCACTTTTTATCTTTTATGTTATTTTTCGGATCCTTACATTATTAATATTTTGTCGTAACACCATCAATTCTTAGATATATATTTCTTTTTTTTCCTTAGTTTCTATAATATTTTTTTAATTCCATGCCTTCATCTTTTCAAATTCAAAAAAATCAAAAAATGAAAAAAAAACATGAATACCCCAAAAGTGAGAAGCTTAGCTCCCAATAGTAATCTATATATGCAAAAAACAACTCAATACTAAACTATGCAACTATGCATTTAAAAAAACAATACTAAACTATGTATTCATTTAAAAAAAACTACTGCTAAACTAAGTCTGGCTCTCTTTCTGGGAATTTCATATTTTTTTGTTTTTTTTTTGAATTCAAAAATTCAACAAATTAAAACAAAAAAATGCATACCCCAAAACGAGAAGCTGAGCTCCCAATAGTAATCTATATATGCAAAAAATCTCAATACTAAAAGATGTATTCAAAGCATACTATATAAACTATGTTTTAAAAAACATGCTAAACCATGTGTGTGTGGTTCCCTTTCTGAGAATCTTATTATATACTTTGTTGACCCCAAAAATCATCAATACTAAACTATATATCCACCCAAAAAAGCCACCAATATTAAACTATGTAGCAAAACAAGGAAACAAACTGCAGACAATGAAAGTCCTGTGTCCCAAAAGCACCCAAAAAGAACAACAGTAACGAGGAGAGAAGGGAAGAAGGCACTGGGAAAGACTAGAGGAACAAGTAATGAAAGAAAGGGAAGAGGAGAAAGGCTCTCTTCTCCGTCCCAAAATGCTGGAGACCTAGGAAGAAGCACGGTAGTGGAGAGAGGATAAGGAGACCGCTTGGAGGGAAACATGTAGTAGAGAGAGGGTAAGGGAATGTAACGGATAATAGATTTTGTCCCAAAGCACACAGAGACAAGCAAGGAGACTTATACGAAGGAAGACAAGTAGGGAGAAGCATTCTGCCCAAAGCAGCCTGAGAGAAGAATAGCAATGGGGAGCGAATGAAGGATACA